AACCTAGACAGAGTATAAGTCTAATGGAGTAAGTCCATTTATGCCGAACTCGCCTCCGGCTCGCTCGGCATTAAAATAGGCTCGTTGGTAAACCTTCTACGCAAAAGTGATAGCTTTTAAAATTCAGTGGACCCAGCGAGCCAGAAGGCGAGTTCGGCATAACCTTAGACAGAGGAAAGGTACTGATTGGCTGGGTCAATTATGCCGAACTCGCCTCGCGGCTCGCTCGCATGAAAAATAGGCCTGTAGTAAACTTCTTACGCAAAAGTGACAGTTTAAAAACCAGTGCCAAGCAGGCAGAGGCGAGTTCGTATAAACCTAGACAAGAGTAAAAGTACTGATTGGCTGAGTCAAATTATGCCGAACTCGCCTCCGGCTGCGCTCGGCATTAAAATAGGTCTCGTTGGTAAACTTCTACGCAAAGTGATATCGTTTAAAATCACTGCCCAGCGGCAGAAGTGCGAGTTCGCAGAAACCTAGACGAAAGTAAGTCTGATTGAGTGAGTCAAATTATGCCGAACTCGCCTCTGTTATTAAAATTCCACGCAAAAGTGATAGTTGTCGAAATTAATGCCGAGCGAGCCAAAGGTGAGTATAAGTTCTGTCGGGTAAGTCACCTCTTTCTTTCTCTCATTGTTCTGCAGTTTGTTTCTCACTTCTGTAAGCCTCTGCCCCACATGTTTCTTATTATCTCTCCCTTCCGGCCTTCCGTTTTAATATTCCCTTCATATGCCCACTCCTCTATACTGTCTTCTATTCTTCCTCTTTCTCACCTATAATTTTCGACAGTGTTTCTTATCCCTCTATGCTCCGTTTTTCCATCCTTGAATCTTTCTTTCTCTTCCCGTTTGACGTATTTCATCGGCAATTCGTTTATTTCTTCAGTATTAGTTCGTTCACTGATGTAATCGATTATCGACCTCCCTTTCCTCTCATTGCTCGTCCCGTATCTCCGCCAATTATTTCCATTTATGTCCCATCTTTTCTTTTAATCCAATAGCAATTCTCCCACTTTGTTATTGCAACTTTATCTCTGATCTTCTAAGGTCTTCGCTTTTTTACCCTGTCTGAGTATTTAATCTATTTCCCAATATTAGCCCCTCCTATCGTGGCTTTTATTCTGAGATGTTTCTATTCTATTGCTTAATTCTTTTATCCTTCTCTGTTGTACCTATATTACTTTTTCCACTTCTCTTCCTGTATGGGGATACAGTGTTCACCTTGTTCTTTTCTAGCGCATTTTTTAAGAATTAAAAAAAATGTGCTATTGTTTGCGTTTTGTCCGTCCGTCCGTCCGGACCCACTTCTGCCGTTTCGAACTACTTCTAGGGGAATGGTCCTAGAGTCCTGGAATTCTTTGCAGTAGGTAGCCTTAGCCTATACCTTGAAAGTGTGCCAGACGGCCATTAAATTTCGCTGTCCAAAAGGGGGATCCCCCCACTAATTATTTCCTGATGGGAGGAGGGGGGGGGGGGTTAAACGAAAGGAACCATTTTCTATCAACTACTGCCCTTCTTTCTATCCTCTTATCAAGGTACGGGGTGAAGGGGGGAGGGGAAGTGGAACTAATTTTATCCTTCAACGAAAGGAACCGTTTTCTACCAACTACTGCCCTTTTTTCTGTCCTCTTATCAAAGTACGGGCTAGAGGCGGGGGGGGGGGGGAGTGGTGTCAACGAAAGGAATTAATTTCTACAAACCATAGCCCTCCTCCTCGACCTCTTTGCTCTGATGTATAGGTTGTAATTTGGACTCTATTCATCACAAAACCAACCATTTACAGATGAAACACTTTTATTCGACATAAAGCAATCACATTGAAAGAGAAAATCAGGCAGTCAGAGCCAACAAACATGTACCGCGCAAGCATGCGATCGATGGACAATTAAAGCATACCTTAAAATGCCAATAACCCAAAATCTCCGGTCAATTGCGATCAAACAGATACAAAATGATAATACTTTGGAATTTCACTGCACAACTAATTCTCTAATTACACTTAGAGGCAACTACCGCGGCACCACCGTATAAATAAAACAAGTGAAGGGTGCGGCAACATTGCCTTGTTCAATACCACACAAACCACAGTACCACAGAATAAGACCTTCACAGAACAGAAGCATAAATGGCGCTAAATTGTCACTGATAACAGTGTTTCCCGTGGTTGTACGGAGAACTATTTATCGCAGACTCAAATATTTTTTTGCAAAACCTGTAATTTTGCTACTCTGATTTTGATGCTTTAGTTCACAGTACACCCACCAGGGTCCGCCAAAATACCATACAAATTTGTAACATTGCTGTTTCTATTCTGAGAAGGTCGTATTCTGTGCACAGTACATCGGCCAATCGTGACCCACACCGCACATAGATTCAAAGTGAAGAGGTATCGTTAGCAGTATCCGACCCCTCAGTAAGGGTGCCGATCACTCGTGCGGAACACGCGCCAGCCTGGGGTTGCGAGATGAATCACATCTGGATGTGGCGATTGTTGCGAAATAACGTCGCAATGTAGATCTGTCAAAGTCAGTCGATTGTACGTAAAGCAATTTGATGGTGTATGGCCAAATCAAAGATTCCTCCAAAGGAAGCGGAGATTCCATTTATTCCAGTTCCTTACGAAACAACCGACGTACTGACATCAATTACTTTACTTGGCAGCGCAGAGAAAAATATCGTACTACGGGCACTGAATACTTTAACTAAGTTCGCAGATAGAAAAGACACAAATTCCGAATATCTCTACAAAAATGGAGCGATGACCAAACTGGTGGATTTATTAGAGTATTCCGATTTGGCGATACTTCGATTTACGTTAAAGTTACTAGCGCAAATGGTGACGATCAGTTCCGAAGCGGCGGAGGAGATGTCGTTCGGCAGTTACAAGTCCTTTCTGGGCCAAATCACCTTTCTGTTTGTAACGTCACAAGATGCGTTTGTGAAGGAGTTCGGCGCGCAGTTTTTGGCGAATGTGAGCGTTCCGGCGGTCAGCTCCAGCCTGTTGCGTCTGGGAGTGATGGCTCCGATCTTCTCCGTGCTGAAATACTCCGACGATCTGGACACGCAGTTTTACACGTTGAGGCTGCTTTACAACGTACTGGAGGCGCGCGAGGCGCCCTCTGTAATTCCGAACGTTCCCGAATTTTCAGCGGAGACTCTGTTGGACTACCTGCTGCATTCTGTTGCCGAGGTCAGATCCGAAGCGCTCAACGTTGTTGAAGGGTTGGCTTTGTGGAAAAGTGCGCGGGTCCAGGAGCACTTTCGGGAAAGTCGCACCATGGAGAGGCTGCTGCAGATAATTTTGCAAGAGGAGTACAAGAGCATGCACAAGAAGGCATTCGCAATTATACTGATCAGTACCGAGTGCCCGCAAACCGTAAGTCATCTCGTCAAAACCGTGGAGTTCCTCGAGTTCTGCCAGTGGGCGAAATCCTGCCCGAAGAAACTAATCCGCCCCGCCGCCACAATTTTAGCGGCGATAACCAAGGATAGCTCACATTTGCAGCTACTCTTCGATTTTTCAGTTGAAGACACGATCTTATCGTTCTTCAGAACCGAAAACGAGTTTGTACACTACCAGGTGTGCGTTGCCATTTCTAATCTCAGCGCCCATCGGTACTGCTGCCAAAAGATTGTGACCCCCGTGGTCGTCAAGTGCATACTCAGAATTCTGCACCGGCTCAATCTCCCGTTCAACCCCTACCACGAGATCGCCTACAAGACTATCTTAGACTTACTGAAACGCAACGAAAAGACCATTAACCTAGTTGCGAGTAGCGACGGCATCCACCTATTGCTCGGCGGATTACTCAGGAAAAAGGACAATTACTCATCGGAAGGACTATACGATCAGCTCTACATTTTGTACATTTTCTCGTCCAACACCCAGTACAAGCACCTAGCCATGAGTTCCGCCATCTTCCAGGTGCTGTTGCAGAGGTACGCCGAACACTCCGAGTACTCAAATCTCTCACTGTTGGTCATCGACCAATACCTGGAAATTGCCGAATACCGCCATTACTACCTCGAGTACCTCGGGCCGGCGAAAGTTATAGAGGTCATCACGTCAACCCCCAACGAAATACTGCTCAAAAACACTTTGGTGCACTTGAAAAACGCGTGCGTCTACAAGAACATTTGTATGGAGTTCTTGTGGCAAGGCATCCTGGACACCTTGGAGCATTTCTCCGACGAAGTAAAGGAGGAAATACCCATCGTGAATCACTTGATCGCGACCATTTACAATTTTTATCTTCCGCTCAAGTTCGAAAGGGAGAGGCGGCTGGAGGTGACCGATCACTTGCCTCGCAGGTTTTACGTGGTCAAAGGTCGCCACGGCGAGTTTCCCTTCTTGGAGATTTTGGATAGGATCCAAGCCTGCTCGCGTAACATAATCTACGTGGTCGACTGTACAGCCGATGTATCTCACCTGGAAATAGCAGTGCAAGAATCTGAATCAGTTTCAGATTTAACTTGTAAGGCACCGTCGTCAGTAAACTACGGATGCCTATCGGAAGACACGTACCTTCCGCAGTACGTCCATAAGTTAAGGAAGAGAATTTACGAAAACAAGAAGCACGTGATGTGCTTTCAACACCAGGTGAAAACGCTCGCGGAATTCGTTAACAATACACTTTCGGGACCGCTAAATGCAAGCACCAAGACGGACCAGCACTGCTTGGAAGTTCACCTGGCGGCTCTTAGAGAGAAGCTCGGCACTAACTTGATACCTATTGGCTTTTTACGGCACGGGTTTCACTGCGAAAAGTCCTTACTATTCAAGGCGCTGGCTGATAAGCTAGGCATTCCCTGTACCTTATGCAAAGGGAAAGGCAGAAACGATTCGATTTATTGGAACGAGGTACCGATACTCTGCAACGAGGAGTACGAGCAGTTGGGAGAGAATGTTAGCACTTACATGGGATACGCCGTGGTGGATTTAATGGACGACATAGGGGAATTAATGTTGGTAGGTACAATGAAAGCTGACAACTATTGTGGTATCCAAGTGGATTGGGTAAATGGAAGTCAGCAAATCACATTGGAAGCCATCTTATGTAAAGTGTAACGCGATATCGCATTTTATTAAAAATAAAGCGCGTACTCTGGAACTGTACTCACTGGCAACAACTTTAATGTGGCAATTGTTTTATTTGATCCACGGCTAGCTCTGCAATAAAAAATGTTATATCTTGCAGAATTCTGATGCTCTGGTTTGACTGAACTCGAATAAATACGCACGTTAACTTTGTTGATTGAATATATTAAAAAAAACAAAGGCGATCAATTTTAATTTTTCTTTGCGCTCCTGGATGTAAAATATTAGTTTGGGCGGACCCGAGCGCCACCAAGAGTTTGGTCTTAGGGTCAGCGATGGAATATTCGGGAATACTAACACGCAAGCAGCGTCCGGCTACTGGTGAATGCTAAAACCAAATTAAAGCGAGCCGAAACAGTAAATAATCGGATTCGGTAGCGGTATCTACGGGAAAGCGAATGCAGGAATGCGAAACAATATCTCCCCCTTATAATTATGGGAACACGTTGCAATTAAACGGAGCGGTAAACATGTGCAAGAAAAAAAAATGTGTAGATACGGTACGGTAAACTTAACGTAAAAGCAAAAATTAAGGGGTGCAAAATAAATGTATGGAAAAGTTTAAAATTAAAAAAACTTCTTTACGCAGCGTGTCCAAGCCATCTAACGAATGTAATCTTGACTTAATCGGAGGCTTTTTCTTCGGGGCTCAAAAAAAGGCGTGTATAACCTTCCTTTTTTACCAAAAATCGACTACACCAAAATTTCTCGGGAAAACACTTTTTCTTATTAATTTGGGTGCGTAGAATCCAAATCGATTCGTACTTTTTCGATCAGACTTCTCAATCAAAAGTTATAGACTAGAAACCAATTTCGAAAAAAAATCCAAAGGGCTGTAACTTTTGAACTAGTAGCCCAATCTTGGAACTGTTTGAAATTATGGAATCTACAGGCCACATTCTATAAGAAAATTTTTTTCCGAGTCGATCTGAGACAATTTTTTTTTCGGGGCTCAAAAAAAGGCAGTGTATAACCTTCCTTTTTTACCAAAAATCGACTACACCAAAATTTCTCGGGAAAACACTTTTTCTTATTAATTTTGGTGCGTAGAATCCAAATCAATTTGTACTTTTTCGATCAGACTTCTCAATCAAAAGTTATAGACTAGAAACCAATTTCGAAAAAAAATTCAAAGGGCTGTAACTTTTGAACTAGTAGCCCAATCTTGGAACTGTTTGAAATTATGGATTCTACAGGCCACATTCTATAAGAAAATTTTTTTCCGAGTCGATCTGAGACAATTTTTTTTTCGGGGCTCAAAAAAAGGCAGTGTATAACCTTCTTTTTTACCAAAAATCGACTACACCAAAATTTCTCGGGAAAACACTTTTTCTTATTAATTTGGGTGCGTAGAATCCAAATCAATTTGTACTTTTTCGATCAGACTTCTCAATCAAAAGTTATAGACTAGAAACCAATTTCGAAAAAAAATCCAAAGGACTGTAACTTTTGAAGTAGTAGCCCAATCTTGGAACTGTTTGAAATTATGGATTCTACAGGCTCCATTCTATAAGACAAATTTTTTTCCGGGTCGATCTGAGACAATTTTTTTTTCGGGGCTCAAAAAAAGGCAGTGTATAACCTTCTTTTTTACAAAAAATCGACTACACCAAAATTTCTCGGGAAAACACTTTTTCTTATTAATTTGGGTGCGTAGAATCCAAATCAATTCGTACTTTTTCGATCAGACTTCTCAATCAAAAGTTATAGACTAGAAACCAATTTCGAAAAAAAATTCAAAGGGCTGTAACTTTTGAACTAGTAGCCCAATCTTGGAACTGTTTGAAATTATGGATTCTACAGGCCACATTCTATAAGACAATTTTTTTTCCGGGTCGATCTGAGACAATTTTTTTTTCGGGGCTCAAAAAAAGGCAGTGTATAAGCGGTTAATTGTACGTATACAAATAGTAGGAATGAAATCTCCAAATTCGGCAGTCCAGCAATGCCCGTTTGTTCCTTGAAATGTGAGGTCAAGCTGCGAAATCCGTCATCACGTTGATATTTTCTTTACACTGCACGACCTTGCCGGTTTAATACTGGTTTTCGTATACCATTAGAAATTAAAATCGGTTATGTAATGTAATGTTTAACGGACGCTTTCGGCGGCTCTAAAAATAATTTAAATATTCCTACGGGACCGGTTGCAAATGGAAAATTAAATACGGCCCCTGATTTTCTTTCCAACTCAACAGAAATAAATAAAAATTTTCGCAGCGAGAATCTTCGTAACGAAGCGCCCAACTTAAAACGCTTCTAAGATACCGGGTATTCATCTACAGAGTGATCACTAAAACTGGTAATTTCCAGCCAGAAAACGGGTGTCAATGCTAACTTTGATCCTTATTTTAGATAAAATTCGTCTTTACCACAAATTACTTCTAATTCAATAATATGGCACAGCTATATGTAGCTGTATAGCTCAGCGGTAGAGGCTTTGGGCCACATAGCCGGAGATCGGGTGTTCGAATCTGTGCTGGGGGTGAGAATTTTTCGTCTGTGGCAGAGATGGACATTTCCTTAGAACAGTTTCAAGCATTCTTCCAGCTTAGGTTTTCCTAATTCGTAAGGTAAATACCAGACTTAAGACTGCTTGCAGGGGCACCTCTAAAAAAAGCATTATGAGAGAAAGACAATAAATAAATATTTCGTTTAAAACACGAAACAACCTTTTGACTTTTTGGTTTTCATTCCTGCAGGAAGCAGCTGGCAAGGACAAAATGTGTGCACGAACGGGGATTACGTTTGGCATCTTTTTTTGAATGGCGGTCGTGAATAAATGCGTTTGTTGTTATTTTGGGTTATTTAATTCAGTTAGTAATGTTTGCATTTCTTTATATCGTATTTGTGTTCAGTGTCATTTTATATTTTTTGTGTGTTTTAATCTTCGTTTTTGAAATTTACTTGGTTTAACCGTAATGCAGAATCACATGTGTGATACCGTTATGTTATTGTTTGTAATTGTTTACGTTTTTGGTGTAATGTTTGCTTAATTTATGTTTATTGATGTTCATTACTTGGTCTTGATCCTGCAGTAACATTCATGTAAGTTTTGATAATTTTATTTTAATATGTGGAAATTACCATTTAGTTTGATGTATGTACTGACTTGTTTTTGTTACTAATAATTTTCTCCGTGAATGAAGCAGTCACGGGAGTGGTAAAAACTGTATAGTCAAATTTTAGTTACGACACCTAATTCCGTGATTGTCTTCGACATCCAACTGTAGGCTCGAAACCCCGAAACCAGGGGCGGGTTACCCATCTTGCAGGAGCGGGATTACGCTTATTTTCCATTTGTACACTTACTGTATGAGGTGAAGAACGTTTTCATGCTTTTCCAATTTCCCATTTTTCCCCCAAGACTTTTTTGAAGGATGTGAAGGGAACCGGTAGATGTTGCCAGATCAGCACTCAGTTGTTAACTAGAATTTGCGCGCTCTTCAAAAGTGTTTATTTTATAAAATGTACCAGTAATAGCATTGTCTATTCATTTTTGCGCGATCGGTCATTTCTGACTATTTACCATGTGTGTTTCCATGACAGTAAGTGGAATTTACCAGTTGCTATGATTACGACGACGCCAAAATTACTTACCGATCTAAAAACAGAACAGCAAAAATACTTACCGACGCCTTTTTAAAAACAATCAGTTCAATGTTGACAGTCTTACATTACATTTAATCTTTAATTATTGTTACATTAAACGTACAATTTGTGCTGATGTTTCCTATAGAAAGAACAAGTTCTTCATTTAAACCTGAAGCAATAGAGATCAATGTGTTTGAAGATGTGCTTTCGTTTTTCTTAATACATTCCAATTACAATTTTGTTCTGTAAAATCTGCGACATACCATTCGGCCACCGGCGAATACCTCGCTCATAAAGTCATAACGGAAGTGCAAAGCTAGCAAACTACATCAGACACATACACAAGAAATTATTAATTTCAGTTTTGACAAATAAACTGGTTACCTAGTGATGTACACCATACCACTTCGATCATTTCGATTTATTCTGCTCGTTAATTTCTTAGTGCATATTTATATTGGTTGCATAATTTTAATTTCGATCGCGCAAAAAATGTTATAAGCACGTCGAACGTTAAGGGTTACCGTTCTCAGACAATAATTGGAGTCGTTGCTCCGCTCCTCCTCCAAACAATTGTCTTCGAACGGTAAAAATCCCTTACCGTTCTCCATACTTAATATACTATAATAAAGGGTACAATGCATTGTTTGATTTAATTTGAATTTCGCAAAAGTATAGTCTATTATTATTATTATTACCTATAGGTGCGCCCCCCCTTCCCCCCACGAAGTACCTTAAAGAAACACTGGATGTTTGATCACGTACCACTTTTTGATTTCAAATTTAAGCGGAATTTGTTTAGTTTCTAGAGCGAATAGCCATCTTTCATTATAGATAGCATATATGTTCTTATATATATGATAGATAGCCACTCTTTGTAACCACTGCAGTGTACATTTTTAAACGTTGCCGGGTTGTGTAGTGTTAAGTTAGCTTAGAATGTGGGGGGTTAGGAGCACTACAATATTTATAATCGAAACAATTTTTAATTGAGAGTATTTAATATATTAGATTAGCAGTATGAGTCAGGATCCCTTTTAACCATTTAGCGTACGGGTTGGGAGCCACGGCCTAATTAGCCAATGAAAAGTAAAGGCGCTGAAAACAATTCGACCATTTTTCTATAAGTGTGTCGAGGTAAATGCTGTCTAAAAACTTTATCCTCTTTTATGTGCTAAAACATGTTGTTTAAGATCAAATTTATTGTTTATTTGTCTCATAATCACAATCAGCACATTTGAAATCCTTAGAAACTTTGTTTTAAAAGATGCCTACAACATTTGTCTCATAATCACTATCAACACATTTCAAATCTTTAGAAGCGTTATGATTTAAAAGATGTCGTATGTAGTTGCGTTTAATATTTGTCTTATAATCACAATCGGCACATTTAAAATCTTTAGAAATTTTATGTTTTAAAAGATGTTGTTTGATGGCATCTTTATTATTTGTCCCATAATCACAATTAGCACATCTGAAATCCTTAGAAGCTTTATGTTTTAAAAGATGTCGTATGTAGTTGCGTTTAATATTTGTCTTATAATCACAATCGGCACATTTAAAATCTTTAGAAATTTTATGTTTTAAAAGATGTTGTTTGATGGCATCTTTATTATTTGTCCCATAATCACAATTAGCACATCTGAAATCCTTAGAAGCTTTATGTTTTAAAAGATGTCGTATGTAGTTGCGTTTAATATTTGTCTTATAATCACAATCAGCACATTTAAAATCTTTAGAAACTTTCGAGGAAACTTTATGTATTAATAGATGTCGTTTGAGGCTGCCTTTAAAATTTGTCATATAATCACAATTGGTACATTTAAAATCCTTTGAAACTTTATGTTTTAAATGATGTTTTTTTAAGCTGTCTTTAAGATTTGTTTCATAATCACAATCAGCACATTTAAAATCCTTGGAAACTTTATGCCTTAAAATATGCCGTTTGAAGGTCCATTTATCATTGGTCCAGAAATCACAATCAGCACATTTAAAATCTTTAGAAACTTTATGTATTAAAAGATGGCGTTTGAAGCTGCCTTTTAAATTCGTCTCATAAGCACAATCGGTACATTTAAAGTCCTTGTAAACTGTATGTTTTAAAAGATGTTGTGTTAAGTGGCGTTTAGCATTTGTTTCATAATCACAACTAGCACATTTAAAATCTTTAGACACTGTTTTACACTGAGTAAAAAGATGACATTGAGAGTCAGAGTGTTGCTGTACTTCTTCATTATAAAGAGATTTAGAACACTGTGTACCTCGTTGTGTACTAATCTTAATTTCGTCCTTTACGGTCACCAAAACTTCGTTGCTTACTGAAACGTGTCCTTGAAGATAGGAATGGATTTCTTCTTCTTGTTTTGGTTCGATTTTAATGAGTGGCACATCTTTTCCGTCCATACCTAACATTTAACAACAATATTGTTATAAATAAATGTATTAAAAATATGTTTGGATTTATGATTTATCAAAAACGTATTTTGGTATTGAACACAAAGGACAAAGGTAGATCTCTGTGCAATCAGACATTACTTACTTACTTTCTGAGTAACAGAATTTGTTGAATAAGTTGTTATGTTCTCACTCAAACACTCGCGAAATACATTTGACCATACTGTACTATACAACAATCTGAACTTATCTGCATGCCTGTGTCTGACAATGTTGTAAGTACTCCATATAAATTCATGCACTGTGTACAGTAACGCAAGTCGTTTCGCTATCGTTATGAATTTTTGTATTTTTGCATACTTTACTGCCTTAGATCATATAGATCATAAGTAGATTTGTATATTCCCTAGATATAACCATCCATTTACTTGCAAGCAAAGCGCCCTCTATTGAGCAGCAGTATAATCATGCACAGTTTAAAACTGCAAAATTGCCCTTATGAATTTATGCTTTAGACTTCGCTGCAAAAAATTTAACGCGAATGCCTAGCTCCATTGTTCAATTACATAATGGTACACCCTTATAATCCATTTTGTGAAATATTACTTGGTTCCATCCTCTATATACAATCTACGATGATGCACACATTTTTGAGAGCTGGCAATCACGCAATGTTTAGGAGAGAAAAGTTCTCTGCGCGGGAGAGCACGAACATTGGTTACGTTTGACATCTTGATTTTAATGGCTCTCACGAAAGCATCGCTCCGTAAACGTCTGCTGGTTTTTATGCTGTCTAAAGCATTTCTTTGTACTATATTGTGTGTCATATCTTATATTTTCTGTGAGTTTCAATCTTTGATTTTGAAGTTGACTTGATTTAACCTCAGTCAAGATTCATTTGTTTAATACCGTTAACCTTTTGTTTGAAATCGGGTTTTTTTGTTGGGTATAATGTTTCAATTACGTGGTTTATTGTTGGGCATTATTTTAAACATGTATAAATTATCGAACTGTTTGTTGTGCGCAAGTGTATCGACTTGCTGTTTGTAAACTAACATTTTCGCCTTGAAGAGACGGTCACTGGGGCAATAAAAAGCTGTAACCAAATGAGTTACAGCCCTCAATACCGGGGCTGATCTCGACATTCAACAGTAGGCTGAAATCCCAAACGATGGGCGGGTTACCTGTCTCGGGGGCGAGATACTGCTAATGAAATCTATGCGTGATATGAGTTGTGATTTCCACATATGTTCTGGTAAGATTAAATTTGCCCTACAAGACCATGTAATTTTCCATCTTGCTCTTAACAGATGGGTTTTATTTATAGCACAACAAATCAGTCACATTCCGTGCATTTCAACCTGTTGTTATAACTTTAACTGCAACCAACTTGAAATTATTAATCAAAGGTCAAAATTTTTGAATATTTGTACTTGACATTGCATCAATTTTACCTACTTTGTACTAATAGTTTACCACGACATGTTTCATTGTTTTGTTGTTATACTAGCCTTGTACTATTTGATCCTGATAATAATGAATATGTGATATGTCTCATCCTTTTGAAATACTTGCCCGTTGCACGTAAAAATGCAATTAAGCCACATGCTAGAGACATTGATGTGTGTGCATTTGTTTTTAATGCGTCTTAGTTTAGCAAGGTCTTCCGTCTTAGCTTAGAAAAGAGCGACTTTTGGTGATAACCAATTGCTAATCGTTTCTTTTAGTTGATGCTTCACATATGTGCATATGACTCAATATTGGTTTTATGTCAACCTTGTGAATATGCCGTTTTTAAGTTACCTATGTTAGTTGTAAAATTGCATTGATCACCTTTAAATTCTTGAAGAAATCGAGATAAGGAAATAATTTTTGCAAGTGCATTTACTTTTACTGCCGTATAAACTACAATACCAATATTGATTACTTTTGGCCATTGTAAATAAACAAAATGGCGGTCTTTACATTGTGCTGCCACCAGCGGTCTCACTCTCACTGTTTATCTTAATCGCGACTGTACCTAAGTAACGTGATGTTAGATGTTGGTTGGATCAATTTGGATAATAGTTATATGATCTAAGACACTTTTTTCTAAAGTCTCTTAGAGAAGTTCATAGACCAAGTGGTTTGAGTGAGAAAATAACAGTGTAACTCTTATTCAACAAATTCTGTTACTTAGATAGGATTTAGGTAATATCTTGTTGCTCTGGGATCTCCCTTTGTATACATTTTTTATAAATCCAAACAGAATTTTAACACATTTATTTATAACATTATTGTCGTTAGGTATGGACGGATATGATGTTGTGCCACTCATTAAAATCGAACCAAAACAAGAAGAAGAAATCCATTCCTTTCTTCAAGGACACGTTTCAGTAAGCAACGAAGTTTTGGTAACAGTAAAGGACGAAATTACCATTAGTACACAGTGTGCTAAATCTCTTTGTAATGAAGAAGTACACCAACACTCAGACTCTCAAGGTCATCTTTTTGCCGAATGCAAAACAGCTAGTTGTGATTATGAGACAAATACTAAATACGAAACTAAAAATCTTGATAAACAGCGCCTTTTAAAGCATAAAGTTTCTAATGATTTTAAATGTAGGAATTGTGATTATCACACAAATGTTAAACGCTACTTCACACAACATCTTTTAAAATATAAAGTTTCTAAGGATTTTAAATGTGGCGATTGTGGTTATGAGACAAATTTAAAAGGCACCCTCAAACGGCATCTTTTAATACATAAAGTTTCTAAAGATTTTAAATGTGTTGATTGTGATTTCTGGACCAGTGATAAATGGACCTTCAAAAGACATATTTTAAGACATAAAGTTTCCAAGGATTTTAAATGTGCTGATTGTGATTATGAGACAAATCTTAAAGACAGTTTTAAAACACATCTTTTAAAACATAAAGAGTGTAAGGATCTTAAATGTGCCGATTGTGATTACGAGACAAATTTTAAAAGCAGCTTCAGACGACATCTTTTAATACATAAAGTGTCTAAAGATTTTAAATGTGCTGGTTGTGATTTCTGGACCAATGATAAATGGACCTTCAAACGACATGTTTTAAGACATAAAGCTTCAAAGGATTTTAAATGTGCCGATTGTGATTATGACACAAATATTAAACGTAACTACATACGACATATTTTAAAACATAAAGTTTCCAAAGATTTCAAATGTGCTTATTGTGATTATGATACAAATGTTAAAGGCAGCCTCAAGCAACATCTTTTAACACATAAACTTTCTAAGGAGTTTAAATGTGCTGATTGTGATTATGAGACGAATGTTAAAGGCCGCTTCAAGCGACATCTTTTAAAACATAAAGTTTTAAACGATTTCAAATGTGGTGATTGTGATTATGAGACAAATATTAAACGCAACTACATTTTTAAAACATAAGGCTTCTAAGGATTTCAAATGGGCGGATTGTGATTATAATCTTAATAATATTAACGGCAGCTTCAAGGAACATAGAGTTTCTAAGTATTTCAAATGTGGTGATTGTGATTATGAAATAAATAATAAATTCGATTTTAAAAAACACGTTTTAAAACATAAAAAAGGGTAAATTTTAATGACTACACTCACTATATTAGAAAACGATCGACTTGTTTTTGGCGCCTTTGTTTTTCACTCGGCTCATCAGGCACACTGGCGCATTAACTATTGCAATTTAAATATATACAGGGTGATTCCTATAGTACCTGCCACCGTTTGGGAGCGTGTAGGTGGTGCGTAGGGGAGTATTTTGATATAGGACACTTGGGGTCGGAAATCTAAAATAAGGTGCCAGAGCCAAATTTACCTTCTGGAATTTCGCGCCTGTAGGTAGTCAACCCAACCGGCCGGCGGTGCACACGGAGCGATCTCAGGCGGCGATGTGTGGCTGACACTTGATCAGAATTTTGTTTAAACCCACGAAATCCCGTCTGCAACGACGCGTATCAAGTGAATAAACACTATGCCAATAGTATAATAATAGTTGGCTAGATGTAGGAAGTGCATTGAGAACAACGGTGGCCACGTTGAACACTTGTAAACGTTATTGCTTTTGACTGTCGTTTTCCTTCCTTCCCTCCCATGTCGCTTCCTCGCGCTTACTCGCTCTGCATCGCTCCGCGCGAAACGTCGGTCGGTTGGGTTGCCTACATACAGGCGTGAAATTCCAGAAGATAAATTTGGTTCTGGCGCCCTTATTTCAGATTTCCGACCCCAAGTGTCCTATATCAAAATACTCCCCTAGGCACCCCCTATACGCTCCCAAACGGTGGCAGGTACTATAGGAATCACCCTGTATTTTACTCCATACATACCTTAACAATTGTTCCCTTATAAATATTGTACTTAACATTACCTTTGAGAGGTTCCACCCTGTATATACAACTTACGACGATATATACATTCTTGAGAATTGGCAACCATGCAATTTCTGGGTGGGGAAAAGCTGCCTGCGCCACCTAGAAAGCACGAACGGGGGTTACTACTGTGCTTTGGGTCAAAGCGTTGTCTACAACTAACGTAAGGGAGCCCTGCCTTAGATGTTTTATCACGTGCCACTTTTCAAATTTAAGCGGGATCTTGTTTAGTGTTAGAGGGAATAGTCATTCGAGTGGCCATTTTTATACGTTGCCGGGTTTATTTTATTTCCGTGTTCTTGTAGTGTGAAGTTAGCGTAGAACCTGGGGGTTAAGTACACTACATTATTAATAAAACTTTTCACAATTTCAGTGTTTTATGTAACATTCCTTCCCTACTGTGCTTCAGGTCAAAGCGTTGTTTACAACTAACGTAAGGGGGCCCTGCCTTAGATGTTTTATCACGTGCCACTTTTCAAATTTAAGCGGGATCTTGTTTAGTGTTAGAGGGAATAGTCATTCGAGTGGCCATTTTTATACGTTGCCGGGTTTATTTTATTTCCGTGTTCTTGTAGTGTGAAGTTAGCGTAGAACCTGGGGGTTAAGTACACTACATTATTAATAAAACTTTTCACAATTTCAGTGTTTTATGTAACATTCCTTCCCTACTGTGCTTCAGGTCAAAGCGTTGTTTACAACTAACGTAAGGGGGCCCTGCCTTAGATGTTTTATCACGTGCCGCTTTTCAAATTTAAGCGGGATCTTGTTTAGTTTTGGAAGGAATAGTCATTCGGGTGGCCATTTTTAAACAAACTTTAGCTTCCACAACTCTAAACATTATAGTCAGCTCTATTTCGTTTTCCAAAGATGTACTTTCCTAGGCTAATAGTTTCTTCAAATCAAATCATTCCTCAAGGCTTGACCCATACACTCCAGAAGTTCATACACAGTGTCCTTGTTGGTATAATTTAACCTTGCACTCTGAGCTTTTCTCCATGGTCCAAAATCATCATTCACTTTGTCAAGAATACTCTCCACAAACAAACTCACTTTCACTCTGCCCAGATTGGTGTTTTCATTGCCTGTCTCTTGAGATTTTCCATTTTTACACTTACTGTATGAGGTGAAGAACGTTTTCATGCTTCTCCAATTTCCCCCAAGACTTTTTTGAAGGATGTGAAGGGAACCGGTAGATGTTGCCAGATCAGCACTCAGCTGTTAACTAGAATTTGCGCGCTCTTCAAGTGTTTATTTTATAAAATGTACCAGTAATAGCATTGTCTATTTATTAATAAAGGGAATAGGTACAATGCATTATTTGATTTAACTTGAATTTCGCAAAAGTATAGTCAAGTACCTATAGGTGCCCCCCCCCTCCCCCCAGAGAAGTACCTTAAAGAAACACTGGAATCACGTACCACTTTTCGATTTCAAATTTAAGCGTTTAAGTGTTTAGTTTCTAGAGCGAATAGCCACCTTTCATTATAGGTAGCATATATTATGTTCTTATATATATGATAGATAGCCACTCTTGTCTCTTTGTAACCACTGCAATGTACATTTTTAAACGTTGCCGGGTTGTGTAGTGTTAAAGTTAGCTTAGAATGTGGGGGGTTAGGAGCACTACAATATTTATAATCGAAACAATTTTTAATTGAGAGTATTTAATTTAATATATTAGATTAGCAGTATGAGTCAGGATCCCTTTTAACCATTTAGCGTACGGGTTGGGAGCCACGGCCTAATTAGTAAAAAAAAAAAGTAAAGGCGCTGAAAACAATTCGACCATTTTTCTAACATAAGTGTGTCGAGGTAAGTGCTGTCTAAAAACTTTAGCCTCTTTTATGTGCTAAAACATGTTTTTTAGGATCAAATTTATTGTTTATTTGTCTCATAATCACTATCAACACATTTCAAATCTTTAGAAGCGTTATGTTTTAAAAGATGTCGCATATAGCTGTGTTTAATATTTGTCTCATAATCACAATTAGCACATTTAAAATGCTTAGAAAGTTTATGTGTTAAAAGATGTTGTTTGATGGCATCTTTATTATTTGTCCCATAATCACAATTAGCACATCTGAAATCCTTAGAAGCTTTATGTTTTAAAAGATGTCGTATGTAGTTGCGTTTAATATTTGTCTTATAATCACAATCGGCACATTTAAAATCTTTAGAAATTTTATGTTTTAAAAGATGTTGTTTGATGGCATCTTTATTATTTGTCCCATAATCACAATTAGCACATCTGAAATCCTTAGAAGCTTTATGTTTTAAAAGATGTCGTATGTAGTTGCGTTTAATATTTGTCTTACAATCAGCACATTTAAAATCTTTAGAAACTTTCGAGGAAACTTTATGTATTAATAGATGTCGTTTGAGGCTGCCTTTAAAATTTGTCATATAATCACAATTGGTACATTTAAAATCCTTTGAAACTTTATGTTTTAAATGATGTTTTTTTAAGCTGTCTTTAAGATTTGTTTCATAATCACAATCAGCACATTTAAAATCCTTGGAAACTTTATGCCTTAAAATATGCCGTTTGAAGGTCCATTTATCATTGGTCCAGAAATCACAATCAGCACATTTAAAATCTTTAGAAACTTTATGTATTAAAAGATGGCGTTTGAAGCTGCCTTTTAAATTCGTCTCATAAGCACAATCGGTACATTTAAAGTCCTTGTAAACTGTATGTTTTAAAAGATGTTGTGTTAAGTGGCGTTTAGCATTTGTTTCATAATCACAACTAGCACATTTAAAATCTTTAGACACTGTTTTACACTGAGTAAAAAGATGACATTGAGAGTCAGAGTGTTGCTGTACTTCTTCATTATAAAGAGATTTAGAACACTGTGTACCTCGTTGTGTACTAATCTTAATTTCGTCCTTTACGGTCACCAAAACTTCGTTGCTTACTGAAACGTGTCCTTGAAGATAGGAATGGATTTCTTCTTCTTGTTTTGGTTCGATTTTAATGAGTGGCACATCTTTTCCGTCCATACCTAACATTTAACAACAATATTGTTATAAATAAATGTATTAAAAATATGTTTGGATTTATGATTTATCAAAAACGTATTTTGGTATTGAACACAAAGGACAAAGGTAGATCTCTGTGCAATCAGACATTACTTACTTACTTTCTGAGTAACAGAATTTGTTGAATAAGTTGTTATGTTCTCACTCAAACACTCGCGAAATACATTTGACCATACTGTACTATACAACAATCTGAACTTATCTGCATGCCTGTGTCTGACAATGTTGTAAGTACTCCATATAAATTCATGCACTGTGTACAGTAACGCAAGTCGTTTCGCTATCGTTATGAATTTTTGTATTTTTGCATACTTTACTGCCTTAGATCATATAGATCATAAGTAGATTTGTATATTCCCTAGATATAACCATCCATTTACTTGCAAGCAAAGCGCCCTCTATTGAGCAGCAGTATAATCATGCACAGTTTAAAACTGCAAAATTGCCCTTATGAATTTATGCTTTAGACTTCGCTGCAAAAAATTTAACGCGAATGCCTAGCTCCATTGTTCAATTACATAATGGTACACCCTTATAATCCATTTTGTGAAATATTACTTGGTTCCATCCTCTATATACAATCTACGATGATGCACACATTTTTGAGAGCTGGCAATCACGCAATGTTTAGGAGAGAAAAGTTCTCTGCGCGGGAGAGCACGAACATTGGTTACGTTTGACATCTTGATTTTAATGGCTCTCACGAAAGCATCGCTCCGTAAACGTCTGCTGGTTTTTATGCTGTCTAAAGCATTTCTTTGTACTATATTGTGTGTCATATCTTATATTTTCTGTGAGTTTCAATCTTTGATTTTGAAGTTGACTTGATTTAACCTCAGTCAAGATTCATTTGTTTAATACCGTTAACCTTTTGTTTGAAATCGGGTTTTTTTGTTGGGTATAATGTTTCAATTACGTGGTTTATTGTTGGGCATTATTTTAAACATGTATAAATTATCGAACTGTTTGTTGTGCGCAAGTGTATCGACTTGCTGTTTGTAAACTAACATTTTCGCCTTGAAGAGACGGTCACTGGGGCAATAAAAAGCTGTAACCAAATGAGTTACAGCCCTCAATACCGGGGCTGATCTCGACATTCAACTGTAGGCTGAAATCCCGAACGATGGGCGGGTTACCTGTCTCGGGGGCGAGATACTGCTAATGAAATCTATGCGTGATATGAGTTGTGATTTCCACATATGTTCTGGTAAGATTAAATTTGCCCTACAAGACCATGTAATTTTCCATCTTGCTCTTAACAGATGGGTTTTATTTATAGCACAACAAATCAGTCACATTCCGTGCATTTCAACCTGTTGTTATAACTTTAACTGCAACCAACTTGAAATTATTAATCAAAGGTCAAAATTTTTGAATATTTGTACTTGACATTGCATCAATTTTACCTACTTTGTACTAATAGTTTACCACGACATGTTTCATTGTTTTGTTGTTATACTAGCCTTGCACTATTTGATCCTGATAATAATGAATATGTGATATGCCTCATCCTTTTGAAATACTTGCCCGTTGCACGTAAAAATGCAATTAAGCCACATGCTAGAGACATTGATGTGTGTGCATTTGTTTTTAATGCGTCTTAGTTTAGCAAGGTCTTAGCTTAGAAAAGAGCGACTTTTGGTGATAACCAATTGCTAATCGTTTCTTTTAGTTGATGCTTCACATATGTGCATATGACTCAATATTGGTTTTATGTCAACCTTGTGAATATGCCGTTTTTAAGTTACCTATGTTAGTTGTAAAATTGCATTGATCACCTTTAAATTCTTGAAGAAATCGAGATAAGGAAATAATTTTTGCAAGTGCATTTACTTTTACTGCCGTATAAACTACAATACCAATATTGATTACTTTTGGCCATTGTAAATAAACAAAATGGCGGTCTTTACATTGTGCTGCCACCAGCGGTCTCACTCTCACTGTTTATCTTAATCGCGACTGTACCTAAGTAACGTGATGTTAGATGTTGGTTGGATCAATTTGGATAATAGTTATATGATCTAAGACACTTTTTTCTAAAGTCTCTTAGAGAAGTTCATAGACCAAGTGGTTTGAGTGAGAAAATAACAGTGTAACTCTTATTCAACAAATTCTGTTACTTAGATAGGATTTAGGTAATATCTTGTTGCTCTGGGATCTCCCTTTGTATACATTTTTTATAAATCCAAACAGAATTTTAACACATTTATTTATAACATTATTGTCGTTAGGTATGGACGGATATGATGTTGTGCCACTCATTAAAATCGAACCAAAACAAGAAGAAGAAATCCATTCCTTTCTTCAAGGACACGTTTCAGTAAGCAACGAAGTTTTGGTAACAGTAAAGGACGAAATTACCATTAGTACACAGTGTGCTAAATCTCTTTGTAATGAAGAAGTACACCAACACTCAGACTCTCAAGGTCATCTTTTTGCCGAATGCAAAACAGCTAGTTGTGATTATGAGACAAATACTAAATACGAAACTAAAAATCTTGATAAACAGCGCCTTTTAAAGCATAAAGTTTCTAATGATTTTAAATGTAGGAATTGTGATTATCACACAAATGTTAAACGCTACTTCACACAACATCTTTTAAAATATAAAGTTTCTAAGGATTTTAAATGTGGCGATTGTGGTTATGAGACAAATTTAAAAGGCACCCTCAAACGGCATCTTTTAATACATAAAGTTTCTAAAGATTTTAAATGTGTTGATTGTGATTTCTGGACCAGTGATAAATGGACCTTCAAAAGACATATTTTAAGACATAAAGTTTCCAAGGATTTTAAATGTGCTGATTGTGATTATGAGACAAATCTTAAAGACAGTTTTAAAACACATCTTTTAAAACATAAAGAGTGTAAGGATCTTAAATGTGCCGATTGTGATTACGAGACAAATTTTAAAAGCAGCTTCAGACGACATCTTTTAATACATAAAGTGTCTAAAGATTTTAAATGTGCTGGTTGTGATTTCTGGACCAATGATAAATGGACCTTCAAACGACATGTTTTAAGACATAAAGCTTCAAAGGATTTTAAATGTGCCGATTGTGATTATGACACAAATATTAAACGTAACTACATACGACATATTTTAAAACATAAAGTTTCCAAAGATTTCAAATGTGCTTATTGTGATTATGATACAAATGTTAAAGGCAGCCTCAAGCAACATCTTTTAACACATAAAGTTTCTAAAGATTTTAAATGTGCTAATTGTGATTATATGACAAATGTTAAAGGCAGTTTAAAACAACATCTTTTAAAACATAGGGTTTTTAAAGATTTTAAATGCAGCGTTTGTGATTATGAAACCAATGTTAAAGGCAGCTTCAAACAACATCTTTTAACACATAAACTTTCTAAGGAGTTTAAATGTGCTGATTGTGATTATGAGACAAATGTTAAAGGCCGCTTCAAGCGACATCTTTTAAAACATAAAGTTTTAAACGGTTTCAAATGTGGTGATTGTGATTATGAGACAAATATTAAACGCAACTACATTTTTAAAACATAAGGCTTCTAAGGATTTCAAATGGGCGGATTGTGATTATAATCTTAATAATATTAACGGCAGCTTCAAGGAACATAAAGTTTCTAAGTATTTCAAATGTGGTGATTGTGATTATGAAATAAATTATAAATTCGATTTTAAAAAACACGTTTTAAAACATAAAAAAGGGTAAATTTTAATGACTACACTCACTATATTAGAAAACGAACGACTTGTTTTTGGCGCCTTTGTTTTTCACTCGGCTCATCAGGCACACTGGCGCATTAACTATTGCAATTTAAATATATATTTTACTCCATACATACCTTAACAATTGTTCCCTTATAAATATTGTACTTAACATTACCTTTGAGAGGTTCCACCCTGTATATACAACTTACGACGATATATACATTCTTGAGAATTGGCAACCATGCAATTTCTGGGTGGGGAAAAGCTGCCTGCGCCACCTAGAAAGCACGAACGGGGGTTACTACTGTGCTTTGGGTCAAAGCGTTGTCTACAACTAACGTAAGGGGGCCCTGCCTTAGATGTTTTATCACGTGCCACTTTTCAAATTTAAGCGGGATCTTGTTTTGTTTTGGAGGGAATTGCTATTTTTAAACGTTGCCGGGTTGACTTCATTTCCGTGTTTTTGTAGTGTGAAGTTAGCGTAGAACCTGAGGGTTAAGTACACTACAACTGTTATTAAAGAATGTTAATTGGACTAGAGCGGCATCAGAAGGCATTTCAAGTCATCGAGGTGCCCTTCCAAATCGTCATATATACTTGGTAAAAAACTGTTCAATAAATTACCAACGGCATTTAGATCTCTAACAACATTAAACGCGCATTAATATCAGAGTATGGCAAAATACTTTTAAAAAAGTAATAAATACTTAAATTTTAATTACTTTATTCAAATAGAAATTCATTGCAAAATATTTAAATACTTCACAAATTTTTAAATAGTAATTCAAATACTTTTCTATTGAGTCCTTTAAAAAGTAATTGGGTAATTAAATAGTAATTGAAAAATAATTGTGTTATTTTTGTAATGAGTACTTGGAAAATAAAATAACTTAATATTAACAAAGTAATTAATTACTAATTGCTACTTGAAATATTTTTATATTTAAATAGTAATAGAACTACTTTTGTATTGAATATTTCGAAAATAATAAATGTTTACACAGTAGGTACCTAATTAATTAACACTTGAAATGCTTTCATGCAATTAAAGAAGAATTTAGTATTTAACTAGTTCTTGAATTAACCCCAGTTGGCGATCAGTAGGGGACGTTTTGAGCTACCTGCGAACCCACTAGAAATGACCCGAACAGCTGGAAATATCAGAAAATTAATAGCTTTTTTAAAGGAAATTGATGTATTCGGAAAACTATAAGTAGTTTTGCGTAGGTTAGACATATAATAGGCTAATGACCTTAGCTGTCGATGCCTTTAATAATAAAAAAAAAAAAACAAAAAAACATAATATATATAAATATTTGAGATGGAATACAGTTCTTACTCATGCCAATAACTACACAAATGTTATATTCATGCGAATGTAAAAGGGTAAACCGCTCAGTGAAAACTCACCTATTTGCAACTTAATTAAATCAATTAGAGCACCCACACACTCACAATGGCTTTCAGTTTTACTATGAATGCAGTAAAATAATGTCAACCCTCCTTTAAGGGATTCTTAGAACGACGGGCTCGGGCTGACCTTTTGATCCCGAGTCCTATAGACCAATTAACAACCCTAACCGTGCAGTTCACACGTCCCTTTTTTTTTGTGAATATTTCTATTTTTAAAACACCCTCGAAATTCGGTGGTCATTTGTAAGAATGAATAAACGTACCTTACAAAAGTAATTAAATAGAAGTATTTGAAATACTTTTCAATTACATTATTAATGAGTACTTAAAAGTTATTTGAAATAGTATTTGAAAGGAATTACTACTTGAAAGTAATGATTACTTATTTTCAAATAGTAATCAGTATTATTTAATTACCGGTTTGAAAAGTAATTAAAATGTAATGAGTACTTAAAATTGAAATACTGCCATACTCTGATTAATATCATACCTACTGGAGAAGGAATTTTATTCCCCTGATATATATTTTAATTCGTTTTAACGTCTTGTATGTTTTATATGTAACAATGTAAATTTTGACATGTCCTATATTACATTTATGTAATCTATTGGAAATAAATAAAACTTAAACTTCGTAGTTCCTTGGTTGATTTCGGGGCAGAGTTTCCAAAGCAACCTAAGCTTTCACGGAGGATATTAAGTTATTTCTATAGCGCTATTCACTCGCTGAGGAAAAATCTAGAGTGATCTGGAGACCACGGAAAGGTAAAATATGCTCGTAATTGTCAACACCCTATGTAGAACTTTCGCGTGTGTCAATAGCCACAGCATATTTAGGTGGACGGTTACGGCTGTCGAACCGGTGCCCGGTGGCGCTATGTTGTTTTGTGTTTTCAGTATGAATTTTGGTTTTAGTATTTCTAAACGTTAACAAATGTAACAATTTAGGAACAACAAACCGTAAGTAACTCTTTCACTTAAGTTTATTACTCAGTAAAATAAATTCATCCAGCAGCGAATACTTTTCCAATAAATTGGAATTAAAATTTCCTAACCTAATTCTGTAAACACTCTCACTAGCTAATATTCTAAGTAGAACCGCTTTTAATTTAATTTTTCCTTATTATTATGTCTCTCTGGAGATTTGTAAATGTTAGAAGAATTCTATTTTGATTTTTAAAGTGTATTTTAAATAATACAATTTGTGAATGAATGAATGAATGACGCGTGAATGAATTAAGGCAACTTCACTCCAGTGGCGGCGCGTACGCCCAGCTCCCACAAATACTTATTGTTTGAATATTTTTATTTCTTTGTGTATGTTACTCTAATGCGAGATTGCTCTTCAATTGTTTATTGTTATATTGCGATGGTAAGTACCCATAGTCGCTCCTTTTCAGTTAGTTGTTATTTAACCAGTTTTTTTTAGATTTTTAACAGAATAGTAATACGGCATGTTATGATGGACCCCGCTACGACACAAATGAATAAATTTCGAAGTTATGTTACGACACTGGCAGATCCAAACTGCAAGGATGATCTCAAACTGAAGGCCACACAGGAGATAAACGAAAATTTTGAGGTAAACATGTAACCTTTGTAACTGATTTGTTCCGAGTCTTTGAGTCAGATTTTTTCAAATTTTCTTGAATTTTTAATTTTTGTAAATTTTCGGATTTTCTTGTTTATGAATGTTTTACATGATACCAAATGTTCAGTGTCCTCTTTTGAATTCGAAATTTTAAATTAACATTTCGAATTCTCACTTCCTAACAATTTGAATTTTTTTTTTTTTCAAAAAATTATATTCCAGAAACGACTTATTTGGAATTTTTTAAATTTTTGTAAGTCTAATTTGTATGGATTACCGAATCTCTTTTTTCTCAATTTTGTGGACTTTTCTTAATTTTTTTAAGTTGTACCTGATTTTTTTAAATTTTCCGAATTTTTCCAAATTTTATAAGTACTCGATTTACTCGAGCGCGTCATATTAAAGTGGGTTAACTACGTGTTAAAAGTGTGCATTTCAATAATCGCAATTTTTTTGATTTTTGAATTTTTTGTAGATACTCTCAATTTTCTGAATTTTGTTACTTGCTGAATCTTCGGAAATATCCAAAATGTTAAATACTTCTCTTTTCCAGATTATAATCTCATCTCCACTGTATGGCAACTTTTTGGATCACTCTTTGAAGATATTTCTGAAAATATTGCAAGAAGGCGAACCACATTTTATAGCCGAATACAACATTCAACAGGTCAGTTGTAATGGTCTCATCTCTTTTTGTTTAAAAAACCCTTGTCGCTAGGTGCGAAAGCTGATATTGGAGATGCTACATCGTTTGCCCACCAATGATACACTACGACCGTACGTAAAACCGATACTGTCGTTAATGTTAAAACTACTCGAACTAGAAAATGAAGAAAACGTGCTCGTGTGTTTAAAAATTATCATCGAACTTCACAAGCAGTACAGGCCCGCGTTTAACACGGAGATACAGCACTTCTTGCAGTTCGTCAAGACCATCTATTCGGATTTGCCGAATCATATGAATAAGATTTTCGAACCCAAGCCGGCGATTAAAGTTAAGGATCTAAGCGAGTTGAATATTCTGGAACTGCTGAAGGAGACCTTTACCATTACCACGATACAGACCGAGAATAAGACCAAAGATGGGACGGCGATTGTGGTGAGTACCGCGGCGGTGGTAACGTGTGTCTTGATCGCTAAGTTTTAGTATAATTTGATACCGAAAGCTATACTCTCGCTGAAGGTTTTGCAAGAGCTACCTATTATTGTGGTGCTTATGTATCAGCTGTACAAGCAAAGCGTGCATCAGGATGTTAGCGATTTTATTCCGCTGATAATGACGACAATTACTCTTCAACCGTCCCCTCAGCAAAGGTAAGCGGTTCAACTTACTGTAGAATTTTGGTGTACACTACTAGCATTTTGTGGAATTTTTTGAAATTTTTCTAGAATTTTTAGCACCTTTTTGAATTTTCTAGAATTTTTTTTGAATTTTTGCAGAACTTTTTTGAATTTTCTAGAATTTGTTTAGAATTTTTTACCTCCAGGGTTCTAAAAAAATTCAAGAAAATTAAAAACATTTTAAAAAATACTCCAAAAACATTAAAGTATGTATCTAAAAAATTCTAAAATTGTATAAAAAAATAATTGTGTGCCTCTGCGCTCGGAAAAAATTCTAAAAATATTTTTCATACATCTAAAAAATTGTAAAAAAACTCAAGAAAATTATAAGAATTGTTTAAACTAATCATGCGTTCGGAAAAAATTCTGAAAAAGTTTTGAAAAAAACAATAGTGGTGTACACTAATTCTACAATAATTTTTCCTCGGGGTGAACAACTTTACATTTTGTGTACAAAGTCACTTCCGGTTGACGAATATTGACCAACATTTAAACAATTAGTCCATTGATCATTGTCGACCTATTGCAACAAACAGAATTGGAAGTTTCGAAACCGACAGACGACAAAGTCCAAAACTCGGTTTTTGTCGCTCGTTAATAATCATTGTGTGCATGTTTGTTCGGAAAAATTCGAGGAAAAATTCGAAAAAAGTTCTACAAAATTCAAAAAATTTCTAAAAACATTCTTGAAAATACTAAAAAATTAAAAAAAAATTCTAAAAATTGTATGAAATAATTTTGTGCATGTGCGTTCGGAAAAAATCTAAAAAAAATTAGGAAAAATTTTAAAGAAATTCTAGAAAATTCTACGAAATTCCAAATAATTTCTGAAAAATTAAAAAAATTCTCAAAATTCTAGATAAACAAAAAAATTCTACAAAACACTAGGGGTAAACCACTTCACATGCGTGCACTAAAGTTTTAAAAAAATCTTTGCGTGCGGAAAACAATTCTAAAAGTTTTTAGAAAATTTATGAAAGTTCGCGGGTGTACACCAAAATTCTAGTGATATTCCCTCTTCAATTTTTGTGTAAACATTTCTAGATGGTTCTAGAAAATCCAAAAAATTCAAGAAAATTCTAGAAAAACTAAAAAATTTTACAGTGATTTTCCATCGGGGTAAATTACTTCGAATTTGGTGTACACTAAAAATTCTAGAAAATTTTAAAAATGGTATGAAATTAGGTGTGCATGTGCGTTCGGAAAAAATTCTGGAAACTTCAAGAAACGTTCCAAACCAATTATACAAAATTCTAAAAAAATTCTAGGAATAACGTTACACAATTTTAAAAATTCAAAAAGAAAGATTCTAAAAAATTCTACAGAACGCTGGTAATGTACGCCAAAGTTCTAGTGATCTTCCTTCTTCAAATTTAAAAATTCTACAAAGCTCTAAAAGTTGTATAAAATAATAATTGTGTGCACGTGCGTTCGGTAAAAATTCTAGAAAATTCTAAACAATTCAAAAAACATTTAAACATTTTAAAAAATCTCAAAAAATTCGAGAAAGATTCTAAAACACTTCTAGAAAATACTAACAAAATAATAATTGTGGGGGCATGTGCGTTCGGAAAAAAAATTCTAGTAAATTCAAGAAACTTCTGGAAAGATTCTAAAAAAATCAAATTCTAGAAACTTAAAAAATTTCTAAAAGTTCAAGACAAACTAACAACGTAGTGTACACCAAAATTCTACAGTAATTTTCCCTCAGGGAAACCACTTTACATGTTGTATACACTAAAGTTCTAAGAAAATTCTAGAAAGTTCTAAAAATTCTATAAAATCATTGTGTGAATCTGCGTTCAGAAATCAATTCTGAGAAAATTCTAGAAGATGTAAGAAAGTTCTAACAACATTCTAGGAAGTTCTAAACAAATTCTGGAAAACTCTAAAAAATTTAATAGAAATTGTAAAAAATTCAAGGAAAGTTCTAATAAATAAATAATAAATTCTAGAAAATTTATGAAAGTTCTAAATCATTCTAGAAAGTTCTAAAGAAATTCTGGAAAATTCTAGAAAAGTTAAAAAAATTGTAGGAAATTTAAGAGAAGTTCTAATAAATAATAAATTCAAATTTTAGAAAATTCTAAACAAATTCTACAAAATGCTGGTAGTGTACACCAAAATTCTACATTGATTTTCCCTCTTTAAATTTTGTGTAAACTAACATTCTGGAAAGTTCTAAAAATTCTATAAAATAATAATTGTGTGCATGTGCGTTCGGAAAAAAATTCTTAGAAAATTCAAGACAGTTCTAAAACATTCTAGGAAATTCTAAAAGATTAAACAAATTCTAAAACATTCTTACAGTTTCTAAAAACTTTTAGAAAATAATATTAGAAAAAAAATAATTCTGTGCATTGCGCTCGGATAAAATTTTTGTTTTAAACATTGTATGGAATAATAAGCGTGTGTGAATGTGCTTACGGAAAAAATGCTTCAAAATTCAAGAAAAGTTCTAAAAAAATCTTCTAAAAAATTCAAAAAATATTCTAAATAAATTCTAGACAATTGTAAAAATTGTATAAAATCATTGCGCTCATGTGCGTTCGGACAATTCTAAAAAATGTTTAGAAAATTCTAAAGGAATTCTAGAAAATTGTAAGAATTGTACAAAATAATCATTATGTGTGTTCGGAAAAAATCTAGCAAATTGGAAAATTTAAGAGTTTTAAAAACATTCTAGAAAATGTACAGTACATACTAGCATGTTATAACATTTTTTAGAACTTTTTAATTTTTTAGAACATGCTACTGTACATTAAAATTATAAACCTATACTAACTATACTAACATTCTAAAAAATTCTAGAAAATTTTAAAAATTGTATAAAATGATAATTGTCTGCATGCGTGTTTAGAAAAAAAATCTAAAAAATTCAAGAAAAGTTCTAAAAAAAATCTATAAAATACAAAGAAAGTTGTACAAAATTTAAGAAAGTTCTAAGAACTTTTTAGAGAATTCTAAAAAATTAAAAAATTCCAGAAACACTGACAATCAAAAAATTAACTCACCACCTACACGGGGGGATACTCACATTAAAGGGCCATTACGATCGTGACCGGAGCGCGTACGCAACTCGACTGCCTTAACACGGCCTCTTAAGACCCTTACACCCAGCTGTGCAGAATCTCGCTTACTTGACCAGTCAGCTTGCCACATTTATCAAATAGGAGTTGTGTTTACATTTTACTTTTTCATTATGGGGCACCATAAAATATCGTTCCTACATTTGTTAGAATTTTCTTGAATTTTTTCTAGAAATTTTTATATGCTAGGATTTTGTAGATTTTTTTTGAATATTTTAGAACTTTCTTGAATTTTCTAGAATTTTTTTTAGAATTTTTTCCGACGCCCATACAATTTTTAGAATGTCCTAGAATTTTTTTAAAAATTTTTTCTAAATCTACTTGCATTTTTTTTGGTACAATTTGTAGGTTTTTTTCATATTTTTCATTGACTAACTTAACACGAAAACTTGGTTTTAGACAAGCTGACAATTTTAACAAAGAAATATTTGTCGACTTCATGGGCGCGCAGATAAAAACCTTGTCGTTTCTCGCCTACATCATAAAGATTTACCAGGAGGTGGTGTCGAACCATTCGAATATGATGGTTCAGGGCATGCTGCAGTTACTCGCGCTCTGTCCGATGGAAGTGGCGCACTTGCGACGAGAGCTGCTTATAGCGGCGAGGCACATTTTAGCTACGGATTTGCGAAACAGTAATATGCGAATTTTGAAACTAAGCTGTTGCTAAACCAGTGTTGTAGAATTTGTGAACCACATGGAAAAACTGTTCGACGAGGACATTCTGCTGGGTAGAGGGTGGACTACGCACGAATCTCTGCGTCCGCTTGCCTATTCTACGCTGGCTGACTTGGTGCATCACATAAGGCAGCAGCTCCCTCTGTCGGATTTGGCGAGGGCGGTGCACTTGTTCAGCAAGAACGTTCACGACGATAGCTTAGCGACCACGTAAGTAACTCCACTTGTATCATGTTGTGTAATGAGAAATTGCAGCATACAGACGATGTCGTGCAAATTACTCTTGAATTTGGTCGATTGTATTCGGATAAGGGCGGAGGCTGAAAATAGTGCGGAGGGGCGGGAATTGCTGATGAGAATGTTGGAGGTGTTCGTCTTGAAGTTTAAGACTATATCAAAGATTCAGTTGCCGATTTTAATGAATAAGTGGTAAGTATTGTTTTGCTGGTACGTGACCTGACTTGACCTGCTCTCACTCGGTTCTTGGTTCAAATAAGGTCCGTGGACAAAGTCGAGTTTGCAGATCATACTTTCGGCAGGTTTGATTGGAATATCCCATGAATTACTGAGTCAATTGACTCATGTCCCAATTCAAATACATAATAACAATTAAGGAAAATTCAAAAATTCCAAAAATAAAAAAATCTCAAGCATCTCATTTTTGAAAGAAGTTTTACACATAAGGCGAATTTTGAATATTGGAAACATTTAAACAAATGATAACACTTAAAAGAGACCCGAATGTACATAAAAATTAAAAAAAATTAAATCAAAAAAAGTACATCAGAAACCATTGAGAATGATTCCGGAATTAAAAAAAAAAAATACGAAATTCATAGATTCAGAAAAATGAGCAAATTTCAGATAGATTGCGAAAGACTTAGCTACTAACTCAAAGAATTTAGATTTCCAAAAATTCATAAAAATGTTTCCAATTTTCTTAAATTCTTTGAGTTAGTCGAATTTTCTGAATTTCATTTTTTATAACATTTAATTTTTTATGAATTGTCTATTCTCTCCACATTTTTGAAATTTTCCAAATTTCTTGAACTTCTGTTAACATTTCCGGTTTTTCCTGACTTTTATTAATATCTTCGATTATATGAATTATTAATTTTCTTTGAAGTTGTTTCCGATTTTTTTAGGTTTTCCTCAAATTTTTACAAATTTTCGATTCTTTTTATTTTTTGGATTTTTTTAAAGTTTTTCTGATACTTTTTCAAGGATTTTGAAATTTGTTAATTGTTTATGAATTTCTATGAATTGTGGATCTTCTACAAATTTTGTTAATTTCCCTGAATTTCCGGAACCTGTTAGGTTCACCTTTGAATTCTGGTCGTTGCGGCCGTGTGAATTCAGAAGAGCGCGTTTTGCAAATCTGTAGAGATAACAACACAAACAAAATAAAGGGGTAGTGAACCGCGCCGCACATAAAATATTGCGAAATAGCAATGCTAACGTCTGACACGGAGGCAAGATCTTGCAAACACGCACTGCGTGACGGAGTTTTTTTTCTTAGGGGCGAAATTAATCACTTTTTGCAAAGGTGCGCTCTTCGAGGGGTAGTCGACTTCGAAGGCCCAAACGGTATCTTCCGCTGCGAATTTTGTCAAGCTCGAATCGCGATCTTTCTCGTGTTGCCAATAGAACTCAAGCTATGAGAAGTGACCCAGTGACATTTCCAATTTTTTCCCAATTTTGTGATCTCTCCGATTATATAAATCCTTCATTTTTTTTTAAATTGTGCCATCGTTTTTCTTAAATTTTTGGAATCTTGAGCGTTCTTCCAATTTTAGTATCTTTTGTTTATTTCTTCGAGTTAGCCTCATATTCTGAATCCCAATTTTTTGAAAAATTGACGATTTTTGAATTTGCCTGAATTTTCTGTATTTTTCGGAATTGTTTTCTTGAATTTTTCCAACTTATAAAGTCTTTCAAAGTTACTCCCCAGTTTTATTTTACAAATTTTTTCGAATTTATAACTTTTTTAAATTTGAGAATTTTTTGAATGTTCCCTAATTTTTTTTATATACATATTTGAATTTTTGTGTACATTTGCAAAAATTTTGGGCGCTTTTTCGAAACTAAAATTCGTTTTTTTGCAATTTCAACTTTTTTTCGATTTTGGGAATTTTTTTGTTTACTCGCACCCAAAGTGCATTATTGAAAAATGAATTTTTGGTCATTTGAGCATTTTTCCAATTTTTTTGATTTTTCAATGTTTATACCGGGCACAGTGGTATAGATAGAGTACAGGGTGGTCCAATAAGACTGTTCCTCGGCCATATCTCGGGAACTGTTCGTCGTATGGGGTAGACAAAATTATTGGGTAAAATGGTTATGAAGAATCGCTGGAAAATACTTTCAAGTTCTAAAAATGACCACCAGAAGGCGGAACTGCCATCGTAAATTTTAAAATTAATAATAAACTAAACATTCTTTTTTCACATTTTTAAAGAGAACCAGCATTCCTTGGGCAACAAGAATATAGTTAATTTAGTTGAATCTTTTTCCGCCAGGGGGCTAGTTTTGACACTATGATCCAAAATCCTAAAAAAATCAAATGGAATGATGACTCTTTCTTTATGAAAAAGTAGCCAAATATCACCAAAAGAGGTCAGTGAATACCTTTTTTCAAAATATCGTTCCTAACCTCAAATATTGGGAAAATGAGATTAATTAATTAATTAATAAAAATGCTTAAATTGTATCTTATTTGACGTATTTCCGGTATTTGTCGATGGCGCGAAAGATTGTTTGGAAAAGACCCTACACTTTTAGGTAGGCCTTGGAAAATTAAACAAATGAAACACGAATGCATTATATATTATATATATTGCCTATATATAAATTATTATTATATATAAAAAATTTTTTTTAGTTTATGCGAAATTGAAAGAAAATCCAATTTTAAAATTTAAGATGGCAGTTACGCCCTCTGTTGGTCAATTTTAGAACTTGAAAATATTTTCCAGTGATTCTTCATGACCGATTTACCCAATAATTTTTTTTACCCCTGTCATATGACATTTTTCCTCGAGATATGGCCGAGGAACAGTCTTATTGGGTCACCCGGTACATAAACATTATAGAAAATTCACAAAATAAAAATTAAGAACGGGAAAAGAATCGTAAAAAATCCACCAATGTAAAAAAAATCGAGCACAATTTATAAAATTCAGGAAAATCCGTAAATTTGAGTGAAATTCAAAGAATTTGGGAAAATTCAAAAATTTGGAGAGAATCCACCATTCATAATGAAAGGACTTCGTATAAAATGAGAAACGTTGAAGAGGTTCCCAAAATTTGGAAAAAAATTCCAGAGATACAGGAAATTCAGGAATTTCCAAAAGAGCACCAGAAGCGGGAATATTTTCAGGCATTCAGAAACGTAGAACTGTTTCCTAGTCACAGCGCCATAGCTTTAGATACTATACCGTGGGGCCTTCGGACACGATTCGAATTTCTTCAAGGTTTCCTAAATATTTCCTTGAACTTTTACAAAACTTACACGTAAGTATATGGGAAAACAACAATTTTCATCATTTACAAAATTTTTTAAATTTTTTAAAAATTTGTCTCGCCTGAACTTAAATTTTGTAGTGTACTTTGTTTTATTTATTTTTTGAATTGCCAATTTATGTCTAATTTTTTGATTTTTTAATTATCACAATTTTGTAATTTTCCGGAATACATATTTCAATTTTTTAAATTCTGAATTTGAATGTTTGTATACAGGGTGTAGCATCTAAGACCCCTCGGATCATAATTCCTTTACCATTGTCGTCGCCATGTTTTCAACATATTTTTGATCACCAAGGGCGTGCTGTATTCCAGTGGCGTATCAAACTTGTTTTTTTTTATGGAACACCCCATATTTTATTGCAGATTTGGAAAGTACTGGAAAACTTATTTTTTTAATGTAACATGTTATACCTTTTGTTCTAGTAAAATCTATTGCAAATAATTAACGAAGACCATTTACGATAGTTTTAAGAGACGTTGCTAGTAAAAAATTGGTTTTGAATCAATAGCGTGTTTACATTTTTTGGAATTTTTTCCGGAATGTTCTAATTTTTGGAAAAAATTGAAGAAAGTTAACAAAAACTATTTTACAAATTTTTTCGAACTTATAATTTTTTTAAATTTGTGAATTTTTTGAATGTTCCTTGATTTTTATATATTTAAATTTTTGCAAAAATTTTGAGCGCGTTTTTCGAAACTAAAATTCGTTTTTTTTGGAATTTTCATTTTTTTTCGATTTTGGGAATTTTTTTAATTTTTTAGTTTAGTCGCACCCGAAGTGCATGATTGAAAAATGAATTTTTGGTGTTTTGAGCATTTTTCCAGTTTTGTTGAGTTTTCAATGTTTTTATATAGAAAATTCACAAAATAAAAATTAAGAACGTGAACAGAATCGTAAAAAATCCAACACTTTAAAAAAAATCGAGCACAATTTCGAAGAAAATTTAAAATTATGTCGACAGATTTATAAAACTCGGGAAAAGCCGTAAATTTGAGTGAAATTCAAAAATTTGGAGAGAATCGATCATTCATAAAGAAAGGACTTCGTATAAAATGGGAAACGTGGAAGAGGTTTCCAAAATTTGGAAAAAAATTCCTGAGATACAGGAAATTCACGAATTTCCAAAAGAGCACCAGAAGCGGGAATATTTTCAGGCATTCAGAAACATAGACCTGTTTCCTAGTCACAGCGCCATACCTTTAGATACTATACCGTGGGAAAACAACAATTTTCATCATTTGCAAAATTTTTTTAATTTTTTACAAATTTGTCTCGCCTGAACTTAAATTTTGTAGTGTACTTTGTTTTATTTATTTTTTTGAATTGCCAATTGATGTCTAATTTTTTGACTTTTTAATTTTCAGAATTTTGTAATTTTCCGGAATTTCAATTTTTTAAATTCTGAATTTGAATGTTTGTATACAGGGAGACCGAGACCCCTCGGATCATAATTCCTTTACCATAAAAGATACCGAAAAAAGTTTTAGGCCAAAGTTGTATACGATTGTCGTCGCCATGTTTCCAATATATTTTTGATCACCAAGGGCGTGCTGTATTCCAGTGGCGTATCAAACTTGTATTTTTTATGGAACACCCCATATTTTATTGCAGATTTGGAAAGTACTGGAAAAGTACTTATTTTTTTAATGTAACATTTTATACCTTTTGTTCTAGTAAAAGTTATTGCAAATAATTAATGAAGATCATTTACGATAGTTTTAAGAGACGTTGCTAGTAAAAAATTGGTTTTGAACCAATAGCGTGTTTACAATTTTTGGAATTTTTTCCGGAATGTTTTAATTTTTGGAAAAAATTGAAGAAACAGCTAAGTTAACACAAAAACTTTGTTTTTTTATCTGAGGACAAAACAGCTATAAAAATACAAGTACGTGCAAAACAAAATCTAGTATTATAAACAATTGAAAACTATTAACAAAAATATAAAAAAATTCGGAAAAGCTAAAGAAAAATTCCAAAAATTAGAACATTCCGGGAAAAGTAGAAAATAGTCGGAGAAGCTAAAGAAAAATTGCATAAACAATTTAAAAAAATTAAAAAATCTTGAAGACACAACTAAGTTGTACGTCAAATACAAATTCAGAGAAATCAGGGCAAAAAAATTAGAAAAAATTATAAAATCCCACCGAAACATACAAATGATTGTTTTCCCGTATAAAATTAGGAACACGCAATAATTTAAGGGAAGTCTGTAATCAATTCAAAAAACTAGCGCAACAGTTTCAGCAACAGGTACACAAAAATTTAAAGATGTTTTATAGGTATCAAATTTCAAATTCAGACAAATTCGAAATACAAAATTGAGGAAAAAGATTTTAAAAAATTCAAAAATACAGAACAATTTTTTGAAATTTCCGATTTTTTTAGTGTTATATTTTTGAAGAGAGATTTTAATATGCTATATTTCTAGATTAAAGTATACTGGGTGTTCGATTAAAGAAATGAGGTTAGGTACTTGACCCCGTATACTTTTTTTCAAAACGGTAGATTATCGCTTATCCAATAATCATTATACTTAATCAAACTTTTGTAATAAACATTGTTCTGTATTTCGTCATTTTTTGGATCTTCCCCCGTATCTTTTACGCGAGCGAATATTTTCAAATTTCGATTTTTATCATTTTAGACGTGACGCCCATATTACTTTTTTGATAGCACTCATACAAAGATACCCTATAAAAGTGTAGAAAATGGAACACCCTGTACACAAAATTGAAATATTTAAACATTTAACAAAAAAGATCACGAGATAGATTTCCAATTGACCAGTTGAACCCAATAAATTTGTACACCTGATTTGATCAGCAGACCTTACCTGACCCGATTTGGCTCTTCGTCCCTGGGATCCGTGGATTAAAATCGAATTTGCAGGTCATACTTTAAACGCGTTCATATTTTACATATCCGACTAATCCCTGACAATTGACCTATAATCTGGCTATTACTCTCAACAGGTTTGTTCATAGAATTTTGGGGGGTTGCTTTACTTTCAAGACGTCTAGGAGTTCTTTCAGAATTTCCAAGAGCATCGGAAGCGGAAATATTTTCAGGCATTCAGAAACATAGAACTGTTTCTTGCTCACAGCGCCATAGCTTAAAATATTATACCGTGGGGCCGAATGTCTTCAAGGTTTCCTAAATATTTTGAATTATTTAACTCTATTCGAATTTCTGGGCCCATTTTTTGATTTTTTACATTTAAATTGACCTGTGATCTAATACTCTTAGCACATAAAATTGTGGGAGGTTGCTTTACTAGACATCTATGAGCGGGAATATTTTTTGGCATTCAGAACAGCGCCAGCATGTGGTGGCTTTGTGATGTTGGTTCCATATCTCTCCTTTTAGAGGTGTAAAGTTCAATAATAGCGACTACTCACAAAAGTTTTCGTTTCAAGCAAACAACTAAATCAGCAACTGCCCTCATCACAAGCCCCACAGCTTAACGCGTTTTTATCCGGCGACGTAAAAGCGGAGCCAGATTTCAAGACGAATTCAAACGACTTCTTGGACAACGCCCTGGGCGACAATCAAAACGCCTCGAAGGAAACCCGCTCTAAAATTGGGTGCTCGAACTCTCAAAATAACAACTACAACGTCACCGACTACCGCAGTCTGGTGAACACGCTGGTTCGCGGAGTGAAAACCATCACTTGGGGATGTGCCGCTTGCAAGGTCGGTACTTTTGGTTGCGTTTCGTACGGCTAAAAAGCGCTCTTTTAGACTGCAAACGCCTCGCCCATTATCGGCACGAAACAGTTTCAACCGCACGAAACGCTGGTGTTCGTCCGATTAGTGAAATGGGCGCTGAAGGCCTTGGATATTTACACTTTGAATGTCGGCCAACAAGCGCCCGGCATGCAAAGGCTGAATCAACAAACCGTTCGATCCAAAGAGGAAAAGGAGGTTTTGGAACACTTCAGCGGCGTTGTAAGTGTCGGATGTCGTTTAGCCTAAGGACAAGATGATTTTTTCTTTCAGTTTTCAATGATGAATCCCCAAACATTTCACGAGATATTCTCCACAACCATAGAGTACCTCGTCGAGCGCGTCTATCGGAATATGACCCTTCAGATTGTGCCGAATACTCTTCTGGCCAATCAAACCACTAGTCCCATATTTGCGACGGTTCTCGTTGAGTATCTACTCGAGCGGATGGAAGAGATGGGCTCCAATTTGGAACGGAGCAATTTGTACCTTCGCCTGTTCAAGCTTGTTTTCGGTAGCGTCTCGTTGTTCTCCCAAGAGAACGAGAACATGCTCCGACCGCATCTTCATCAAATTGTGAATCGGTAAGTAACTAGGGGGGTTTATGTTGTTAGTAGTACGATATTCGCTCGTTCGGCGGCGCATTCACGACACCTAGTCTGTACGTAAGTTAAAGAATGGCCATCACAAGTAGATTTAAAAGCTTCTTCAATCCTTTCCCATGTGTGAAGAGAATACATTTTGAAGTCTCTTACATAAAGTACATATAAAATGCATTGTTAATTAGCCGGACCTTCTCCAATCCGGAATGTATCTGAAGGTCCTGGATGCGGTAACCATAGACTAAAGTTGTAGTTCGAGTTGAATACTGTTAAATATCCTTATCAGGGCGAGAAGGTTAATTACACTCAAGAAAGGTAGATTCGTACACAGTCATCAATCTAAATCAGTTAAAACAATCAACTTAATTAATTAATTACTAACTGGCCAATCTCAAACAAATCAAAATAGAAATAACATTTACATTGAAAGCAAATAACACCAAATTCCAAGACTTACTTTACCCTGAATTACAAACAGCTGAAGGCGACATAATTTACAATAGCTAGGTACCTTTCTGTTGTATGTAGCACCAACAAAATGGAATTACAAAAATGAATAACAAATTAACTCTGACTGAGTACCCAAAGCAAGGTCACCTCAAACACAAAATGAACCTGCATGAACCGCTAAAAAGCTAACTTGGCAACGCTAATTCTACACTAAATTTAAGTGTTTTAAAAAAGAAAACCCAAGATGTTTCAAATATGCTTTTTTAAATCCAATTGACGGAAAGAATAACACTAATAGACCAAGTAAGTATGATATATCAAAATATGAAAAATTAAAAATGAATTATCCAGTAGCATTCCCGAAAATATAGAAATATATGAACAGTTTCTTAATATATCTATTAATGCATATACTTTTGTAGAAACTAAAGTTGAATTGTTGTATGTAAGTTCTAAATATAAAAAAAGTAGAAAAACATGTACCTAAATTTATTATTATATATGTAATAATCATATTGTTGGAATAAAAAATATATTTGGTTTATTGCGTGTTCAAATTCATAAAAGACATAAGCATATGTTTATTTGTATGAATGTCATTCTAAATATGATACAGAAGATAAATGAAATGTACAGCGCGTCCCATTAATAATGGTCACAGGCCATATCTATGGAACCGTTAATTGCCCCGCTTCGGGAAAAAAATTTTGTTAACAAAAGGGGTCAAGAGAAATCGCTGGAAATTATTTTCAAGTTTCTAGCTTCGCCGCTAGAGGGCGTACGATTCATGTTTACGTAGAAAAATTATTTTTTTTCTAAAATATACCCAACAAATTATTATTATTATTAATTAATTTAAAACCTTTTGGAATAACAATTATTTGATTCTATTAAATTATTTACTGCATTCCCTAAACTATTACTTATAAAACGGAAAGAATCAATAAATTTAAATTCGATGTTATTCACTTTGTACTTCATCTTTACTTCTATTATCATTTTTGATTTATATTTAGAACATTCTTCAATTACTTTCTCTTATTTCACATTTTTCACATATTGAAATATTATTATTTTGTTTATATATATCAACACATACTTTTTTAGAAAAAGTAATAAAATCTTTAGTATTACGGATAATTGTAATATCTGAATAATTAATATCCATTTTAAAAATAGCGTTGTGTCATATTTTAAATTATGAATTATTATTGGAATAAACTTGGGTAAAACTAATTTCAAATTACATTTATTACATGCAGCGCCTCTATATTTTCCAGTTACATGATCGTGATCTCTTACTTTTCTATTTATTTCTTGATCAAATTCTATTTTACATATATAACAAAATTTTGCATTCATATAATAAATCATTTTCACTACTATCATAAAAAATCATTGGTAAATTCTTTGTCCGTATTTGAATATATTCTTGTCTAATTTTAACTATTTCCTCATTAAACTGTTTCATCAATAAATCTATGTTTATATTCCTAATTGAAGTATTACAATTAGAAATAAAACCAAAACTATTTGGAATATGTTCATGAATATACTGTTATTTGATCACATATTTTTTTCAAAGTACATTCAAAATCAAGACTAACAATAAGTGGGTGAAATTGTTAAGCTCCAATAGAATTATATTTTCTAAAATCACTATCATATTCTGGCATTTCAATAATCGTTTTTTTCATGGACACACCTCTCAATGTGTACAGGGTGTCCCATTAATAATGGTCACAGGCCTTATCTATGGAACCGTTAATTGCACCGCTTCGGGCAAAAATTTTGTTAACAAAAGGGGCCAAAAGAAATCGCTGGAAATTATTTTCAAGTTTATAGCTTCGCCGCTAGAGGGCGTACGATTCATGGTTAAGTGGAAAAATGACTTTTTTCCTAAAATATACCCAACAAACATGCATAAAAAATACATGCATGTAGCAATCTCGTATCAAATTTTGCATCATTTTGATGCAGCACATATTGCTCTAGCTCATAAAATATGAGAGGTGGGGGAAGGGAACATCTCTTTAAGGAATTGAATGTAACTTCGGATTAGGTTAACAGATTTTCACATAATAGGTCTTGGAATGAGGTGGAATGAGATTTTACATAAATAGTCTTTTTAGTAAATGTAAATGTAAACTTCCGCCATTGCTATGAATTACATTTCTAATTCTCGCCACCATATCGTCTCTTGTAGTTGGCCTTGTTTGAAAGACGTCTTTTATCCTTTGCAACAAATAAAAGTCTAAGCAAGTTAGGTCGAGTGACCTAGCTGGCTTGGCTAGCCATTAAAAAATACTACAATTACTACTTTCCATTTGAGTGAAAAAGGAGCTCTAAGCTGTACCGTGCACGATGCCCTGTGTTCCTTTTAAGAAAGCTTCGAGCTCTGACGCACCCGGAATTGGATTTCCCTCGTGCACCACCTATTTGCTGGGGGCTTGAAACTTTTTTGTGGTTATTTACGTACTGTGAATGTCCATTCAAATGTGTGCAAAATGAACAACTTGCAAAACGAGCTGCTCCGAACGAACTGCACCAGAGCTTCACGCACTCAAATGGAAAAAGCAGTAAATATTGCAGTTAAAATTTGTGAATGTTCGTATTTTCGCCATACCTCTGTTTAGAAAACAGATAACAAAATGCGGTTTTCGCTGATATTTTCACTTTTTCATCTTATTTGATAATATATCATATAATAATTATATCGTTCCATTGGAAATTTTCAAAAAAAACCTGCGAAGTTTATGTTAATGTCACATCGCGCCCTCTACCACTCATCACATTTACTAAAAAGACTTCATGTAAAATCTATTCCATGAAGAGAGTTCATTCCAACAACTAACAAAACCTATTATGTGAATATCTGTTAACCTAATCCGAAGTTACATTCAATTCCTTAAAGAGATGTTCTCCTTCCCACACCCCTCATATTTTATGAGCTAGAGCAATATGTGCTGCATCAAAATGATGCAAAATTTGATACGAGATTGCTATGCATGTATTTTTTATGCATGTTTGTTGGGTATATTTTAGAAAAATCGTCATTTTTCTACTTAACCTAAAGTCACTAAATATAGAAAGTACCGCAATCCATTGGGCTCGTGTGTTAGAGAGAGAACGCATGATTTTTGCCCAAGAATGGCGGAAGTTACCAGATTCTAGTAACTTTAATGTTAGGGATTGTTCCACCTGTTTGGAGATATCTGTATATATTTTTATAAAACATGACAGTACTATGAAGTTAGGTTATAAACAATTACAGCTATTCAGATTTTATTTGTCAATTTTTTTAAGTTGGCAGCAAATTTGCCCAAAAATGGCGGATGATTGCGGTCAATGAATAAAGAATACCAGGAAGGAGAATATCAACAATTTACGTGAGACCGCGATGGCTTTTGCAAATGGCGGACAGTAGTTTCCTGTTCCAGTGGCGTACCTACCTTAGAGTTGTACAAGGATACAATTATAAAGAATTTTACACGAAAACAATTTAAACCCCCATGTGTCTACTCTGCCTATGACTTTTGTTTAGCTAACCTCAAACTACATTCCGATAAAAAATTTGTAAATTTACATGTACTATATAAAAGTAATATTGGTATCAATACTTACACATGAAATGTTATTCTTTATTCATTGATTGCGGTACTTTCTATATTTAGTGACTTTAACTTAACCATGAATCGTACGCCCTCTAGCGGCGAAGCTAGAAACTTGAAAATAATTTCCAGCGATTTCTTTTGGCTCCTTTTGTTAACAACATTTTTTCCCGAAGCGGTGCAATTAACGGTTCCATAGATATGGCCTGTGACCATTATTAATGGGACACCCTGTACATATTGAGAGGTGTGTCCATGAAAAAAACTATTATTGAAATGCCAGAATATGATATTAATGATCTTAGAAAATAGAATTCCATTGCAGCTTAACAATTTCACCCATTGGTTGTTAGTCTTGATTTAAAATGTGCTTTGAAAAAAATATGTGATCAAATATCAGTATATTCATGAACATATTATTCCAAATAGTTTTGGTTGTATTTCTAATTGTAATACTTTAATTAGGAATGAGAACATTGATGAAACAGTTTAATGAGGAAATGGTTAAAATTGGACAAGAATATATTAAGATAAGGACAAAGAATTTACCAATGATTTTTTATGATAGTAGTGAAAATGATTTATTATATGAATGCAAAATGTTGTTATATATGTAAAATAGAATTTGATCAGGAAATAAATAGAAAAGTAAAAGATCACGATCACGTAACTGGAAAATATAGAGGCGCTGCATGTAATAAATGTAATTTGAAATTAGTTTTACCCAAGTTTATTCCAATAATAATTAATAATTTAAAATATGACTCAACGCTATTTTCAAAAAGGATATTAATTAATTAATTATTCAGATATCAAGATTTTATTCCTTTTTCTAAAAAAAGTATGTGTTGATATATATAAACAAAAAAATAATATTTCAATATGTGAAAAATGTAAAATAAAAGAAAGTAATTGAGGAATGTTCTAAATGTAAATCAAAAATGATAATTAGAAGGAAAGGTGAAGAACAAAGTTATCGAATTTAAATTTATTGATTCTTTCCGTTTCATAAGTACTAGTTTAGAGAAAGCAGTAAATAATTTAGTAGAATCAAATGATTGTTATTCCAAAAGGTTTTAAATTAATGAACCCCCTTAAATCAAAGAAGGATTATACATGGTGTTTCATAATTGAATGCCAATATTTAAGGGGGCGATTTTTGGGTCCATTTTAACAAGAAAACTTCATATGAACCTATGTCCTAAACGTCTTAACTTTCGAGATACAGGGTGGTAAAGATTTCAAAAATAAATCATTTATTATTAATATCTGTAATACCACTTTAGATATTTTAATGAAATTTGGTATGTATGTATTGTACTATGTATCCAGAGGATTTTTTTTAACGTACCACATTTTTTCAATTTCCACCAGTGGTGTTCGTACGGAATTTCACATGCCCATTTTGGCAGACATTGATGGTACGCCACTGATTTCTCTGAAAATAACAATTATTCTTGAAATCCCCAATCATTTCTAAGCAAATTTGATTTGAGATGGAGAGGGAGAGCGAGAGCGAGAGGTAGGGGGAGAGAGGGAGAGCGGGAGAGGGCGAGAGAGAGAGAGAGTGGGGGAGAGAGGGAGAGAGAGAGGAGAAAGAGAGAGAGAGAAAATAAAAATTAACGAATCATTCTCCATTTCTAATATACGGAGGTAGTAATTTTCTTTTTCCTTAAAGTGAGGACTGCATGAAGAATAGGGTGTTTTTAAAGTTAGAATTTTTTTGTTTTAAATCATTGGATATCTGTAAGATTCAATCACATATGAGGGTTGTGGGGGCGTGCAGTTTAGGTGTCGTGAATATGCCGCCGCTACTGCTGTTACTATCGCTTTGTAGGTCAATGGAGTTGGCTATGAGTGCAAAGGAACCGTACAACTATTTCTTGCTACTTCGAGCGCTTTTCCGCTCGATCGGTGGAGGTAGCCACGATCTGCTCTATCAAGAATTTTTACCGCTACTGCCCAATCTGCTTGAAGGTACCTGGTATTTAACAAGTGAGTCTCTCTACCGCCGAAATTTTTTAGGGTTAAACCGGTTGCAGAGTGGACTACACAAACAGCACATGAAAGACTTATTCGTCGAGCTATGTCTGACCGTGCCGGTACGGCTGAGTTCCCTTTTGCCTTATTTACCCATGCTAATGGATCCTTTGGTCTCGGCACTGAACGGCTCGCATATCTTAATTAGTCAGGTAAGACGGCTTGTGCCGTCTACTTGTTTTTACTCTACCTCTTGTAGGGGTTGCGAACTTTGGAGCTATGCGTGGATAATCTTCAACACGATTTTTTGTATGAACACATTCAGCCAGTTCGGGCGGATTTAATGCAGGCACTTTGGCGTACGTTAAGAAATAACGATCAGGTGGCCCAAGTGGCTTTCAAGTAAGTAACCAACCAAAATTCATTCGCAATCTCATCATAAAAATTGTGTTACTGTCATCCGTTTAACACCAACTTTAACTTCCATTAAGGGTCCTGGGCAAATTCGGCGGAGGAAACAGGAAAATGATGATAGAACCTCAAAAATTGGAGTACACGACGACAGATTACGATCCTCCCGCCATCATCGTGGTCTTCCACGATCAGAAGCACGCGATAGAGTTTCCAGTCGAAAAGGTAGGTACTCTGAGAGTCTCGTCGGCCAATAATTTACGCGCGTAGGTGATTGAAACCGCCTTTAACGCCCTGAAGCAGAGCTCGACGGATTCGTTCTACCGAAAGCAAGCTTGGGAGGTGATAAACTGCTTCCTGGCGGCGTCGCTGAATTTGAACGATGGGAAGAGCACGTTGCTTAACTTGTTTTTGCATCGGAGTTTTCTTGATGACAATAACATTGCGCAGTTCAAGGGGTCGTCTTATAAATCCTCGTTTGCGCAGTCGCGTAACACGCATCAAACTGCGTTGACAGGTAGAAGTTTAAAGGTTTCGCTTTCTTTTAACGCAATTGTTTTTAGGAATGTTTGTAGCCGCCGCGATTAAAGAGCTGAGAATTCCAGTTTTGAATACCATGGTAGCGGTGGTCAGGCATTATACGATGGTGGCGGTGGCGCAGCAAGCGGGCGGATTTGCCATTACACCAAAGTAAGTTGTTTTAATTTTTTGAATCTAAATTTTTTACTTTTCAAAATGTTTATAATTTTTAAAATTTTACAGAACATTTTTTTGAACAAAATTCAAGAAACAGGTTGAAGAATCCGGATATAATTGTAAATTAAATTTCCATGCATTTTTATAAAAGAAACTCGCGCAGAAATTTATTCAGAATCAAAAAACCACCAGAAAAGTTCCAGTAACTTGTACCCAAAAATTCAAAAATGTTTTCCACCTATAAATACGAATTCACGCAAATTTGAAATTATAAAAGAAATTCGAAAAATTCAAAAAATTTCAATTGGGGATACACGAAAATGGTTGTTTTCCCATATGCAAAATTCAAACAAATCCAAAAATTTCAAAAAAATAAAAACCTCGTAAAAATTCAAGAAATTCGATCAAATTGCACATATTTCAAGTTTGAGAAAAATCTGCAAACACAAGCTCAAAAACATTAAAAAAAATTCAAAACACTCCCAAAAATTCGAATGGAATGCAAAATTCAAAATATTTAGACATCCTTTAATAAAATTACGTGTACACAAAAACTGAAATTCAAAATAATTTAATCAAATTCATAATAATGCAAAAATTAAAAATTAATTTAAAAAAACCCGAAATGTAGAAACAAAAAATGTAAAATTCGAAATTTTTTCACAATTGTACAGAAAAGTTAAATTTAGAAAAATTAAAAATTAAAAAAAAAATATCTCTGAAAATAAGATATTAAAAAAAATTTCAAAACATATTCGAATTCACATATTCCAAGAAAATAAATATAAAATGGACAAAATTATAAAATTAAGTGTACACAAACATTCAAATTTAAATTTAAGAGAAATCCGAGTAAATCGTACAATTTAATTCTTTTTATGAATTATCATGAGTTTACAAGTTCTTTCAAATTTGTAGGGGCTTTTTGATTTTTGATTTTTATATTTTTTTCTTTGAATTAAATCTTTTGCAATTTTTATAGATTTTCCGATTTTTTTGACATTGTTACGAATTTTATTAAAATTAATTTTTCGAATTTTACTTTTTTGCATTGTTACGAATTTTATTAAATTATTTTGAATTTTAATTTTTGTGTACACTTTTATAGCTTTAAATACTATATCGTGGGGCTTTAGAATATAATTCAAATTTCTGGGCCCATTTTTTGATTTAAAAAAAATGATTCTGAACGTTATAGTTTCTTTCAACTTCGAATTGAGTTTTTTGATTTTTTTGAAATTTCAATTTTTGTATACAACTTCACAAAACTTATATGTACATGGAAAAACAGCAATTTTCATCATTTGCAAAAATTTTCAAATTTGTTCAAAATTCAAATGTACTTTGTTTTATTTATTTTTTGAATTGTCTATTTATGTCTCATTTTTGTTTTTTTTAAATTTCCAGAATTTTCCGGAATACTAATTCCAATTTTTTAAATTCTGAATTTAAATGTTTGTATACAGGGTGTCACATCTAAGATCCCTCGAATCATAATTCCTTTACCATAAAAGATACCAAAAAAAGTTTTAGATCAAAATTGTATACAATGTCGTCGCCATGTTTCCAAAATATTTTTGATCACCAAAGGCGTGCTGTTTCCAGTGCCGTATCAAACTTGTTTTTTTATGGAACACCCCATATTTTATTGCAGATTTGGAAAGTACTGGAAAAGTACTTATTTTTTTAATGTAACATTTTATACCTTTTGTTCTTGTAAAAGTGATTGCAAATAATTAATGAAGATCATTTACGATAGTTTTAAGAGACGTTGCTAGTAAAAAATTGGTTTTGAATCAATAGCGCGTTTACAATTTTTGGAATTTTTTCAAAATGTTTTAATTTTTGGAAAAAATTGAAGAAAACGGCTAAGTCAACACAAAAACTGTTTTTTTATCTGAGGACAGAACAGCTACAAACATACATGTACGTACACAACAAAATCCAATATTATAAACAATTCAGAAAAATATAAAAAAATTCGAAAAAGCTAAAGAAAAATTCCAAAAAATTCAAACATTCCGGGAAAAGTATAAAAAAGTCGGAGAATTATAAACAATTTAAAAAAATTAAAAAATAGTGAAGAAACAACTAAATCAGTTGTACGTCAAATACAAATTCAGGAGAATCCCACCGAAACACAAAAATAATTGTTTTACCGTATAAAATTAGGAATACCTACACAATCATTTCAGTTAAGCCTGTGGTCAATTCAAAAAACTAGAGCGACAGTTTCAGCGACTTGTACACAAAAATTCAAAGGTGTTTTATACGTATCAAATTTCAAATTCAGACAAATTCGAAATACTAAAAAAAATAAAAAAAAATAAAAAATCAAGTAATTCAAAGTTGAGGAAAACTGTAACACTTTTCGCAAAAAAAGTGATGACTTAAGAAATATGTGAAATCTAAAAAAGGGAAGAAACGCCCAAAAATTTAAATTGAATTAAAAAATTTTGAAAAATTTAAACACGCTATTGATTCAAAACGAATTTTTTTGTTAGTAGTGTCTCTGAAAACAAAGTAACATAAATGCTCTTCATTTTTACTAGAATCAAAAATACGTATTTTCAAATTCGGCATAAGTAAAAAAATCAGAAAAGTTCAGATGTTTCAAAAAAGTATTTTTCATTTTATTTTCCGAATTTTTTCTGAATTTTTAATTTTTTAATTTTAACTTTTTTGTACATAAGTACAATTTTGACGATTTTTCAAGTTTTTCATTTGTTATTCCTAGATGTCAGGTTTTTTAAAAACTATTTTTTGAATTTGTATTGCGAACCAAGTTTTATAACATTTCTTAACCTCGAAATGTGTGCAATTTGCTCGATTTTTTAAAATTTTTGGATTTGTATTTACATTTTTGTATACAGCTTGTTTCCACGTAAGTTTACATGGGACAACAATTTGCTGAAATTTCTTGAATTTTTCGAATTTGTGTGAATTTGATAGGTGGAAAACATTTCTGAATTTGTCAATTTTTTTGAATATTTAAACATTTCTGCGTATTTTGTACAAATGCTTGGAAATTTAATTTACACTTATATACGGATTTTTGAACCAGTTTTTTGAAATTTATTTTTAAATTTCATAATTTTTTTTAATTTGGGAATTTTGTATAATATTCTTGAATTTGACCTTTCCTCAGGAAAACAATTTGTGAATTCTTATGAATTTTCATGAGATTCAGTTCTTTTTTTTCAAACCTTTGTAGTTTTGGTTTTTTCGAGTTATTTAACGTAGGTATTTGCAACTTTTTAACTTTTTATGTAGGTACACTTTTAATTTTATAGGTGTTTTTGAATTTTTTCATTTATTTTCTTTTAATATTAATAGGTTTTGGAGTTTATACTTAATTTTTAATTAATTTTTTATATTTTTCTAAATTTTTGGTGGACATCGAAATGAATTTTTCTTAATTTCTCTGAATTTTTGGTTCACTTTTTCTTCTAGCTCTTTATTGCACCATTGGTGGATTAAGAGCTAGTTACAGCTCAGCCTCCACTTCCATTTCTGAATTCGATGTCGTTTCAATCGACCTTTGGCTGTGGTTTCTGGTTGCTCTAGAAACTGGTGCTCTACAGGGTCCTTATTGGTGTGAACGTAGCTTTTTCTATTTCAAAATTAAACCAAATGAACAAATCGCACTGGATGCGCTGTTACTGATCAAATCGAAAGTTTTTGTGAGTGTTTTGTTGAAATTTTTGGATTTGAATTTGAATTTTTGTATACAACTTGGTATTATTATGGTTGTTTTGTTTTGAGTTTTTTAAATTATTTATTTTTTGGGTTTTTGGTTTTTTTTAAATTTTTAGCCGTTTTTGAATTTTCGAAACGTGAATATATGCATTTTTTTGTTCTACTGTTATAAATAATTAATGTAGCGCATTGTTGCTATAGTTTCTTTTAAGAGATCGCTAGCAAAAAATACTTTTTGAATCAATAGCGTGTCTAAATTATTCCGATTTCTTTATATTTCACTCAAATTTTTACTTTTTCATTTTTTAATTTTCCCATTTGTCTTAATTTAGCAAATCATAGCATGCAATTTATTGGATTTTTTTAAATTTTTTGAATAGGTGGAAAACATCAACTTTGTCATTTATACGAATTTATAAAATTAAAAAAAAAATCAGAAAACAGCGAATTTTTTAGCCGAGGATGGAACTATAAAAATACATGTACTTGCAGAACAAAATTCAATTTTATAAAAAATACAAAAATATTCAGAAAAGTTTAAAAAAAGTCATAAACCAACAACTGATGAAAAGAAAATGAAAAAATTTCTGAAAAAAATTAAATACGGGCGTTATCGGCGGTAAGACAAACAATTAAACAAAATGAAAACATACAAAGCTCACTACTCAACTCCTAGAGCAAATAAGTAAATCCAGAAATTACTTAGTAACGAAGCGCCCAACTGAAAACCCTTCTAGATACCGGGTGTTTAGGAAAGCTGGTCGACTTCACAAATATACGGTGCGGTCATAACTTCGGGTGTAAAACTTCAGGGCTTCGCTACAGTGGATTTTTTTAATTTATCTGATGTTTTGTTGGACTTTTTCTCGTAGCTCTTTATCGGTTCATTGGTGGCTTACATTTCTGAATTCCATGTTGTTACAATCAGGCTTTCGAATGGTTTTGAAGGTTGCCTTGGAAACCTGTTGCTCTACATTGGTTTCTGTATGTCATAAGGTGACCAGTGACCTGGTTACAACAGCGCCATCTATCGTAAATGGCTATTACTATTTCTTTTCTTTTAGACCGAACGAACAAATCGCACTGGATCCGCTGGTGCTGATCGACGCCCTCACTGTAATAATGGGCCACGAAGAGAAGGAACTATGCAAACCCGGGGATTTGGCGCTCGCCCTCATGTTGGAAACGGCAACGACACTCCTGGGATCCAAGGAGATGGTAAAACCACTTCACCTTGCTCGCCTACATTGTTCTTTTGCAGGCCTGCAAACTTCCGCTCATCGAGTACTTGGCCGAGCGAATGTGCTCCTTGTGCTACGAGAGGGCGTGGTACGCTAAACTCGGCGGGTGCATCGCGATCAAGTTTATGTTCGAGCGGTGCTCGCTGAGGTGGGTCTACGACCACATGTTCACCTTTCTTAAGGCTTTGCTGTTTGTTATGATGGATCTAACCGGAGAGGTGTCTAGTGGTGCGCTCGACATGGCGAAGGTAAATCTTGAAAAATTGCTGATCGTCTGTGTGAAACCGCTCGAAGATGCGGACGCCGTTACGCGAGAAAGACAAAAGAAGGCGCTGTGCAAAGTCACCCACGAGCTCGTTCGGCAAGTTACCAGTCCTCATGTTTTGGTTCGAGAGCAGGTACGTATTCAGAGTCGCGAGCAATAGTAATAGTAATTTTAGTCGATGGCTTCTTTAAAACTTCTGGCCGAGAAACAAAACAAAACTGTGACGGCTGTGATGGAACCATTCCGAGATGTCCTCGCCGATATGGTTCCACCCAAAAAGCATCTGCTGAAGCACCAGCCGGCCATTGCTCAAATGGGCTTAATGGACGGAAATATGTTCTGCACCACTCTCGATCCTCGTCTATTCACTATAGGTCGGTGCCAAAAATAATTGACCCAATGTATATGGTGCGCTTTTAGATATGAGCATAAAGGAACACAATTTGTTCATCGGCGATTTGATATCGCTCTGCAATACCGAAGACACAAAGTTGAATAATTTCTCGTGTTACAAGGCGATCACAAATTTTAATCCGCTGCGGATAAGCGCCTTGCGAGTGCTGGCCGCGTGCCACTATCTCGACGGCGACGTTTGGTGCCAAATCTTCCAGGTGCTGTACAAAACTTTGGAGAAACCCAATTCGGAGTTGCAGGAAGTCGCCTTCGAGTGTATGAAAAAGTTCATTTCCAGTTATCAAGTGGAAAAAGACATGGTATGAGCTTATTGCGCAGGTGATCGCGTCTCCAATTTGACTTTGAAAGCTTGTCAAATTGACCCCGCCTATCCTCAGGTACCTTGCGGCTGATTGCGCAACTAATATCAAGGTGACTTGTTGATTGAGAGACGCCAACTTGTGGTAGATTAGGAAACTGAATGTGATTGATCACATCACTATCTGGTGGCGGGTTGCGGAACTAATTTCAAGGTCATTTAAAAGTTAGCGGCGCTTCAAAGATCTCCCCCTTTAGGGACTTAACTGGTTCGTTCACTTTTAAATAAACCGCTCAATTTTTGCTCTGAGATTCGTAAAAGAGAAGTTTATGAGTAAAAGATATAAAGCAATAGTATTTGAGAAGAGACTAGGAGAACTTTGGTGAAATCTGAAACCTCTTCATCCTCATTTTTCGAACCTTATTTCAAGAAGCAGTAGAGAAATGCAAAATAAAGGGGAGAAAGGATAAGAATAGTTATTTATATAACAAGAGCGCGAAGTTCAATTTCGCGCATTGAGACTGAAGGTCAAAATATCAGTCAAATGCGCGAAATAACTTCGCGCTAGCGTTATATACAATATTTTTTCTACAACTGAACCGATTGTTAATTAAATTGCTGTTTAAGTTCAACTTTGTCCCGTGCGCGAAATACTTTTTTTCACTGTTGACGATTTCGCGCACGTTGTCAAGAGCAACCTTACTTATTAATTAACCGTTTAAAAATCTAGTACTTCGCGTTTCGAAATTCGTGAGAAAATGACAGGTTTTTTTGACAGTTGTAGAAAAAACTATTTTTATCTTTATCATCTTCTGAATTTTCTTTTTTTAATCTTCGTCACGTTCTTCGTATTATTTTTTCTGATTTCCATCATTTTTCTCTTTCTTCGCATTACTGTTCTTCATATTGATCTACATATTTCACATCTTTTTTAGTTCCATCCCTCTTATCTCGCATTTTCCCTTCTTTGTCTCTTCTCAATCTTCTCTTTTTTTCTCGTTTGTTTTTTTCATGTCCGTAATCCTTATATCCTCATTTTTATAACGTTCTTCTTGTTTTATTTTTTCTCATACCATTTTCTTCTTTCCTTTGGGTTACTTTTCTTCATCATCGACATCACCTTTTTCTCTTTTACCCTCCTCTCCATCTCGCCTATCTTTCAGTTTTATTCTTTTTTTAGCGCATTTTTGAAGAATTAAAAAAAATGTGCCATTGCTTGCGGTTTGTCCGTCCGTCCGTCCGTGTGTGGTTGGGGTGGTTAAAAATTAATGTTATCTCTCATTGTATTCTAATTAAAGGTCTCAACGAAAGGAACAGTTTTCTACCAACTACTGCCCTTCTTTTTGTCCTCTTATCAAAGTACGAGGTGAGGGGGAAGGGGCGGAGAGTGGAACTAGTTTTATCCTTCATGGTACTCTAATGAAAGGTCTTAACGAAAGGAATTAATTTATACTAACCATAGTCTTCCTCCTCGATTTCTTGTTGTGATCGGTTATAATTCCTTATATCTTTAAGAGTGAATTGACAAAGGAAAGTACCTACAAAGGGGACGTTTGGAAGAAATATTTGTAAGAAATATAACCATTGGGCATTTAAATAAAATTTGATATATAGCCACTTGGAAAAAAACCAAATTTAACGCCAGTTTCAAAATTTCGTTTTGCGCATGCGCAGTGCCAACTTTCTTATTTATGGAAGAAATTTCGTAGGGGTGTTTAAAAAAAATGTGCTTTACTTGCACAAGGGTTGTGCACAATTTGTACTTGTTTAACCTTAATCGTTCTTATTTTCACGGTCCTCTGAATCGGCCTCATCCTCTTTTTTCAAACCCAATCCGAAGAAACACATTCCTAGTCTTTTTCATTCTTTTTCCCTCTATTTTCCTCTTACCTGACCCTTTTTCCTCAAACTCATTGACATATTTGGCATTTCTTCCAGTTCTGCAGGTTGTTCTCTTGTATCCTCTTTTTTCCCATTTTCTTCATTTTTCTCATGTTTCTCTTTTATGCCTCCTCCCAAGCCAAGTCCGGAGCACCAGTATAGTTTCAAACATGAGAAACCCATTTTTGTCTTTATCATTTTCTCAATCTTTTTGATTTCCGTTTTTTCTGATCTACATCACATTTGTGGTTTTCTTCCTTATTTTTCTTATTTTCCCATTTTCCTCTTTCTTTCTTAGCCTTACTTTTTTTTTGTCGTATTTATGTACTTATTTTGCATCTCGTCCAGATCTCCACCTCCTCATCTTCTTTCACAATCTTCATGGTATCTGCATTTTTCCCGCTTTCCGTGCTTTTCTCATGTTTTTCGCATCCTTATTCAGAGAAATGTTTTTTGGCATTTCCCCAATTCTCTTATTTCACTTACTCTTCTTCCCTATGTTGATGCACATATATATTCTTCAACTCTTTCCAATCTTCATCGTGTCTTCATCTGCTTTTTCCTTCCTTTCTACATTGTTTTTGTTTGTGTTTTTTTTTATTTCTCCTCGTCCCCATTTTACGAGCCCGTTTCATTTTGATCTTTCTAATTCATTCTTAGTTTTGTTCATGTCCTTGTTCTTTATCTTCTTACAAAAAATTAAATCCGAAGCACCAATACTGTCTAAAACTGATTTTTTTACTTCTTCATCTTCATTACGTTCTTCGTTTATTCCCTATTTTTCTTTTTCTTATTTCCACCAATTTTCCTCTTTCTTTGTCTCGCCCTTTTTTTCAAATTCTCAAATGCACATTTTTCCTATCTTCACCTTGTTCACTCTATCCACCTGTCTATCTCGCATTTTCCTCATCTTCATAACGTACTTCATCTTTTTTCTTATTTTGTTTTTCTAATTCCACTTTACTCTTTTTTTGCATTACTTTTCTTCATCATTTATATCACCTTCTCCTGCCCATCTCGCTTATCTTCTAATTTTCTTCTCTTCCCATCGTATCTTTAATCTTTGTTGCTCTCACGTTTCTCTAATTCGTTTTCACCCTCACTTTCCAAACCTTGTTTGAAGAAGCGGAAAAGCCTACAGAAGGAAACCTGGAGCAGGGAGGAGAAATTCAATTATATCTTCTTTATCTTCCTAATCTGTGTTTTTTTTAAAATTTTCGTTATCTTCATCACATTCTTTGGCCTTTTCATTCTCTTTCTAATTTCTCCCATTCTCCTTCTTCTTCACGGTACTCTTTTTCTTCATTTCCATATCTTCCAAATCTGCAAGTTGTTAATCGAAGAAACAGAAATGCGAAAAACCCAAAAAACAGACAAACCTGAAGCACTGGAGTAAAGTCTGTAGCTAATCTTCTCGATTTTCTTTATTTTCATCTTCATCACATTCTTCGTTTTTTCTCTATTTTTCTTCTTTATTTGCCTCCCTTTTCCTCTACATAGTTCGCACCTCGTCCGGATCTCTACCTTCCCATCTTTTTCTCTGTCGCAGTCTTCATTTTATCGTTATCTTTCCCATCTTTCATTAACTTCTTCTTCGTGCGTTCTTCGTATTTTTTTCCTTATTAGGTTTTGTTCCCTCCTACTGATCTGCATCTTCTTCGTCTCTTCCAGATCTCAACTCCATCCTCTTTTATCCTCCTCTGCATCTTCCCATCTACTACTCTTTCTCTTCATCATGTTTTCATCATTTTCCGAACCTCTTTATATTCTTTCTTCTCTTCTTTCATTTTTGCTTTGTCTTACTCTTACTTCTCTTCTTCAATCTTTATTTTCATTCCCATCTCTTCCTCATCTTCACATTCTCCCCCCCCCCTGACTGATGTTGACTTTGAAAGGTGTGTATACAACTTACATCCGCCAACCAATGTCTCACACCTAGCATTCGCATGCTTCTGGTGATAATGTGTGTGGTAAAGTAATATAACTTTTGCAGTGGGGGGGGGGGGGGGGGGAGCTTCGTGTTACCCTTCATGGTATTCTAATGAAAGGTCTCATCGAAAGGAATTGGTTTCTACAAACAATAACTTTCTTCCGCGACTCCTTTTCGTGATCTGTGGGTGACGGGGGTGGGGTAGACATTGGTTTTATCTTTCATGGAATCTAATTACAAGTATCAACGAAAGGAACTGTTTTCCACCAACTACCGGATTTCGCCCTTGCCCCTTATCAAAATGGAGGGGGGGGGGCTGCTAATGAAAAGTCAACGAAAGGCATTAATTTCTACCAACTACAGTTCTGCTCCCCGACCTCTTGTCGTGATCGGTGTGTGTTCATCTTCCCCCCATTTTCAGGTTTTACTAATCGCTATTTGGAAGCGCCAAGATCGACGAGACTCCTTGAAATTAGCTCTGCAATCCATAACACAGCCACCACCAAGAAGCGCTAGTAGTATGGGAGTCACTTTGACAGGTTTCAAAGGTCACCCATAGAGGGCGACACCGTCTTTTATTTTGAAAATTCGCCGCGAGGACACAATTTCGTGTCTTGCAATCTTAGACATTAACCGAACCATTTCAGATTCATCAAGCGATGCGTCCGTTACTGCTGACTTTGGGCGATGTGAAGAATTTAAGTTTGAACAGTGTAAAAATGCTATCGTACCTAACGCAATTGTTCCCGAACGAGTTCAACGAAAAATTGTGCCAGCAACTGCTGGAGATACTCAAAGAGTTGGTCAACAATCTTGTTCAGAATCACAAGAGCATAACCGGAATTTCGAAAAAGGGCGACGAAGAGCAAAAGATTGTGACCATCATAAATATATTTCATCAAACACCCGCCGCCTCCGCCAAATTCATTAAGCAACTCTGCGTTCTTATCATACGATCGGAGCAGGCGATGTTCGTCGAGGCCAGTTCGCCATTTCGCGAGGTCCTGATGAAGTTTTTACTGCGCTATCCCGCCGAAACCGTCGATACGTTCCTGCAGGACGCGCTAATTAAGGTAAGGGATACAAATGAGGCGCATAATCTGACCGATCTCCCTTAGGATCATCCGTTCAGTAGGTACCTTACCTTTTTACTGAAACACCCCAATGGTAAAGTGTTCCGTGACCATATCCAAACTCTGGAAGTGCGTCGGTTGATCACGATGGCCTTGGCTAATACGCACATTAGCTTTAATTTGACTGAAGATGAACGTAACGAGCTCCAACATCAGAGTATTAGAATCGTGTCGATTTTAATCAAACACGATGATCAGTGGCTATCGACGCAGCAGGAGCTTGTCGAAGCTTTGAAACAAATTTGGTGCAACGATGAGTATCAGGTAAGGTGGGGGAAGTTTAAAATTAACCTTAATTAATAGCACAATCACTCAGCCTGTGGGTAAGTATATGTTTCCATCTTTTTTCATTTCCTCACACTTTACTAGTTTTTTGTCTTCTTCCATCCTATCTTGATCTTACTCATCTTTCTTGCCTTCTCCATTTTCGTCCCTCTCCTAACCCTTCTTGGATCCTTCATCTTCGTTCTGACCTTGTTTTGAGCTTGATCTTCATTTTAAACTGCAGCGTGAGAGTCTCCTACTTCATAATCTTACCCATCTTCTACATTTCGCCATCTTTCCTCGCCTGGTCTTTCTCATTATCTTTATCTCGTATTTCATCTTCTTATTCATTTCCCTCTTCCTCCTGCTCCTTCTGTGACATCTTTGACTGAACTTTTACTATTTTCCTATTCCTTGTAATCTTTCCTTTCCTCCTTTTGCTTATATTCTTCATTTTCCATTTCTTCTTTCTCATATTCCTCATATCTAATAATTTTGCCTTTTTATCATATTTTTTTTAATTTTTCTCATATTCTTCATATTCTCCGTCTTCATAATCCTTTGCATCTTCCTCCGTCCTTCACCTTTATCTTTTTTTGTTCTCTCGTTCTTCGTCTTCCTAACGATTTGCATCTTTCTTATTTTCCTCGTTTTCATCATATTTTTTATTTTGCGCATTCGCTTCAATCATACTTGCAACTAGGGCCAGGGAAAGTGCCAACTATGGCGTCTTCTTCTGGTTTCCTTCAGTGGCCACTACCACTTTTTTTCGGTTTTCCGACGGCTTTTTGAGGCGCTCCTCTACTGATAGCTTATTTTTTTTCCTTTTCTTTTTCTGCATCTTCCTTTTCATTTTTGGAACTTTAGCATCTAAATATATATTGATCTTCATCCTGTTATTCCGTATCATCTTCCTTGCCTGCTTCACATCCACCTCCCTCATCGTCCCTCATTTTCCTCAGATTGCTCATCTTCATATTTTCCATATTCATCTTCTTTTTTGCCTGATTCGTGCTATTTCTCTGTCTTCTCTTCGTTCCACCTTTTCCTCTTTATCATGTACTCCATTTCTTTTTTCATTTTCTTACACTAGACCAGATTTTCCTGCTTCGTCATCTTCGTCGCCTTCCCCACCTTCTTCACTCGGAATCCTCTTCGAATCTTTATCTTCCACATCCTCCTCGTTCTGTTTTGCTCACATTCTGTACCTTCAATTTCCGTATTTTACTCATATCTTCATCTTAATCCTGTTTTAATCTTGATCTTCATTTTAATCTTGCTGCATCCTTCCTTTTATTGCACGTTGTTTGACGTCTCTTGGCCTACTCTTGCTCATCCCCCCCCCCTTCCATATTTTTCATTTCCTCACACAAATAGTTGTTTCATCTTCTTTATCGCCCCACCTCCATCTTGCTCATCTACCTCGCGTTTCCTATCGTTTTCCCTCTCCTAATCTTCCTCTGATGCTCATCCTCCCACATCCTTCATTTTCCGCATCGTTTGATTCACCTCTATGTTTACTCCACATGATTTACAGTTTCTTCTCAAACTTTTCCCCCTTTATTTTCATCTCCGTCATGTTCATCGGTATGATCATCTTCCTTGCCTGCTTCACCTCCACCTCACTCTTTTGTGGTCTCCTGCATTTCGTTCATTTTTATACTCCATCTTCATCACCTTCATATTTCTCTTTTTTTGTCTGCCTCATTCTCCTTAATTTTTTTCATGTTTTCCATCTTTTTTCATATAGTGTTTTCGTCTTCCTCATTTTCTTCACTTCTTCGATTCTTCACACGATTTTCCACATCATCTTCGTTCTGACTTTCCGAATCTTGTTTTGCGCTTCATATTCATTTTTGTCTTTAAATTTTCTGCTGCATCCTGCAACTCTCTTACTTCACGATCTTGTCCATCTTCTCCATTTCGCCTCTGCTTTCTCGCCTTGTCTTTCTCATATTTTCATCTTCTTTTTTAGTTTTTTAGTCTCTTGATCTTTTGCCCTTTTTCGTCTATTCCTTCATCTTCCTCATTTTGATCTTGATCGTCATCTGCGTGTATCTTCCCGACCTTGCTTCTTTATATTTCTCATATTCTTCATGACCTTTCTTTACCTCCTTCATTGTTTTTTTGTTCGCTCGTTTTCTCGTCTTCCTGACAATTCTCATCTTTATTTTCCTCGGTTTGATCATTTTTTTTCTCCTCCATTTTTCCTACTCTCTTCAGTTTATTCATTACAACCATGACCAAGGAAATTGTCTGCTCATTTTTCTTTTTCTCCCATCTTCCTTTTCATTTTCCCAAACTTTTTCATTTTCTTCCTGTTCATCTGCATCATCTTCCTTACCTGCTTCACATCCATCTCCCTCCTTTGTCGTCTGCTTCATGTTCATGCTCATATTCAAATTGTCCATCTGCACTTTCTTTATTTTCTTCTTTTTTGTCTGCTTGATCTTTTTCTTTTTTGCGTTCTGTATTTTTCTCTTCTTCATCATTTTCTACACTATACTAGTTTTTTCACCCCATCTTCCCCGCCAATTTTTTTTACTCAGATTCTTTATCTTCCACATCCTCCTCGTTCTGACTTTTACTCACACTCCTTATCTTCATTTTCCGCATTTTGCTCACATTCCTCATCTCATCTTCTTCATCTGGATTCTATTTGATCTTGATCTTTATGTCAATCTTTTAAATATTCTGCTGGATCCTTCTTTTTATCGCAGGTTTCCTTACTTCACAATCTCGCCCATCTCAATTAGCCCACTTTTACCTCGCCATGTCTTTCTCATCCTCATATATGTATTTATCTTGTATTTTTCCTTCTTTTTTATATTCCTCAACATCTTTCATTTCCTCATCTGCATCACTTTGTTTCTTCTTTTTTATATTAATCTACATATTCTTGATGTGGCCTTTCGTTTCTACCTCCTCTTCATTTCCCTGATCTTTGATTTTGACTATGCCTAGCATCCTTACGAATCTTCTCCTGCACTTGCTCTATTTGTCCATTCTTTTCATTTTTTTTTATTTACCTCTCCACGCTTGCCTTCTAAACCTTTTCGTCTGCGGTTTCCCTGGCTTTCTCTTCCCTGCCTTTCCCCCTTCTCCCCTCACTATCTTCCTCATTTTGATATTGATCGTCATCTGTATGTATCTTCGTGAGCTTTTATGCTCATTATTTTCTTTCCCATTCTCCCATTTTTCTCGTTCTTATTTTTCCCGTTTTTGTCATCTTTATCTTTCTTATCTGCCCCAATGATTTTCATCTCACTCTACTTTATCATATTTCCCGTCCTTCTTCACCTTCTTCATTGTTTTTTGTTTTCTCGTTTTTTTCTTCATAATCTTACTCCTCGTTTGCTCTATCATTCTTACTTTTCGCCGGTTCATCTCGATTTTCCGGATCTTCCCCATCCTTTTCATATTCATCTTAATTTTGATTTTCATGTTGACGTTGATCTTCACCTCTTACTAACCCTGCCGAATCTTTTCTACCTTTACTATCTTTTCCTTCTTCATTTTTATCTTAATTGGATCTCTCATCTGTATCCCTCTTATTGAATAGAGCCGAACCTGGCTCAGTTCAAGGTTGCTCGCCCCCAGGTGGCGATCTTGGAAAGTAGGCCAAGGTGACGCGTCACGTTGCTGTGTCCTTGGAAATTAGATCAAGGTGAAACTCGCCAGCCACGTGGGCGTTGACTAAGGAAACTAGGTCAAGGTGAAAGTCGATTGCCACGTGGGCGGTGGCTTCGGAAATTAGGTAAAGGTGGAAGTTGCGTGCCACGTGGGTGGTGACCTTGGAGAGTAAGCAGCGGTAAAGATCAAAGAGCAAGATGTAGCGATCGTATTTAATTTTTTGGGGTGTCAAATTATATTTACAAGGTCAATCGATGTGGTATTAAATTACATTTTAAAGCGCATTCAAGGTCATTGACTCCATGGTGTTAAATTACATGTTCGAGGTCATCCAAGGTCAATTACCCCAATTGTGGTGTCAAATTACATTTTCAACGTCATCTAAGGTCAGTGATCCCAATTGTGGTGTCAGAATTTATTTTCAATAACATCCAAGGTCAATGGCTCCCATTTTTGTGTTATTACAATTTAAATGGTATACAAAGTCAATGACTGCTTTTTTAATGCTTAATTACATTCTCCCAAGGTCAACGAACCTATTTTTGCGGTTTCAAATTATATTTTCAAGGGCATACAAGGCCAATAAACTACCATTTTTAGTTATAAGTTCATTGACCTCCATTCTTGCGATGTCATATTTCATTTCCTAAGGTCAATGACCTCATTTTTTGCTATATCAAATGTCACTTTCAAGGTTATTCCAGGTCAACCGCCCCTGTTTGAGTGTCAAATTTCATTTTTCTGGGTCATCCAAGGCCAATGACCTCAAAAAATTAAAAAATATTCACTTTCAAGTTCAACAGTTCTTATTTCAGTTTCAAATTTCATTTTTAAATGTCATACAGTGGCAATGACATCGGATGACCTTGAAAATGTAATTTGATACCGCAACAAAACGAGGCCAACGATCTCGCATGACCTTGAATATTTATGGGGTCAATGAAGAAATTCAGTCATGGATTTAAAATGCCATTGAAACTGTAATTTGACAGCACAAAAATGGAAGCCATTGACCTTGGATGATATTGGAAATGAATTCTGACGCCACAATTGAGGTCGATGATCTTAGATGATATTGAGAATGTAATTTGACACTACAATTGGGATAATCGACCTTGGTTGACCTCGAACATGTAATTTAACACTATGGGGCCAATGACCTTGAATGCGCTTAAAAATGTAATTTAACACCACATCGATTGACCTTGTAAATATAATTTGACACCCCAAAAAATGAAATACGATCGCTCTCAAGTTTTTTTGTTTTTTCATTTCCATTTGCGGACTGAAGTCATTATCGCCATTGTAAGCGATGGGTTAGTGGCCGGGAGAAGGGCAAAGTGATTGTGCCGAACGTGATATTTTTTAAGTAACCATTTCACTTTAGGAGAGACACAAAAAGGCCGATACGGTTGAGTACACCCACTGGAAGGAACCAAAGCTGCTAGTGAAAATACTACTTCACTACTTTTGCCATCATCCAACTGACATCGACTTATTGTTCCAACTGTTACGGGCCACATGCGATCGCTTTATACCCGACTTTCAGGTGAGCTACCCCAGTGCGTTTTTGTTCCGAAACTTCACGCCGCCGTCTACAGTTTTTAAGGGACTTCCTGGAAAATACGGTCTCGCAAAATTACACGCTCGAATGGAAGAGGTCTGCATTTTTCCGTTTTGTCGAACATTTCCCTTTAAAGACCATGTCTCAGACGCTTAAAGCGAAAGTTTTGCAATTGGTCCTGATACCGTGCTTCGCTGTCAGTTTCGAGAGAGGGGAAACCAACAAGCTGATAGGCAGCATGCCGGCTCCGTATCAAGACAGTCCCGAGAACGTGATGTCGGTGTTTATTAATAAAGTGAGGCTTTCGCTTCGAAATTCCAGAACTTATTTAATTTGTTGCAGTTGATCGATCCGGATATTCCGTTTCCGTTCACAGTGTCCGACTGCGTGAGAATATCGCTGTTGCAGTTCTCCTGTTTACTGGTCGAGCAGGCCAGTTTGCACATCCACGATCACGACGCGAGTAACAAAGCGCAGGGTTTCAAGTTGCGTAAATTGATGACGTTCGCCTGGCCGTGTCTCTTGGTTAAAAATTGCGTCGATCCGGCGACGCGTTACCACGGACATCTGCTGCTATCGCACATCATAGACAAGTTCGCAATTCATAGAAAGATTGTTCTTCAGGGTACGTTAATGGCCGACCTTGCGACGCACACGTTACACGTTTCTTTTCAGTTTTCCATAGCTTACTGAAGGCGCACGCGGTTGAAGCCAGAAGCGTGGTGCGACAGGCGCTCGAGATTTTGACGCCTTCCATGCCCGTGCGTATGGAGGAGGGAAACACGATGCTGGTGCACTGGACCAAGAAAATTATCGTCGATGAGGGACATTCCATGCAGCAGCTCTTTCACATTCTGCAGTTGGTTGTTAAGCATTACAAGGTTTGTGTGCACTTAAATGGGCAAGTTTTAATGCGCACTTTGGCAATTCAAAGATTTGATTCATACTTGTAGCTGATTATATAGGTCGGTGGGCATGCGAGGTGAGGCGGCGCAGCCTCCGAAACCGAGCGTATGCCCCATTCAAGAAAACACAATTTTCCAAAGGCGACTTTACCAAATACTTCCGTAAATTCTCACGAAATCTATAATCTGCAGTTCAACGCAAGTGACTCTTCGCCTCTTCACGCGCATTGTCCCTCGCATGGACTAATTTGAGTCTATGGTCCGCGTAAACTTACTTAAATTTTTGTTTAAACCACTCAACGCGAACGCTATCGTGGCTTAACGCGCATTGCCCCACTGCTTAGCACCAACAACCTAATTCTCATTAGGTACCTTTGTTTTTGAATTAGCACCCATTCTGGGACGTACAACCTTTTCCACCAGCCAATGGGATCTCTATTTGAGCTGTCGAATCATTTTTACCGCATTTTTTAAGAATTAAAAAAATGTGCTATTGTTTCCGTTTGGTCCGTCCGTCCATACGGACCCACTTTCACCGTTTTGAACTACTTCTAGGGGAATGGTCCTACAGTCCTGGAATTTTTTGCAGTAGGTGTGCCAGACGGTCATCAAATTTCGCTGTCTAAAAGGGGGGCCCCCCCACGGATTATTTCCTGAGATGCTGTTTTTGAAAGTAAAACGTGCATAACTTTTATATACAACATGACGAATAAATATTATTATTATCAACCAATTGGTCTCAGATTTTGCATACGCATGCCTTTAGTGGTGCCAAGGTAAAATTTAGAAAATGGGGGGGGGGGGGGGGTAACACATGTCTCATCGAAATAAATTGGTTTGTACAAAACTATAATTTTCCCGTGCGACTCTTTTTCGAGATCAGTGAGCGACGGGGCCTGAGGGGGGGGTTTTAAAATTAATTTTATCTCATTGTATTCTAATTAAAAGTCTCAACGAAAGGAACCAGTTTTCTACAAAACTACTGTCCTTTTTCTGTCTTATCAAAGTACAGGGGGAGGGGGGGGGGGAGTGGAACTAGTTTTATCCTTCATGGTACTCTAATGAGAGGTCTCAACGAAAGGAATTAATTTATACTAACCATAGTTATTCTTTTAGAAATACAGAGTTTAACCAACCACAATATTTCTTTCTACAAGCGTATATTTACAAAAAGGATACAAGACTGAAGCGTTATTTTGATTGACAGTTTTTGACATAAATATACTAACTCGATAATTTACAATAGTCTTCCTCCTCGATCCCTTGTCGTGATCGGTTATAATTCCTTATATCTTAAGAGGAAAGTACCTACAAAGGGCGATTGGGACGTCTGGAAGAAATTTGTGCACCTTCTGATCTATTGTGCGTGTCTCAGTATGTTACTCTGGGAGAGGCAGTTTGTTAAAAAATCTGAGGGTCCGTTAACTTGCCCCCCCCCCCTACTCACACCCACTTAGAGATTTGCGCCATTATCGTTTTTTGAGAAATCCGAAAATACATTGGGAGCCCAGAGTGTAGCCCCCCCCCCCCCCCCCCCCCCCCCCGTATTTTGTACCTATACCATCTGATACATTTGGATAAGATCCCAAACACCGAATTCGAATTAAACGTCCTGTAGCGGGCTCCCAGTGCAATACTATCTCTAATCTTTATAGTTTCTATGGTGTCTATGTAGCCTCCACAGTCTACAATGTGTTATAGTGCCTATAGTATGCATAGTCTCTATGTGATCTATAGTCTATGTAGTCTTTTTACCCCTACAGTCTCTATCATTTCTATAGTGTCTATAGCTTCTACAGTCCCTATAGCGTCTTTAACCTCTGTACTCTATAGTAGTGTATTATAGTTTCTGTTATTATTTATTTTATTTTAATTTTTTGGACTTCTACTCCCCGTAGCCACATGGGCACATGCAACATTTGTAGTCCGTATATAGTCTATAACCTCTATAATTTCTCTAATATCCATAGTTACAGTCTCTACAATGTATTATAGTTTCTATAGTGTGCGTAGGTTTTTATAGTTCCTGTAGTAGGGGTGTAGTCTATAGCTTTTTAATCCCTACAGTCTATAGTGGTTTATAGTTTCTATAGTATGCATTGTTTGTATTCTAGATTTTTTCTTAATTTTTGAATTTTTCTGAACTCTGAATTCTCTTTCAATTTTTTCAATTTATGTGAAGTCCCAATTTTCTTTTTGAAGCTGTGTCCCAGTTTTTAGCGCATTTTTGAAAAAAATACGCTATAATATTCGTTATGGCTGGCTGGCCGGCTGTCCGGGTGAGATCTCAGCAACTACGATAGCTAGAGACTTCAAATTTTCACTAAAAGCTTTCTGCTATAGTGTAGATGTGCAGGCTCTAGTCTATTTTGAGTGAGATTACTTGTGAGATCGATAATTTAAGAAAATAATTTCGATATGGTTATCGGAGGTGCTATAATTTTATCGTTAGATAGCGCTACCAGTATAAAAACTTAATTATTTACTTTGTGATTTGTTTTACAAAATAAAGACTTACCCTCAATTGAAATTAAATAAAATTAATTATTTAACGCAGCCAAAATTACTCGTGAGATCGATAATTTTAAACTTCGCTAATAAAGTACTGACCTGTATTACCAAAAATGCGCTTTAATCATGCATATGCTGATTTACGACTTGTTTTCTATTTTTTCGCAGTTTTCCTAATTTCATCAATGCTCGATTCTCTCAATTTTTATAATTTTTGTTAAATTTGGAATTTGATCGGTCCTTACTTTTTTCTATTTGAATTTTCGTGTACATTTGCAAAAAGTTTGTTTAAGGGCATTTTTTTCAATTTTTGTTCTTAATTTTTTGCCTGTCGATTCGTTGCAAATTTTTGAATTTCTTGAATTTTCTTTAATCTTTTTCAACATTTCTGATTTTTTCTAAACTTTGTGAATCTCTCCGATTATATGAATTTTTATTTTTTTTTGTAGTTGTGCCATAGTTTCTTTTTAATTTTTGGAATCTTGAGCATTCTTCCAATTTCCGGATTTTGTTTAATTCTCCATCTCGTCAATTTTTCTGAAATTTTTTAATCTCTTTGGATTTTTATGAATCGATGACTTTCTATTCATTTTTCTGAATTTTCTGTATTTCTCGAAAATTTTTCTTTGAATTTTGGGAACCTCTTCGAATTTTTCCAATTTACATGTCTTTTCAACTTGTGCCCGATTTGTGAATTTTTTGCAGTTTCTCTAAATTTATGAATGCTCAAACTTTTATAGTTTTTTTTCTATTTTCAGCAAACTTTCAGCGCATTTGTCGAAATTGAAATGCGCGTTTTTTTGGAATCTTCAAACCTATTTTCAATATTTCAATTTTTTTAAAATTCGAGTTGGTAGACTTATCTGAATCTTGGCTTTTCTTAAATTTTTTGAATTTTTCTAAATTTTGTGAACCTCAATATTTCCGGTTTCTTCTGAATTTTGTGAATCTCTTCGATTATATGAGTTTTCTTTGAAGTTGTGCCCGACTTTTTGTAAATGTTCGCTTTCATCATTTGTTGAACTTTTTTGAACATTCCTTCAATTTTCGGATTTTCTAAAATTTTTTGAGTTAGCAAAGTCTTTCTCAATTTCTCTGAATTTGTATGAGTTGTGTATCTACAAATTTTGTTAATTTTTTTTAATATCCGGAATCTTTCTCAATGTTTCTTCTAATTTTTCAAATTTATTTTTAGTTTCTAAATCTTATGAATCATGAATTTTCCTTGAAGTTGTGTTTTTCATTTTTTTTAAATTTTCATAATTTTTCGGATTTTTTTGAATTGTTAATTTTCAATGAGTGGATTTTTTTTCTCTATGATTCTGATCTTTCCTAATTCTTTTAATGTACATATTGGAATCCTTAGTTTTCGTTTAAGTTGTGCACGAGTTTTTATAATTTTTTAAAATGTTTTGAATATTGTATATAAATCTGAAATTTTGTGTGCACTCCTTTTCTTAAAATGAACCGCGCGATATTTTCGGAATGTTAAACTTTATTTTCGAATTTTTTAATCCCTTAAATTTTGAAATTCCGAATGTTATTATCTTTTCTCATTTCTTTTTGAAATTTTGTAAATCTCAATTTTTATGAATTGTTGAATTTTTCCCAATTTTTATGAATTTTCCGAACCTAAAATCTATTTTTACCATTAATTTTCCTTGAAATTGTCTCAAGTTTTCTGAAATTTGTTAATATGTATTTTTGCATTTGTATGAATTGGGGATCCTCTACGAAATTTGTTAATTTTTTTTAATTTTTGGAATGTTTCTCAATGGTACTGCAAGATTTTCTGTTTGAAATTTATTTGAATTGTTAGTTTCTAAATTTATTTAAATTTTATGTATTTGAATTTTTGAAAACATTTCCAACTTTCTTAGATTCTTTGAGATTTTTCGAATTTTGGTAGGTTCTGCGAATATCCCCATTTGATATGAAGCCCTTTTTTTGAATCTCCAAATTATTCCTTTCTGGGCGTTTCCAATTTTTGTGAACTGTCCTAATTACTCCTAAATTTTAAAATTTACTTCAAAAAAGGGTTTTTACATTTTTTTTTGTGTTTTTAATTTGTTCAATTTTTTTCAAAATTTCTGATACTCAAAAATGACACACGACTTTTTTGGAATTGCTGAATTTTCTGAATCATTCTCGACGTTTACCCAATTTTGTGAATTTATCAATTTATGTGATTTCTTAAGTTTCTTTAAAGTTGTATCGAATTTTTTAAAATTTTCCTGAAATGCTTCTGAATGTGCGATTTATTTTCAATTTTTATAATTCTTTTCTGATTTGCAAGTGTGCCAGTTTTTTGAACTGTAAGAATTTTGAATATTCTTTCAAAATTTTTATGTACGATCCTCTTTCAATTATTATACATACTTGTTTAATATTATATATAATGTGCTTGAAATTTTGTCTACAGTTGTGTACAAAAATGAAGTGCGCCCGATTTTTTGAATTTCTGGAATTTTTGAATCTCTTACGAATTTCAGAAAAATTAGACTAAAAAAATCCGAAAATTGGAAGAATGTCTTATATTTCAAAAATTCAAAAAATCTCACGCCCTTCGTTTTTGAAAGAGCTAAAAAATTAATGAAAATGTTGGAATATTGGGTTTAAGTTAGGCACAGGTTGTTATAATTTTTTTAAATGTGTAAACTCATTTTTTTTAAATATTTTCCGGATAAAGCGTTATACAATTCTGCTTGTAGGTGTAGGTTACAAATCTTAGCTTCAAATAGCAGGTTTCATAGTAGGTACAGATCCCAAGCCAAAATTTTACGTCTTCAAGTCTATATTGTCAAATGTCACATTTAAGGTTAAGGTGTGAAGCGGAGTGTGGTGGCCGAGGTGATTCTATGTTCTTAAAAGCATTTGCTACTTTCGGCGACGTTTCTTACACAATAAAATCTCTTCAGCGTCGTGCTAGAACTTTCGCCATGGAGTGAGGCGAGGCGGCGCAGTCGCCGATGTCGAAAGTTATGCGTTAATCTCCTATACTGTCTTAATCTATCAGTGTCGATTATTTTCCATGCAAAAAGAAATCTCGAGAGAGAGAGAATGTTAAAATGGAAAACGTTTTAGAGCTCCCCACTTTGAAAAAAAAAAGATTTTTGAATTTTTACAAAAATGCTTTTTGAATATTTTGAAAATATAAAATTTTTTAGTGGTACAGGGGTGTTCCATTAAAAAAGTGAGGTTAAGTTGTTAGACGATCCCATTGTGACATTTCGATACGAAGTCCCTAGAGCTATTTTTAAGCTATAACTATTTTACATAGGTCTACTACCCCGTACGACACCATCTTGTTCAGCACATGGTCAATTCAATTCAGAGATTCGGTTTTAGTCCAACCGCAACCTTGGAACATCGAAAATTAGCGGTGGAATTGGCGGAAGTGATCATTAAATGGGAGCTGCACGGAATTAAAGAGGTGGTCGATGCAGACGTGAGTATTGCCTTCAAGTTTTATCGCAACGGCCAACTGAAATCGCTTACAGAACACGTCCGTTGAAAATGTACCGATGAAACGTCCTCCCATTGACGAATCCGTGGAGCCTCCGCAAAAGAAACTAGCCGTTCAGCAACCAGGTATCGCGGGCCCTAGCAGTAGTTTCATCGTGAAAGCTCAACCGGCGAGCCAATCCGAGCCCGGGCAGTCGAAGCCGATCGACCGCTTACACACGGACAACGTTTTAAACTTTTTGCTACGCCTGGCTTGCCAAGTCAACGATCCCGCCCCTGCGAATCCCACCAATCCCGCCGTGAGTAGCCCGGGCGAGCTTCTGTCGAGGCGTTGCGTCATTCTGCTGAAGACTGCTTTAAAACCGGACGTGTGGCCGCAAGCTCCCGACCTTAAGTTGGTGTTCTTCGACAAAATCTTGCTGAGCGTCGACACCCCCAATCCGAATATCGGCAATATCTGCACGGCCTTGGAGTTACTCACATTTCTGTTAACTGTAATGAACAAAGAGCAGATCTTGCCGAATTTTAAGCAGCTGCAGCGCGGTTTGGGCGCGTGCATCACCTCGACTAACGCGAAGATTATCAAATTGATCCACGGATTGTTGAGCAAGCTGATGGCGCTGTTTCCTACGGAACGCGCCAACTCCAACATGACGTGTAAATACGAAGAATTGGAAGTGTTATATTCGACCATTGGAAAAGTAAGTGACCCGCTCACAACATTCAATTCAAGTCTAAATTGCGCAGGTCATCTTCGAGGGACTGTCTAATTTTGAGAAAAACCCAGACGCGAGCCCTTCCAGCTTATTCGGAACGTTAATGATTTTAAAAGCGGCGTGCATCAACAACAACTCCTACATCGATCTCCTAATCACCCCCTTCATGAAGGTACTGCATCGTCTAGCGAAGGAGCACTTGCAACCGACCACGACGGAATCGAGTCCGAGTAGGTGTCCGCGCAATTTGTAAGCGACTAATCCTTTTTGTACCACAGTGACCAGCGAATTACTCATACTGAGCTTGGACTTGGTGAAAACGCGTGTAGTCGTTATGGGGGTTGAAATGCGCAAGACCTTCATCGGTTCTATACTGGTGGGGCTTATAGAGAAAACCACAGATATTAAAATTATGAAGGCGATAACGAAAATGCTGGAGGAGTGGATGAAGAATAAGAACGTCATTACTCTCTCACAAGCGCCCAGTCTGAGAGAAAAGTCGATTCTCTTGGTTAAAATGATGCAGTACATTGAGAAACGGTTTCCTGATGATGCCGAGCTGAACGCCCAATTCTTGGAGCTGGTCAATTATGTGTACACGTAAGTAGTCATTCCAAATATGATGTAGAAGATAAATGAAATCAACATATTGAGAGGATATGAAACGCAATTTAATGATACAAAAATATAGGTAAGAGATCATGATCATATAACAGGAAAATATAGAGGCCCAGCAGGTAATGAATGTAATTTACATTTTTTTAACTTCTTTAAATTCTTTTTAGATGCCAATTTAAATTTTCTGAATTTTAGGCTTCCTCGAATTTTCGGAATCTTTCTCAATTTGTCAAAAATGTTAAAATCTGAAATTTTAAGAACTGGTATTCCCTCTCCAAGTTTTTGATTTCATTTTTCAATTTTTCTGAAATTTTGTGAATCTCCAAATTTTTTGAATTTGTATTTTAATTCTTAATTTTTTAAAAGTTGTATTGAACCGGTGTTTTGTGAACTTTTGGAATTTTGAGTATATTCTGAATTTTTCGCATAACTGAATTCTTTTAAATGTTTAGCTATTTGAATTTCTGGGTACACTTGCTAAAATTTTTAGTGCATTATTGAAGGAATGAAATGCGCGATTTTTTTAGAAGTTTTAACATTTTTTCAATTTTTTTTTCTAAATTTTTTGAATTAGAATTTTATGAATCTCAATTTTTTGAAATTTTTAAATCTCTGATTTATGAATGTTCGATTTCCTTTGAAACTTTGATTTTTTTTAAATTTTCTGAATTTGAATTTTGAAAACCTCATCGAATTTTTCCAATTTACATGAAGTATATTTTTTTCAAGTTGTACTCCATTTTTTTTTTAAATTTTTATGTAAATGAATTCTGCGTACACTTGCTCAAATTGTAGTCCATTATTAAAGGAATGAAGTGCGCGAGTTTTTTTTTGAATTTCTCGAATTGTCTGAAATGTGTAACTCTCTGAATTCGTATGAATTGATCCCGTACGAATTTTGTTAATTTTTCCGAATTTTTTTTAAATTTGAAATTTGGGTACACATACTAAAATGTTTAGTATATCTTTTATTAATAAGGCACGCGTGTTTTTTTTTAAATTTTGGAAATTTTGAACATTCTACCAATTTTGGAATTTTTTCTAATCTGTTAGCCGAATTTTATGAACCTCTATTTTTCTGAAATTTTTTAATCTGTCTGGATTGTTTCCTCTTAATTTCTAAATTATTTTAAATATGAATCTCTGAAAAATGTTTTTCTTAATTTTGAGAATCTTCGAATTTTTCCAATTTATGTGCAGTTGTGCCCGAGTTTTTACCCAATTTTTCGAAGTTTCCCCAATGTTATTCTCTCAATTTAATTTTTGGTCAATTTGGGATTTTTCTAAACGTTCCTTAATTTTTCTTTACATGTGCAAAAAATTATAGCGGGTTTTTTTCAAAAAAGTTCGTGGGTTTTTTGAAATTTGTGCATTTTATCATTTCCGAATTTTTCTTATCTTTTCAGTTAGTCGAACCTTTCTCAATTTTTCTGTTTTTTTCGAATTTTGTAAATCTCCGAATTTTTTGAATTTGTATTTTAATTCTTAATTTTTTTAAAGTTGTATGGAGCCGGTGTTTTGTGAACTTTTGAAATTTTGAACATGTTCGGAATTTTTCGCATAACTGAATTTTTTTAATGTTTAGGTATTTCACTTTCCTGGTACACTACAATTTTAGTGCATATCGAAGGACTGAAATGCGCGAGTTTTTTTAGAATTTTTAACATTTTTGTTTTTTAAATTTTTTGAACTAGCTTAATTTTCTGAATCTCGATTTTTGAAATTTTTAAATCTCTAGATTTATGAATGTTCGATTTCCTGAAACCTTCATTTTTTTAAATTTTCTGAATCTGAATTTTGAAAACCTCATCCAATTTTTTGCAATTTTTGTGAAGTCTGTTTTTTTCAAGTTGTGTCTAATTTTTGAAATTTTTATGTATTTGAATTCTGCGTACACGTGCTCAAATTGTAGTGCATTATTAAAGGAATGAAGTGCGCGACTTTTTTTTGGAAAATCTCGAATTGTCTGAAATGTGCACGTCTCTTTCTCTCTCTGAATTCGTATGCATTGATCCCGTACGAATTTGGTTAATTTTTCTGAATTTTCTTTAATTTTTTATATATTTGATATTTGGGTACACGTACTAAAATGTTTAGTGTATCATTTAAAAATGAGACAAGCGTGTTTTTTTTTTACATTTTGGAAATTTTGAACATTCTACCAATTTTGGAAATTTTTTAAATCTGAGTTTTTTATGAATTGTCGATTTCTTCTTGATTTCTAAATTATTCTAAATATGAAACTCTGAAAATTGTTTTTTCTGAATTTTGAGAATCTTCGAATTTATGTGAAGTTGTGCCCGAGTTTTTTCCCAATTTTTCGAATTCTCTCAATTTAATTTTTGTTAAATTTGGGATTTTTCTAAATGTTCCTTAATTTTTCTGTACATTTGCAAAAAATTATAGCGCGTTTTTCCAAAAAAGTGCGTGGATTTTTTGAAATTTGGTGCATTTTATCATTTCCGCATTTTTCGTACTTTCCAGTTAGTCGACTTATCTGAATCTTTGTCAATTTTGCTGAAATCCGAATTTTTGAATTTTTTGCATTTGCTTAAGAAACAATCTTGCTCAACATTTCGCGACTTTTCCTGAATTTTTTTAATCTCCGATTATTCTTAAATTTCTTTGAAATTGTGCTATAGTTTTTTATTAAATTTTGGAATCTTGAGCATTCTTTCAATTTTCGGATTTTTTTAAATTCTGAATCTCAATTTTTCTGAAATTTTTTAGTCTGGGTTTTTATGAATTGTCGATTTTCTCTTAATTTTTTATTTTTTATGAATTTTGTGAATCTCTTTGATTATATGAATTGTTTTTCTTTGAAGTTGTGCCATAATACACGGTGTCCAAGATAAGGAAGTCTATCATGGGGATTTCCGAAACCATGGTCAAATTAAAGAAAAGATGCGCAATTAAATAGTTATTATTATGCCTTAAACAAAACCAAAAAATTCCGACTACTTCCGAAGATATGCCAGAAATTTGCCCATTTCGTTTTTTTTTCTGATGTCATTTGAACAGGTACAAAAAAATAAAAAGTGAAAAATGAAGTGCGCGGGGTTTTCAAAATTCTTAGAATTTTTCATTTTTTTTTAAAATTTAGCTCTGATTCGCGGTTTTTCTGAAATCTCGTCGATTATATGAGTTTTTTATTTTCTTTTTAGTTGTGCCTGATTTTTTGAATTTTTCTGGAATTTTTATAAATGCCTCTTTATCAGTTTTATCATTTTTAAAAAATTGTTTTTTAATTTTTATGCATTCTTAAATTAAAGGGAGTACACGAGTTTTTTGGTTAATTTAGAGCAGTCCCCAATTTTGCATGATGTTTTTAGAGATGAACAATTGAAACAGACCGAGCTGACCTCTAAACTAGAATCCGCCTTCCTCTCCGGCCTGAGGTGTACCCAACCAAACATCAGGATGAAGTTCTTCAAAGTGTTCGACTCGTCCATGCGTAGAAGATTGCACGATCGTCTGCTGTACATTATTTGCTCACAAAATTGGGATGCGATCGGCTCCCACTATTGGATTAAGCAGTGCATAGAACTTCTGCTCGCCACTGCCTCGACAGGTAATTCTTTCATCATCTTCACAGCTTAGACCGCACTTCCGATTTTTGCAGAGTCCAGAATACAAATGTCGCACGAGAGCGGCATTTTGCCGAACATAACTTCGGTTATCAGTTCGGCGGATGCGTTGCAGAAGGAAGATCTGTTTTCGATTAAACAGGATCCGGTTTTATTCGAAGGGTTTGAAATTAAAGAGGTAAGTACCTATGTAAGTTTTGGTATGATTTTTTTCTTCCATTTTGAGTTTCTCCTCAATACATTTCAGTAATTGGTCAGCAACCGTGCTTTTTAGGCGCTGTTGCCATTGTAAAGTAGGTCGAAGTAAAGTTTGATGACCGAAAGATCAATGGCACGCGGCTCCCTCCTCCCCGCTCTCTTCTGGCAGTGACCTTGAAAAGTAGGCCATATTTTATTTTCAAGGCAATCGGAGGTGCATGACCCTTATTTTTGTGGTCATTTAATTTTCAAGGTTAACAAAGGTCATCGACCCCATTTTTGTAATGTCATTTTATTTTCAAGGCCATCATAAGTCAATGACCCCGTTTTTTGTCGTCAGATTTCGGAAAATATTTCTCCTGGACAGCTTCTTTGTAAGTTGTTATTGGAATTCTGAGAGCTTTTTTTCTCGAATTTATACCAGGGTGTGCCTGGGAGGGTATTCTATACCCCCAGACTCTCAGCATTGGACTTTTCCGGCAAAGAAAGTTGTATATCCCTCCCTAAAAAACGATCACAAGAGCGCTAAAAATTTGACAATTTGTTGGAGTCTAAAACCGGGGGGTCGGGGGGGGGAATAGAATATCTCCCCCCCCCCCCCAGCCATTCCAAGGAAAAAACATTCCCTGAATCTCCTTCGCGAACTGTTATTGGAATTCCAAGAGTTCTTTTTCTCGAATGTAACCTGTGTGTGGCTGGGAGGGTATTCCAGACCCCCCGGTGTTGGATTTTTTAGGCAAAGAAAGTTGGATATCCCTCCCTGAAAAATGATCACAAGAGCGCTAAAAGTTTGACAATTTGTTGGGAGAGTCTAAAACGGAGGGATCTGGGGGGTATGGAATACTCCCCAGCCACACCAAGAAAAGAAACATTCCGTGAATCTCCTTCGCGAACTGTTTTGAATTCCAAGAGCTCTTTTTCTGGAGAGTCGAAGTCTGGGGGGTATGGAATATGGAATGGACCCCCCCCCCCCCTGGGGGGTATGGAATATGGAATGGCCCCCCCCCCCCCCGTGTTGGATTTTTTAGACAAAGAAACTGGGATTTCCCTCCTTAAAAAATGATCACAAGAGCGCTAAAGGTTTGACAATTTGTTGGAGAGTCGAAGACCGGGGATCTGGGGGGTATGGAACAGTTCGCGAAGGAGATTCACGGAATGTTTCTTTTCTTGGTGTGGCTGGGGAGTATTCCATACCCTAGGATTCCATACCCCCCAGACCCCCAGATCTTAGACTCTCCAACAAATTGTCAAACCTTTAACGGTATTGTTATCATTTTTTAGGGAGGGATATCCCACTTTCTTTGTCTAAAAAATCCAACACGGGGGGGTCTGGGGGGTGTACCCCCCAGCCACACCAAGAAAAGAAACATTTCGTGAATCATTTTTTAGGGAGAGATATCCCACTTTCTTTGTCTAAAAAACCCAACACGGGGGGGTCTGGGGGAAACATTTCGTGAATCTCCTTCGCGAACTGTCATTGGAATTCCAAGAGCTCTTTCTCTCGAGTGTAACCTGTGTGTGGTTGGGGGGTATTCCATACTCCTCAGACCCCCGGTGTTGGATTTTTTAGACAAAGAAAGTTGGATATCCCTCCCTGAAAAATGATCACAAGAGTGCTAAAAGTTTGACAATTTGTTGGATAAGTCTAAAACCGGGGGGTATGGAATACCCCCCAGCCACACCAAGAAAAGAAACATTCCGTGAATCTCCTTCGCGAACTGTTTTTGGAATTCCAAGAGCTCTTTTTCTCAAGTGTAACCTGTGCGTGGCTGGGGGGTATTCCACACCCCCCAGACCCCCCGGTATTGGATTTTTTAGGCAAAGAAAGTTGGATATCCCTCCCTGAAAAACGATCGCAAGAGCGCTAAAAGTTTGACAATTTGTTGGAGAGTCTAAGACTGGGGGGTCTATCCCAGCCACACACAGGTTACATTTGAGAAAAAGAACTCTTGGAATTCCAATGACAGTTCGTGAAGGAGATTCGCGGAATGTTTCTTTTCTTGGTGTGGCTGGGGGGGTACACCCCCCAGAGCCCCCCGTGTTGGATTTTTTAGACAAAGAAAGTGTGATTTCCCTCCTTAAAAAATGATCACAAGAGCGCTAAAGGTTTGACAATTTGTTGGAGAGTTTAAGACCGGGGGGTCTCAGAGACCCCCCGGTTTTGGGTTTATCAGGTAAAGATATTTGGATGCTTTTCCCTGAAAAATGGTCACAAGGGTCCTAAAAATTTGGCAATTTGACCGGGGGGTCTGGGGGGTATGGCAGCCACACAGAGGAAAGAAATATTCCGTGAATCTCCTTCACGAGGTTGTTACTGGAATTTCGAGAGCTCTTTTTTCCTGGAATGTATACCCGTGGGTCGTTGAGATCACACTATTTCTTTGTGGGTGCTCACTTTAATTGAGTTTTCTTCTTTTCACGCGCTACCAGTTTAACGCCATTTTCCGTCTTTTTGATTATCAACGCAATCGCTTCTTTGGCTCGATGCACTTAGAATTTAAACGCCGTCGTGACTTGACGCTTCTCCGGTCAACGCGTTATCTCTCGTCGCGAGCACCGCCGTTGTTCGCCCTCCGAAAACTTTTCTAGTTTCTAATCCCCACTTCTTCAGTTTTACAAATACGCCTTCAAAATGGCTGCTAATCTATTGCCCCGGCCATTTTTATTCACGAACCAGATCTACTTAGCAAAAACGATCACGTATGACCCATTAATTCTGCCTTGTCTCCCGACAGACTGGTGCCACCAACGATTTTCAGGTAATTAGTGCCGTATACGGAAACCATTAATCCAATTAACAATAGAGCGACCAAATTTTGAAGAAGCCTGCCCTATATTGAGATCACCCAAAGAAATTCATTTAAACCTTTAATTTGTGGAAACCATCCTCAAAACCCTTCCAATTATCAAAAATTAATAAAAATCTGGGCTATACACATGTGTCCCAATGAAAAATCTAACGCAAATGTACCGTTATTAAGTGAGTTCACTTTTCTTGCACATTCATCAGGAAGTGCTAGACATCGACCGTTCAGAATCGAACACAATGGTAGAGGTCGCACTGAACAGAAACGAAAACATCAGCAAGTTGATTACGAAGCATTTCGAGTTCGTAGAGGTCTCAGAAGGGATAACAACGGATCGCTTTCTGCTCGCCACCGCTCAACTGTGTCACCTGGACACGGACCTCGCCGAAGAGATTTGGCTGCAGCTATTCCCACGCTTGTGGGACGTTCTCGACGAGCAGCAACGCAATGTAGGGACTTTCGAAACCATTTTGTTTTTAATCCCGCCAACTTACAGAGTCTCAGCCCGGAGATACTCGCCTTCATTACTTCCGGAACTCACATCATTCAGAAAGACTGCCACCCAAGCGCGATCAACACATTTGTCGAGGCGCTGTCCAGATGCAATCCGCCCATTCAGATCGCTCCGTAAGTTGCTACCAAGCCAAATTTCTGTTATTTTGTAATTGTATGACAGGCCTCTGATGAAATACATCGGGAAGTCGCATAATTTGTGGCACAGAATGGCTTTAGGTCTTGAGCAAATGTCGTTCGATCAGACGAGCGGCTCAAAACCCAGCAATCTCGCTTCGTGCTACGATTTTGAGCCTGACCAAACGGCTAAAAGTGTAAGTGGTGAAAAGACGTGGGTCAGTTGAGGTAACGGATATTTCAGGAACTTCTGGACGCGTTAGGGGAGTTGTACTCGCTGCTGCGCGAGGAGGACCTCTGGGCGGGTCTCTGGCAGAAGCATGCGCACTACAAGGAGACTAACGTCGCGATTGCGTTCGAGCAGCACGGGTTTTACGAGCAAGCCCAAGCGGCGTACGAGTCCGCGATGGCCAAACACAAGCAGGACAACACCTTAGGTCCCCTGCCCGCCCACACTCAGCGAGAAGTACATCTTTGGACCGATCACTGGATAAGATGCGCGAAGGAGTTGAATCAGTGGGATGTGCTGCTCGAATACTCCAAGAATGGAGTATATGATCCGTATACTGTTCTCGAAAGCTCTTGGAGAATACCCACGTGGGACGTTATGAAAGAAGCTCTCGCTAACGTCGAGTTTAACTGTCCAAAGGAGTTGGCGTGGAAAGTGACGCTTTATGGCGGTTTCCTACTAATTTGCAATCCGGAAGAGAAACCACTGAAGGTCGCCGAAAGATACGTCGAAACCGCGACGATGATGTGCCTTAATGAATGGAGACGCCTACCTCACATAGTCAGTCACATCCACCTGCCGTTCCTGCAAGCCGCCCAACAGGTCATGGAATTGCAAGAGGCCTACCAAATCCATAAGGGCTTAATGCAAGGCCATCAGAACTCCTTGCACGACATGAAGGCCATCGTTAAAACATGGCGCAATCGTCTACCGGTGATCGCCGACGATCTCACCCATTGGAACGACATTTTCACTTGGAGGCAGCATCACTATCAGTTCATCGTGAATCACTACGAAAGCTTGAGGGAGTCGAGTCACACGAACTCGATGTTGGGAGTGCACGCGTCCGCCCAGGTAAGTCTCTACCTAATCCGACCAATTACCGTTAACCACAATTCGCAGTCGATCATCTACTTCGGCAAAATCGCCCGAAAGCACAAGCTAACGAACGTCTGTCTGGACTCCTTGAATAAGATTTACACGATTACGAGCGTGCCGATCGTCGATTGCTTCCAAAAGATTCGCCAGCAGGTCAAGTGTTACCTGCAGATGGCGTCGCTTACGAATAAAAATGAGTTACAAGAGGGGCTGGAGGTGATCAATAACACTAACGTCAAGTACTTCACTAAGGAAATGACTGCCGAGTTTTACGCCTTGAAGGGCATGCTGTATCATCTCAGCGGTGAGTTCTAAAAAAAGAGATATGACACTCATTTTCAGAATGATTACACACTCCTCCATTCGCTGATCGTCCGAAAGAGCAGACTTTCATCTTTTCATTATGAGTTGTTCTCTAAATGAGGTGCAAATTATATACATTTGTGTACTTAAATGGAAGAAGGTTCATAAACTGAAACTCTAATACAGTAACGTAAACAATCCAACTAATTCAGCAACTGATTTGCCCCAGTTAAGTTCTATTAAAACGTACATACTTATTTCGCTAATTGAAGCTTTACACATTACAGTAATAACTTGGAGGTTCTTTCTTTTGAAATTTACTTGAGCCAATAAAAATAACGAGTTATTTGAAAACGATCCTCCATAGATTTAATCTTGGTTGAGAATTCCCCTAGGTCAAGGTTCGTATTTGTTGGTATATGAAGTTTTGGGAACTAAAAAATGGTTAAAATGATCTAAAACGTCGACATTTGATGAAATTTTGACATGGCCAAAAACGGTGATCGCAATATAGCCACCTAGCTCAGACTAGGAAGCTAAAAATGTGCTAATGACCCCGTGCTTTTTGACAATCGGTACGCATTTACTACTATCTGAAAATATATCGAAGTACTTTCTTCAGTATTCTGTTCCGCAATATCAGGCAGCCTTAGAAATTCATGGCTACCATATGGTGGAAATTGTGATGGGGGTATATAGGATCTCAATTGCGATGCGAAAGGTTCGATCAAAACGTTTGGTATCTGCGTCTTTTTTAGTAGAAAAATAGCGAAACCAAAATTATTTTTTGAAAATTCGACTTTTAACTGTAATTCTGAAGCGGACAATAAGTGGCACGATAAATGTACGTAAACCTATGGCAGTTTTTAACTCATTTTTGCAAATTCATTTGTAAACAGGAAGCTTTTCACCACACTTTGGCCAGCTGACTGGCTGGCTGATGATGTGTGGTCGGCGACATCTGGGCGCCATCACCACGCGTGGTTTACTAACGTGGTGATTTTTCAGGTTTTCCTATTTTCTTCTACAGTTTTGGTACGAATGTTTTTAAACTGGTGCCGTCGGAACGATCTTGTAAACGCGCACGGAATTGTGTTTTCTTTCCTAGGGGCGAAATTAACCAAGGCAAGGCGCGCGTCTTTGAGGGGTAGTCGACTTCGGGCACCTAAAACTTTCCGCTGCGCGGTTTAAAGTTTCTTAAAGCTCGAATCGCAGTCTCTCTCTCTCGTGTCGCCAATAGAAGCTCGAGCTATGAGAAGTTCCCCATAAATTAAGTACTATTTTATGGAGGGTTTTTAGCTAAATCCATCGAAATGGCGCATTTACATGACTGTGAGGACGTCAGTAGAGGGCACCCACACAGAAAATGCGGCAACCCCGTACAGGATCTTACTGATGGTGGAGTCAAAACTTCAAACCCAAATTGTGAATGAAGTGGGTACCGACAAAGGGAATGTGGTAACTCCGCAGAAGATCTGACTTATGGTGGAGTGAAATTTCAAACGCGATTTACCAGCGAAACGGGTGTCAGAAGTAGATACCGAGAATGGTTGAAATCTGAATTTTTTCTCATTCCCATTAAAAAGTGCTTAATTTGAGTGCATTTTTTACGATATCGGAAAGAGTATACCCAAAAACCTGTGTAAAGCCACTAGTTCTCTTCTTCTATGTGCAATGTTTTCAAGAAAAGACAAACATTTCAGGAGGCGAACTCCCAAATGTATGTGAGAACAATGTTTGTTTTTGCTCTCATTTTAGCGCATTTTTTAAAAATTAAAAAAAAATGTGCTATTGTTGCGTTGTGTCCGTCCGGACCCACTTCTGGTACTAGAGTACAAGAAAGTTTTGTACCAGAAAGTGTGCCAGACTGCCATCGAATTTCGCTATCCCCTCCACCCCCCATGAATTATTTCCTGAGATGCTGTTTTTGAATGTAATAAAACGTGCATAACTTTTACATGCGACAACTAACTGGTCTCAGAATTTGCATACGCATGCCTTTACTGTTGCCAAGTAACATTTTTGAAAATGGGGGGGGGGGGGGTCTACCCTTCATGGTATTCTAATGAAAGGTCTCACCGAAATGAATTGGTTTCTACAAGCTATAACTTTTCTGCGCGGCTCCTTTCCAAAATCAGGTAGGTCGGCGGGGGGAGGAGGGAGAGGGTAGAAATTCATTTTATCTCTTATCGTATTCCAATTAAAGGTCCCAACAAAAGGAACGGTTGTCTACCAACTACCGCCCTACTCGTCTAGATAAAGCTACCTAACCTGAATAAAAAAATACTAGGACCACTTACTATGTTGTGTTTTGTAAAAGTCGCTACAAGATATGTGTTGCTTGTCAGAGTGAGGGTGAAGTAAGGAATACAAATAAATCGCATTGCAAGATTAACTTTAGAAAATGGCAGTTTACCGAGTACAAATATAAAAACAGGCTGGGAAAAAAAGAACTGACCAAGAAAAAAACCAGCCAACAAATTAAAATTAAACTTAGCAAAATTAGTTGTCTGTAATGACATGGACCCATATTATGATGGTTGTCAAGTACATTTGTCGCTTCATAGATTTCACTGACACATTTGACACACATAACACAAAAAAAACAAACATTAAAACTTTACATTAAATTCACATAAGTTTGGAGATTGGATGGCCAGTCATAAGTATATAATCATAAACAAAATATATGGCATTCATGTAGGCTTAGACAGTTGACATATTTGCCTTGGCATACCAAAGATTGACACAAAACCAATATCCGGTCACTACATGTCAAGGGTCGACCCAAAGGATTGATTAGCAATATCGGCAAGATGGCTCTTTTCTAAGACACAAAAAACAGTACATATAAATATATATCTCTGCGTATGTCAGGTGTGGAGTTTGGCCACCTTCATCTGCTACATCAAGTCGAGATAAAATATCGGAAGCACAATACATATTCGAAACAAGTTACCCTACCTAGTATTAATAATCATAATTACTCGGTTCAAATAAAGTATAAATTCTCGAATCGCTATAATATTTATTAAATGGTTAAATTCTGCACGTATTGAATATCATCGCTAAGGGAACATACTGTATCTAAATATAAATGAAAACACGTACATCTGTCAGGACTTCATGCTGGAGGTTGGCAAGGAAAACCAGCGTTAGGAACAAAAGGGTCACTTGTCTAACTACAATGATACTGTAAATTGGAAAACAACATAATTACAAATCAAACAGAATGGAATCTTGCATTTAATTAAAAGTATGATCAGCATAATTCTAACAGAGCAATTTGTAAAGCGCTATAAATGACAATGCCCATGCTGTACTGGAATGTCATTAATTTGGCAAGTAATCTACCTAGATGGATGCAATAAACGTAAAGATAAAAGAAGAAAAATACAGCATCTGAATAATAGTTGAGACGCTCACAGTAACTACTTCGACCAAAGCCCACATACGTCTCCCCTAAGATTCCCTTCTTTGGTCAGAATCGAAGTAGAGATAGCTAATATTGACGCGCTCCGGATCGTCGGGTCGATATGGATCACTAACTTCCCCCGTATAGCGTTATTTTTGGCACTTTTATTGTAAATTATGGCCTATTTGAATGTAGGGCAGAGAAGAAAAAAACACGTGTTCTACGGAGACAAAACGTAATTTTTGAATTCTTTCTTGGCGGCTAGGGGCGGCTTCGGTAATATTTAAATCTGTCGGCCGCTCAGATTTAAATATCGCCCTTGGACGCACTTATAAAACACCTAGTTATTATAATAGCTATTATGTGAGAATATTATCAGAATAAGTTCGATGAAAGTTTTTAATCAGTCAACACGAAAATCAGTTTTAATACAAACTTACAATGAACACATTTCTTGAATTAAATTTTTGACATATTTCAAAATTACTTATATACTAAGCTGGCGCTGTATGAATATCAAACTTGATTATAATTATATTCCAACATATTATTAAACCGATTCTAAGATTCATTTAAACTCATTTGTTAAGTTATTTATAAAAGTGATTGTTTCCTATAAAGTACGTCGCCAATGGTAATGTCCTTTATACACGCTGCTTAATTTTTCATGTTTAGTTTTGTTGATTCTATTATCACTACTTAACACTAATTCAGTTTGGATTTAACGCACCAGAGGCTGGTATATTTACATCTGTGCTATTACTATTGCGACGTACCCAGGCCAGCCACAAGGGACTGCGCAACTCAAGATTTAAATTCAAAACTTTCCCTCCCAAACTAATTGAACTCCATGGCACGTGATCGTCTAGATAAAGTTACCTAACCTGAATAACCGAATAACAGGATCACTTACTACGATGTGTTTTTTTAAGAGTCGCTACAAGATATGTGTTGCTTGTCGGAGTGAGGGAATGCAAATAAAACAAGTACATGCTTTAAAAACGGAGATTTAATCCAAATACTTCGCATTGCTGACTTTATAGCAAAATTAGTTGTCTGTAATGGCATGAATGCATATTATGATGGTTGTCAAGTAAATTTATATAATGTCGAATCACAGGCTCCACTGGAATTCCTAAAGAAGCAGTATTGCACACGCATAACAAAAAAACATTACAATAAATTCAGATAATAAGTTTGGATAGTGGATGGCCAGTCCAAATCCCACACCGAGTAGTCTTTAGCTGCTCTGGTCATGACATGTGACAGATCACAACGAGAACACGCCGCACGCTTTTAGCGAATCCCTGCGCAAGTGAGGCCGAGCCTAGCCAGCGCCCTCATATACGACTAAGCGGGACCCCAACTCATTCATTCACGCATCTCTAGGGCCAGTCCAACCCACTAGTTATAAAGTGCCGGGTTATAAATTACCGAACTCCAGGCTCTCTACTATTACTGACAGTAACCGATCAAAAGACAAATCATGACATAACAAAAATAACAGAGCAACCATCGGCAAACTCTCACGCATACATAACTTAGACCATATAGTACATGGACTGCTATTAGCCCTATGCTTTCAATACAAAATGGGTGGTCACGGATAGAGGGCACTGCAGTCGTGGGTGTGTGAATCTCAGGGTAAACTAAAGTCGTGTAAACACCACTCGGATCGCGTAAAGAGTAGCTTTTATAGTAACTGCGTAGTACGGGAAGCTTTAAATACGCTTGATTACCTTCTATATACGTCCACAGATAACGATAGGTTTGCTTTTTTGGAATATCTAGGCGGTTAATTAATTGACGTTTGTTAATTTATAGGTTGACAGTCTCAAATCGTGTCTAATCGGACAGACTCGTTTACCCTGAAACTCACATACCCAGGCGATGTCCTTGACCATATTTTAGTTACAATTAGCAGTCCATATGGTCTAAGATACATAATCATTAACAAAATATACAGAATTTATGTAGGCGTTGACAGTTGACATATTTGCACTGACATAACAAAGACTGACACAAAACCAATATTCGGTCACTATATGTCAGGGATCGACTAAACGAATTGATTAGCAATATCGACAAGATGGTTCTTTTCGAAGATACAAAAAAAAAACAGTACATAAAACATATATATCTCTGCGTATGTCAGTTCTGAACTTTAGCCAGCCTCTGCTACGTCAAATCGAGATTAAATTACAGTATCAAATATCAGAATCAAATATAGCACAGTACATATTCGAAACAAGTCACTCTGCCAAATATTAATAATCATAATCATTCGGTTCAAATAAATAGTAGGAGCATAACGTTAAGTATCACGTTACAACAAAAACAAAGGAACATGTCGTGGCAAAGCATCAGTATAAAGTAATTAATTCTCAATGCCAAGTGCAATATGTAACAATCAACCACCTAACGTACGCCACTCGCCCCCAGATGAAGCATCCTGTAAATAAACAGTAACATATTCATGCAAAAAAAAGCGAAATGTGCTGCAATAAATTCAATTATAAATGAAAATGTAGTTCTGCATACTTGTATTGAATATCATCCATAACGGAACATTTTTCGAGTGCCACTATGGGGATCTCTCTTATCTTAAGGGATAGAAGGTTGGTTAAATGGGGGCAAAGTTGCTAATTTTCGTGCTGAATAAGAATCGGAAAAGAAATTTGAAATATCTTCAATAGTTTTGAAGATATCACAAAAAAACAAAAATGTCTGATTTTCGTTTTTAATTTTTTTATGATAAACTAATCGTAGTAGACATTTCTAATGAACAAATTATTCGGACACTTTTTCTGACAACGCTTCAACCAGACATTATCAAACTGCCAAACTTTTGTTTACAACAAAAGAACGTTTTATTTTTCCAAAGCACTCTTCTCAAAAAATTAAAAATTGTGTTTTTAGAAAAAATGTGATACTGAACCACCATGTGTGATATATCGTTGTAAAGAGAAAAAAAGACGTAATTCCAAAATGTCAAAATTCAATATGGCGCCCATAAGAAAAACTAAAGTTGTCACATCTTGAAAGTAATTAAAAACGGGATGCCATATTTGAAATCTCCATTAAAAAGTATCCGAATAATGTGTTAATTAGAAATGTCTACTACGATTAGTTTATCATAACAAAATTAAAAACGAAAATCAGAAATGTTCGTTTTTTTGCGATATCTTCAAAACTATTGAAGATATTTCAAATTTCTTTTCAGATTGTTATATATCACGGAAATTTGCAACTTTGCCGCCATTTAACCAACTTTCTATCCCTTAAGATAAGTGAGATCCCCATAGTGGCACTAGAAAAATGGACACCGTGTATAATTAAAACCACGTAAATCGGTCAGTAATGCATCTTGTGGGTTGGCAGGTAAACCAGCGCTAGGAACAAAGTACTGTAAATTGGAAGACAACATATTCACGTAGACTCTCCATGCATTTAATTCAAAGTACGCTCAGAATAATATTACAAACGAGCAATGTGTAATTAGAATACGTTATAAATGACAATGGTCATCCGATGACCATCGCTATACTGGAATGTCGTTAAATTGACAAATAATCGAACACGATCACACAATTACTAGAGGGATGCAATACATGTAAGGATAAAAAAAACGAGTGAATCACCTTTGTAATTGTCGCACTCACTATTCGCAACGTAAAAATTACTTCTACCCTCAACAAAAGCACAAATACCTCTGCCTAAATCTTCCCTTTTTAAGCAAATCCTAGACGAAAATTGTTAATATCGACCGTGCTCCGAGACGTCGGGTCGATAGGGAAAGGGATCATTAAGTTCCCTCGCATAGCGTTATATAAGACACTTTTATTGTAAATTATGGCCCATTTCAATGTAGAGCAGAGAAGAAAAAAAACACGTGTTCCACGGAAATGAAACAAAGCGCAATCTTGACTTTTTTTCGTCGCGCCAGGATCGGTTTCGGGAATATTTAAATCGAATTTTAGCGGGTAAATTCGGTTTGATTACACTATCTATAATCGTTGCCGGACTAATAAAATCTATGCGGAACCAACGCAAACTTGGCGACTCTCGTCTGTTTTCTCGCAACCGCGCTCTTCAAACCCGTCTGACTGTAACTGCTATACCTACTCGCGATGCGTAAAACGGGAAGAAATAGAGGAAAGCTTGTAATTGCAATTACGAAAATATGGCAAATATGCTGTGTTCCGTCGGGTGTTTGTTTTTTTTACGAATAAAATTCCTGATATTTTAGGTAAATCGGACGAGGCGAATAAGGCGTTTTCTGCCGCAGTACAAATGCACGACACGTCTGTCAAAGCGTGGGCCCTATACGGCGATTACCTAGAGCACGTGTTTACGCGTGACCACAGACAGATCACTTTGGGCATTAACGCGATGACCTGTTTCCTGCACGCATGTAGACATCAAAACGAGTCTAAGGCGAGAAAGTACCTGGCAAAGGTTCTGTGGCTGCTCAGTTACGACGACGAAAAGTGCAGTCTAATGGAAGCTCTAGATAAATATTCGGTTGGGGTTCCGCCGATTCTCTGGGTACCGTGGATACCCCAATTACTCAACTGCCTTGTACAGTACGAGGGGAATGTTATTTTGAATCTGTTACTTCAGGTAATTTTGCTCGTTAACTTGCAAGTCATTGTCTAATGGAAATATGTTGTCAGGTTGGACGAATGTTTCCGCAAGCTGTCTATTTTCCAATTCGTACTTTGTATTTAACACTGCGCACCGCAACTGCGCGCAAAACAAATACAGTACAGGTAAAGCCAAACCACGCCCTCCCAGTGTTGCCGCTCACATTCCTGTTTTCAGCAACAGTCGCAAGAGACCCATGTAGATCAAACCCACACATCCCTAGCAAACCAGAACCAAGACGGCGCGAGCAACGCCAGCACGATCACGACGGAAGCGTCCGCGATCAAAGCCACCCCCGCAATGATCCGCTGCTCCAAAATAATGAAAATGCAACGTGACATTCACACGACAGTCCTGTCCAGCTTGGAAGGGATAGCGGATCAGGTAACTCGAACAAGCACAATGGTCGAATTCACTCCCAAATGTTCGCAGATGGAGTGGTTCAGAGAGAACTGGTACGAGGAGGTCGTGCGGCAACTGCGCCAAGGGCTGGCGAAGTGCTACGCGATCGCGTTCGAAAATCGCGAGAGCGTCAACGAAGCCAAAATCACCCCGCACATTTTGAACTTTGTCAAAAAACTCGTGTCCACCTTCGGAATCGGGGTGGAGAACATATCGAGCTCGACCAACGTACAGTTCAATTCGGCCGCCTCCGAGAGTTTGGCGAGGCGCGCGGAGGCCACCTACCAGGATCCCGTCTTTAAGGAGATGAAGTTGGAATTCGCGAAAGACTTTGACTTCTCCCATTCGGGAGCGATGCGCCTCCACACGCTGATATTTAAGTTGAAGAAATGGATTAAGATCTTGGAGAACCGGTCGAAGATGCTGATCCAGTGAGCATTCACTTCACGAACTTATAAATTAAGATGGACTGCTAATGCTGAATTGACAAATGACACCTACATGGGGGCAGCCATGATGTGCACTCACTTGGCGCGAAATTCAAATCAACTAATAAACAAGCATTAACCTCACGTTTTCTAAATAAATTACTGTGACACATGTCATTTTCCAAGGCTGCTATAGTTTCAAAACTTGAGCACTAGGAAAATTCCCCTAGAAAATATCTAAAATGGCCGCGCCCATGCTAGGACCATTTCTACCTCTATGCAACTGTTTGATCAGCAGTCCATCTTAATTTATAAGTTCGTTTCACGTTACAGTGTGACAATTGCGTTTTTCAGATCGTTCCTAATGGAGGAAAAGTGCAGGTTTCTCTCCAATTTCACGCTGAAAACCGCCGAGGTCGAGCTGCCGGGCGAGTTTCTGCTACCGAAGCACACCCATTACTACGTGAGAATCACCAGGTTCATGCCGCGGGTCGATATCGTTCAAAAGCACAACTGCGCCGCCCGTCGGCTGTACATACGGGGGCACAACGGAAAAATCTACCCGTACTTGGTCGTGAATGACTCGGGCCTCGCCGACGCGCGGCGCGAAGAAAGAGTCCTGCAAGTGCTGAGAATGCTCAACCACTACCTTGGTAAACACAAGGAGACTTCGAAGAGATTCTTGCACTTCACCGTGCCCAGAGTCGTCGCCGTGTCTCAGCAGATTAGACTGATTGAGGACAATCCGTCATCGGTCTCCTTACTGGACATCTTCAAACAGGGGTGTACAAAGCTGAGTAAGTGAAGCCAGTTTAAAGCAACTAAGCAATTATCGTGCATAGATATCGAGCACGACGCGCCCATCCATTACTACTACGAGCGTTTGGCAGCTATCCAAAGTAGAGGTATCAAGGCGAGCCACCAGGTGTATCGTGACATACTGAAGGGTGTGCAAAACATAATGGTACCGAGAAACATGTTAAGGAAATGGGCGCTCGCCACTTTTCAATCGGCCACGGACTATTGGCAGTTTCGGAAGATGGTAGGTAACGTCCGGAATATTCGCGCCTACTAACGAACGACACTTTCAGTTTACCCTACAGTTGTCGTTGGCCTGTTTCGCGGAGTATGTTTTACATTTGACCCGCCTTAATCCCGACATGATGTACATGCATCAGGATTCTGGTCTTGTGAATATTTCGTATTTTAAGTTTGACGTCGACGATAGTACAGGTGAGAGTTAGCCACGCCCACTTGTAACAGTTGGACAAAAATTAGTGCGCGAAAATACAAAAACAAAAATCATTTGTTTGCGTACAGATAAGGAGGTTGGCATTTCTTTGCTTTGCTTTTATTCACTCAAAAAAAAACAAAATGGTCCTGCGCATGCGCACATTTTGACACGATACAAGAAGGTTCGTCCCGCGCATGCGTCCATGGCAATACTTTCACTTCACTTTATTTTTGACACGCTCAATAAAGTGTATCTGCTCCTGTGATTTTTTTGCCCCCCAGAATACAATCCCTAAAGAGCTTCAGCGACATTTTCCAAAATTTATAGCAGGACTATATATCGAGCATGAGTTTCTGTTCTTAGCTCACTCAATGATTGTAAATTTCCTCTGTCTGCTAGGAGAACATAATGCATGAGGTCTTTTTCTAAGCTCAAGGGAATGTTCCAACACTATTTTCATTTAAGCATGTATCAGGAGAATATAATGGCGAGGAGCTGTTAGTCTGCCCAATGCTCTGTCATGAGAAAACACTCTCCTTCTAGGCCTTCAAAAGAACATGGCCTAACACCTTATTTTCCTTTATAGGACATACAAATGTACGAAAGGTGCTTCGCTCCTGTGGTACAAAAAATGTTGGAAACTTACTTTGGTTACCGAACAACTTAATCTACAAACGAGGTCTCCTTGCTAGGCTCAAATAGTAAATGTTTAAAACACTTTATTTTCCGTTTAACTTTTATCAGGAGAAGATAATTGTGCCAGCAGGTGTTTCGGGCTACGTTACTATTCCCAGGGTGTCGTTAGGAAAATTGAAAATTTTGGCCTACCAGAGGTCTCTTTTTAAGCTCACGACAAATGTTTCAACAGATTATCTTTCGTTAGTATCAGGAGAATATGATGTACGAGGAAGTGTTTCTGCGTGTTAGAAAAATGTAAATTTTGTCTGACTATCAGGAGAATATAATCCATGAGGGGGTCTTTTCTAACTTCAAGGAAACACTCCTTTTATTTAGAGCTGTATCAGGAGAATATAATGTGAAGCAGGTGTTCCTGCCCCTAATTTCCGAAGTATCTGTTCAAAAAATGCTGTAAATTGGGGAAAGAGTACTTAGGGTTTAACGTTTTGAGGCAGAACATGTTACCAGGGGAGGTCTAATATTCCCCCCAGTATTCGAAGGTCTTATGACAATTGTAGGGGAAATTAGTTCTATTTCCAGGGGGTGGGGGGTATTCCATACCTTTCAAACCGCCGCTTTGGTGTTGTTCGTCCTTAACACCATGATTTTTGGGGAGTACCTGACAGTTGGTGATATGGTAGTTGTAAGGAAATTAGTTTTTTTCCTGGAGGGGGTAAGGCAGAAAATATTAAATATAGAACGAAGGTTCTATGACAGATGTAGGGAAATTGGATTTGTATGGGAAATTTGCTTTCTTTTTCCATACCTCCCAGACTCCCCCCCCCTCTCCCTACGGTTTGATACTGTTCTTCTTAACACCACGATTTTTGGAGAGTCAAGGAAAGAGACCTTAGGACTGAACCTCTTGAGGCAGAATTGATCACCGGGACCTGGGGGAATGGTATGGAATCCCTCTGGTAAGAATTGATGACAGTTGTTAGAAATTGTATTGCAATGAGTGTGTATGTAGGGGGGGGGGGCTAAGTATCCACGCAGCTCTAAGAAACAATCTAAACTGACAATTGCAGGGAAATTAGTTCTATTTCCTACCTTTCAGACCCCCGGTTTGGTGTTGTTCGTCCTTAACACCATGATTTTTTGAGAGTACCTGACAGTTGGTGATATGGCAGGTGTAAGGAAATTTGTTCTTTTTCCGGGGGGGGGGGGTATTCCCTACCCCCACACGCCGGTAATACGTTTCTGCCCAAAACATCCATTCATTCATTCAGCTCTTTTCGCGCTCCAAAAAATTCAATGGTGTTAAGGAATGAACAACAGTTTCGAAACGGTGGGGGGGGGAGTATGGAAAGTAAAAAGAACTAATTTCCCTACAACTGTTGTAAGACGTTTGTATACTGAGGGGAGAACATATTATCGGGAGGTCTGGGAGGTATAGGACCCCCCCCCGTATACGAAGGTCTGATGACAGTTGTAGGGAGTCATTTTTGGAGCTTCGAGAAAAGTTCTTGGGGCTGAATGTTTTGAGGCAGAACTTAACACCAGGGGCGGGGGGGGGGGTGTAATACTGTCCAGTATTGAAGGTCTTATCACAGTTGCAAGAAATTTGGTCTCTTTTTCCCCAACTCTCCAAAAATCATGGTGTTAGTTAAGGATGAACAATAACAATCCGGGGGGGTCTGGAGCAATTGCGCTCAGGAGATCAGGGAGATCTGTTCTCTTTTTCCTGGAGAGTATTGGAATACCCCTCAGACCCCCCGGTTTCGTATTGTTTTACTTAACAGGAGCATTTTTGGAGAGTTAAGGAAAGAGTCCTTAGGGCTGTGAACGTTTTGAGGCAGAACATATTACTGCCCGTACACAAAGGTCTTCAGTCCATTGTAGGGAAACTTATTTTTTTTCGGGGGGGAAGGGGGGGTTATTCCATACCCCCAGAACCCCAGTTTGGTATTGTTCTACTTCACACCATGATTTTTGGAGAGTCGAGGAAAGAGTCCTTGGGGTTGAACGTTTTGAGGGTAAACATATTAAGGGGGGGGGGAGGTCTGGGGGGTATGGAATACTCTCCAGTATATGAAGGTCTTATGGCAGTTGTAAGAAATGTGTTCTCTTTTTCTGCGACTCAAAAAATTATGGTGTTAAGGATGAACAGTATCAAACCCCCTAGGAAAAAGATCTAAGTTCCCTACAACTGTTATAAGACCTTTGTATACTGGGGGTATTCCATACATGGATGTGGGGGGGGGGGCTAAGTATCCACGCAGCGCTAAGAAACAATCTAAACGAAAACTTTGCAGCACACTGAGAAATACTCTCTGCGTATTGCGGCACGATTTTTGCTGGTTATGAGGACAACATAATCCGTGGATCGTATACTGTACAAAAATTGACTCTGATTACCAGGACAACAGAATCTACGAGGAACTATCTTCTTAATCTCATGGGGTTATTTTCGTTTAGGCTGTCTTATCAGAAGAATAATAGCGAGCAGATGCTTCTGCTCTTAATTCGTGAAGTGTCTGTTAAAAAAATGTAATTTTTTCTAGCTACCAGGAGAACATACTCTGTGAGGTCTGTTTATCCATGAGCTATTTCTAAGCTTGAGGTAAATCTTCTAGCACTACGGAATTCTTCCATATCTCCAAATTCTTCACTTTCTCAGTTTCTAATTCTTCGAATTCATCTTGGGTGCTTCAAACTCTTGCAGATTTTTTCAATTATTTTCATGTTCTTCAAATCTAAATCGTTTTTCAAATTCTTCATCTGTAGATTTCTTCGAATTCTTCAATTTTTTAAAATTTTTCTTATGCTTTAAATGCTTCAGTTTCGGAGAATGCTATCGATGCTTCATATTCTTCAACTTCTGCTGACTCAGAGTCCTTTTGATTTTGTTAATCTTCGCATTTCTAAAAATAATTCCTATTCTTCAAATAGTCTTCCAATTTTTCAATTTTCTGGATTATTTAATTTCTTTGAATTGTTCTCGAAATTCTTCAAAATCTTAAGAATTTTTTGTTTCTTCAAATCGTTACAATTCTTCTGCTTGAGTTATTCAGATGCTTCACTTTGCAGGGCATTTTTTGTTTAATTTAAAAAATGACCAACTTCTGTGGTTTTGATTTTGAACTACATACTGTTAGGAGAATTGTCCAAAACTTTGTTGGTGGCGGTTGGGGGGGGGGGGGNAGGTCTGTTTATCCATGAGCTTTTTCTAAGCTCGAGGTAAATCTTCTAGCACTACTGAATCCTTCCATATCTCCAAATTCTTCACTTTCCCAGTTTCCAATTCTTCGAATTCATCTTGGGTGCTTCAAACACTTGCAGATTTTTTCAATTATTTTCATATTCTTCAAATCTAAATCGTTTTTCAAATTCTTCATCTGTAGATTTCTTCGAATTCTTCAATTTTTTTTAAATTTTTCTTATGCTTTAAATGCTTCAGTTTCGGAGAATGCTATCGATGCTTTATATTTTCTGCTGACTACGTATAGGCCCTTAAGATTCTGTGAAATGTTAGGTTTCTTCACCTTTTGATTTTTTTAATCTTCGCATTTTTAAAAATCATTCCTATTCTTCAAATAGTCTTTTCAATTTTCTGGATTCTTTAATCATTCCTATTCTTCAAATAGTCTTTTCAATTTTCTGGATTCTTTAATTTCTTCGAATTGTTGTCGAAATTCTTCAAAATCTTAAAAAATTTTTTTGTTTCTTCAAATCGTTACAATTCTTCTGCTTGAGTTATTCAGATGCTTCACTTTGCAGGGCATTTTTTGTTTAATTTAAAAAATGACCAACTTCTATGGTTTTGATTTTGAACTACATAGTGTGGAGAATTGTCCAAAACTTTGTTAGTGGCGGTGGGTAGGGGGGGGGGGGTGTACTGGTTCTGAAAAAGGAATAATTTTCGTTTAAACTTTGTATTAGGAGAATATAATGTTCGTGCAGGTGCCTCTGCCTCTAATTCACGGAGTGTCTGTTAGGAAAATGTAAATTTTCTCAGGCTACCAGGAAAACATAATGCATAAGGTCTTTTTCTAATCTCAAAACAAATTTTTCAACACTATTTTTGATACTTTTACATCAGGACAAGGACAAGGACGAGAGGTGTTTCTGCCCCTAATTCCCGATCTATCTGTTAGAGAAATGCTGTAAATTTTCTCTGGTTATGGTTTTTCCAATCTTAAGATTGTGCACCTGTACTTTAGTATCAGGAGAATATGATGTTCGAGGAGGTGTTGCTGCTCCTGATTCACAAGGTGTCTGTTGTAAATTTCCTCTGCTTACCAGGAGAACATAATTTTTATAAACTCAAAAGAACTATGTTCATTTAAACTCTTGTATCAGGAGAATATAATGTAGCTGCGTGGTAGGGTTATCTGGTCCTAATTCATGGAGTATGTCATAGCTTTTCACTGGGTACTGGGAGAACAACACAACACATAAAATTAGGGAAAGTAGGTGTAGGTTGCCCTTACACATTCGAACTCTTCAATTTAGATTAGAACTGGTTTATGGTCTATGGTTAAAATTTCAAGAAAACACCTTGCTCGGTTTTCTGTTAGTATAAATTATAGTCGACATTTCAGCACATATTTATAAATAAGAGGTAGTCCTGCGCATGCGCGTACTTACCTGTACTTTTCTAGGTGAATTAGACACAACTAGGCCCGTTCCATTTAGACTGACTCCCAATATACTCGAATTTCTGTCGGCCGTTAGCGTTAACGGCCCCCTAACCGCCGCAATGATCGCAACCGCGAGGTGCTTCGTCTATCCAAATTTCAAGGTCTGTACGATATTGACGTAAGCGCGTCGAGTCAGTAGTGTCGTCTTTCAGGTTCAAGCGATTTTAAAGACGATATTGCGAGACGAAATGGTGCTGTCGCGAATAAAAAAATCGGACGACGGCGAATCGAACAATCAAGAGAAATTGACCGATAGCGAGCAGTTAATCACGGTTGTAAATAAGGCAGTGGCGGCGGTCAATAATAGACTTAACAGTCTCGCTCATTTCGACGGATTGGATAGCAAAGTATGTAATTCGGTAGAATTGGTGAGTGAGTAATCGATGGTTTTTTATTCGTAGATCGGAACTTTGGTTGCAGCCGCCAGCAGCCATGACAATTTGTGTCGAATGGATCCCGCTTGGCATCCGTGGTTGTGATGTGTATATATAGACGTTTCTTTTACTTCGTTGTATAAACGTTTAATTTATTGTAAACAATGTGATTATGCAGTATTATCACATCTCTAGCGCTCCCAGTTTTTTTATTTTTCTTAGTGGAAGTGATTTGATCGTGAATGATGTATGGTGAGTACCAGAAGGGGCAGAGTTCAATTATTTAATAGCTTCAGAGAGATTTAGCGGAGTAGACCTGAATTACCATGAATCAAACCGGTAATCGACACTTACAACAGGTAATGTAAGGTAGATCATGAAGTCAACGCACTGTATAACCGTGAGTGTAGGTACTTGTAATGTTCACATTGTGTGAATCGGGAGTTCTCGAAAAAGGTTTCCAATCATTACATTGTTCTAAAGAAGGTGATCTAAAATCTTACATTTTTCTAGTGTTTTTTAATAATAATAATAATAGTTAACCAGGCTAGACCTGAGTTCTGACAAGACAGGCTGACCATAATAATAATAAATAGATGCTCTGTTTTAGTTCACAATTCAAATTTTAATTGTGTCATTTTAAATTAGACGAAGGCATATCTGTTTGAAATATGTACGTCAACTATCACCTATACCTACCTATCAATCGCTTAATCAGAGTGCTTTCTTATACTTGTTAAACGTTACATATGATGCTGAAAATGGAGACGAAGAAGAATAACTAGATCCTTAAGAACAAACGTTTACTCTAATCAATGTAATGATTACTAATCATATGGTCACCATTTTTAGTGTAATGTTCTTACGAATCAACTATGACAACAAAATGCAAGAGAAAATACACAAATCAAATGCAGTTAATCAAATTCATAAATTAAAGATGGCCGTCTGCGTTAATGAGAAGCCATTTTGTAAGCGTTCTTTAACTAATACGGAATAGAGGTGGTTCGGTTTGGGGAAAAATTCTAAGCATTCGTAGCGAGACCAGTGCATGAACCTTAAAGAAAATTGAAATTAATCAATTCGTGCTTGGTCATCAGTGCGACCAGAGAACTACCAAGGAATAACCTTGTTGCTAAGCAAATTTGTCTGGAATTAATCAAGCGCGACCGCACAAATTTTCGCGTTAGTAACTAAAAATGTTACGCGCGATTGGTCGTGGTTTTTGCCTAATTGCTCTATGGCTTCATGCGCGCTATCACGTTTACACTTTCGAGACTTCGCACTCGACACTTTATCGTAGAATGCCGAAAAACTAATTTGGACGACGCACTTGACGCTCTGGTGATCAAAAACCGAATACCATACCGCTATCTCTACTGAACGCGACCCTACTCTTTCAAATTTACAAAGACCACCTACAAAATGGTGCTGATAGGATAAAGTGGCCATCTTTAATTACTTTACTTTATAGCCTGCACCCCATGATATTATTATGCGTCATTGTGATTCAGCCGTTTTGGACATTAAGGTTTCTCAGGCGATTAACTGGTCAAGACACGATCCAAAAAATATTGATCACCAGGAATCTGTGGGGTAGGAATGCTCAGGGAACAAAAATTCAGTGACTTTTACAGAAAACTACAACAGAGTCCTTAGGGCTGAACGTTTTGTGGGAGAATATAGCACCGGAAGTTCTGGGGGTACTGAATTCCCCCCCCCCCCAAGCACCTCGAAGATCTTATGTGTAAGGACCTGAACATTGAAATTATTTTCCCCCAGACCCCCCGGTTGTACAGTCTAGCTCAAAATATTTAGTGACTTTGAAAGGACCGTATATCTAATGTAACACCAGAACTCTTTGGGGTAGGTGTGCTCAAGGAACGAAGAATCGGTATCCTTTACGAAGAAGTTATTCTGCTACCCGTCCCTACACGTGAAAAAATACACTACTACTATCCATAAAAATCTAATGAAAATTCAAGGCTCCCGTTACAAACAAAGCTTGGAGCACGCCATGCTTCATTAAAAAACATAAAAATCTATTGATAAACTGCGACACGAAATTTAAAGGTTGATGCTTAGTACAAGGCAGAATAAAATTATTACTAACTGTAATTACACTCTTCATAGAGTGTTTCGTATGTTTTTACCATAGGGCTATTTTTTCTGATGTAAGGTATGTTGCCTAGTCGTAGGGGTATGTTACCACAGACTATAGACATTGAAATTTCTTTCAGATTAACCGTAAGGTTATGACTTGAAGAGCTGACAAAAGTGAAAGCCTTTTTTTCTAACTATATCAAAGAACTGTGATAATCCACCCTTATGGTTAGGCAACACACCTTTACATCTGAAACAAAAATATGATATGCTCTGTATATAACCAATCGACCGGTTTGCGCAGATGCCGAATACTAGGGGATTTTCGTAACGAAGCTAGGGGAAAAAAAGAAGATGTCGAAGGAAGGCATCACGCTTTCCCGGTTTTTTTTATCTTGGTGTTGGTGTCTTGAAAGTGTATTTACAGGTAGTAACCATTTTATTCTTTCTTGTACTAGCTATTAATCATTGAATTTCTTGCCACAATTTGATATTATTTACAGTTTGCTGATTTTGCATAAACTGCCATATCTGAATCATGGCGTACTCCATGCCTTTGTTTTGAGTACCGTTAGATGAATCGTGTTTGTTATCCGTTACTTTCTGATCCGTGGCGCGCTGCAGTTCTTGTGCGTTAGCTATACGAAGGGGGGCTCTCTTATTTGATGTTTCGATGTTTGTGTGTGCAAGTGGTTCATTCTGTCTCCGTGGAGTTGGTACCTAATACAGTTCGATCTTTCGCTGTCTCTGTTGCCGACTCGTCTCGTGCGGATTGCAGTTCTTAGCATCTTAGCAATGCAAGTAGGGGCCCTCTCATTAACATTTCGTCTATTTAAAATATGTTCTGCTTGAGCGATGATCGAATATCTTTCATTTCAAATAGGTACTATCTAAAGGTGGAAGTTGAATCATGAATAATAAAAACTGGGAGAAAACGATAGGTACCTACATAATATGGAAGAACCAATTCGCGAAGGGGCATAACAGAACGGGAATAGCAAAAATGTGTGAGTATTAGAAAGGCAATAACATGGAAACAGGTAAAGGAAGGGGAAGAAAGAAGTGGTGAGACCGAAAGTGTACAGAAGAGAGAAACAGATACAGAAAAATGATGGAAAAAGAAAGAGGGGGAAAGATAGAGGAGAACGAGTTGAGAGAAAAGAAAAGAAAGAAAATGTAAAGAGAACAAATGAAGAAACAGAAAAAATACGAAGAAGAAATCAGGGAAATAAAAACAGAGAAGAACTTTGGGCGAAGATGATAAACAGAGGGAAAAGGAAAACACATAATTAGTTGGGCGAGAGAAATACAAATCGAGGACTGGAAACAGAACTTGATAAGGTACTACATGGAAAGCAGGAGGAAGAGGTTAGCTTAAAAGATGGAAGGGAGGGGGTAGAAAGGGACGAAATATCAAGAGGCTTAGAGATTGAGCAGCAATTATAAAGAGAACCGAAGAAAGGGAAAGCGGCAGGAAGAGATGATTACTTACTTACAACACCCGTAATGCCCGTATTTGAACAAACGAATTTAAATAACACAATAAAATCCACCCTGCGATAAATTTCCGCGACTCCACGCTGTATCGCAATTCAAACGCCCTGCGCTACTTGATGGGTACTTTACCCAACTTCGTTGACAGCCTTATGCAACTTTTCTCTCGCGGTTCTATGCAAATTCGATAAACATTCCGAAAAGTGTAAGTAGATTTCTTTCCGCCATTTTGTTCCAATATGGCGGAATTGGTCGAACTTGACCGAGTCACTGGCTCCGCCTACTTTCGCTCGAGTTTAAAAAGTCAACCGTTTTTACCGTCTCCGAAAACAGCACCGCGCCGGTTGCCGGTCACACGCTTCCTTTCTGTGCGTACCTTTTATACAGCCAATCGCCCTTTGTGAGTACCGTCCCCCGACCTTCTGTTCTTGATATAAAGAATTATTAATATCCGATCACGATAAGGGATCGAGGAGGAGGACTATTGTTGGTAGAAATTAATTCCTTTCGTTGAGAATTGAGAATCATTGGAGTACAATGAAGGATAAAACAAGTTTCCCCCCCCCCCCCCTGCACAGCTCTTGCTTTGATAAGGAGTCAGAAGGAAGGGCGGTAGTTGGTAGAAACCAGTTCCTCTTGTTGAGACCTTTAAATAGAATACCATGAAGAGTAGAACGTGTGTTCACTACCTCCACCCCCCTTTTTTTGAAAAATTTTACTGCTCACACCACTAAAGGCATGTGTATGCAAATTCTGTGACCAGTCGGTTGTAGTATGTAAAAGTTATATGCATGTTTTACATTCAAACAGCATCTCAAGAAATAATTCAGGGGGGGGGGGGGGGGCTTGAGACAGCGAAATTTGATAATCGTCTGGCACACCTTCAAGGTATAGGCTACGTATAGCAAATAATTATAAGGCTCTAGAACCTCTAAAAGTACTCTCAAACCGCGGGGGTTAGGGTGCGGGGGGGAATGACATTGAATGTGCGGTAACCTTGAACATGGGGCACTCTCTACTAGAGAGCAAGTGGGTATCTATAGTTTTATGAACCGCGGACGGGGAACTAAGAATGATGCTCTACGCTATAAGCGTTTTAAGTAGAGGTTGCTGCTTAAAAAGCAATAATAACAGATAGGTGACGCATGTCTGTAAAGGAATGGACATCATCCACTTCCAAAGCGTCATTGGCTTGACACCGCAGAGAAAGTGTTATTGACAAAGTGTTAATCTAAGATCTAAAACTAAAACTTGGCAAGTATATGTAAGTGGGAAATGCATTATATAGTGTTATAGTGGTTATATTTTTCAAAAGGACCACCCTCCGTACCGTGCTATTGGTGGAATATTGCCGCGCAGAATGCTAGCGCCCTGATTTTTGGGGTGTCGATTGTTATCCCTTTTCCTTCGTAAACCGCATTGATTAAAAATAGCAGCTGAAACCATAAGGTAGAATGCATGGATTCCTACATACCGTCTTCCAAACGGGATACACCTATGCTCCCAGGTGAGGTTATTATATGCGTTCTTCCCTTTTTATCATAAGTACGGCTATGTGCATTCATTGTACTGTACTTGCCATCGACAATTGCTGCTCCAACTAAGATTTAACCCCTAATTTAAGAGGTAGGTAAATTTTATGTCATCAAAGAGGAGGGGTTACCTTTGATTTCTGATAGGATCCAAGTTTCATATAAGTTTTACGTTACATACTAATGCTTGTGCCGATGCACCTACTGATACCAAGCGGTCATTTTTTTTGTGAAATAGGGAAATTTCCACATGTACCGCTTCATAGCGAACGTAAACGAAAGTAGGTCTGGAAATATAGGCGATAACATGTTCGTTTTAGATAAAAACGTGGGTAAGGGGGTTTTCTGCAGACGAGGTTAGACTTTGCATTATTTGTTAGTAAATACGAACAATAGCGGAAGTTTATAAACACGCAAAATTTAATTTGGGAAGAGTACTAGGGTTACCTTTGTGTACTGGAAAACCATTGGATATCGTTCAACACCTTTATGAGGAGATTTACAGCGCAGACTGTTTTAGAATACGATTACACAGAATTACTAAGTATTTAGAAAGCTTTTTAGCGCATTTCCACAAAAATAAAAAAAAATGCGCTATTGTGGCCACTTTGTCCGTCCGTCCGTCCGCTAACTTTGCGACGCTACTAGTTTTTTATCTTAAGAGCTATTGTTCTACTTTTTTCGCTATTTGGTTCGTTATGGTGTCGAGTCTTGTACCAAGGAAGGAATTTTGTCTGTACCGCTTACAAAAAAAGTTATTGTAAAAAAAAAAAAAAACCGTTTTTTACATGTTCCATAATTTTACACTTTTGCCGTTTATTAACGATCCTAGAGATCGTTTATAATTTTGCATTGCTATCTGTCGCCTGCCGGTTGGTCTCTCCGTCTGTTCCTTTGTCTGTCTGTCCATCTATCTGTCCGTGTGAACGATAACTTTGTTTAGAAATGTTCGATCGCTTTTACATCTCCGTTAGTTATGAACTGAATTGCATGAAATTCAATATGGGCATAGCTTTAGCCATATAATACGCAATGCCAAAAGTTGAATCGAATCGATTCAAAATTCACAGTGCCCTTTTCGCATCTCGACCATTTATAAACCGAATTGCAAACTTTTTTACTTATAAAAGTATTTGAATGAAATTTGATACATAGGCACTTGGAATAAAGGAAAATCAAACGCCAATTTCAAAATTTGGTTTTGCGCATGCGCAGTGCCAACTTTTTTATTTATGGAAGAATTTAAACGAAATTTGATACATAGGCACTTGGGATAAAGGAAAATCAAACGCCAATTTCAAAATTTGGTTTTGCGCATGCGCAGTGCCAACTTTTTTATTTATGGAAGAATTTAAACGAAATTTGATACATAGGCACTTGGGATAAAGGAAAATCAAACGCCAATTTCAAAATTTGGTTTTGCGCATGCGCAGTGCCAACTTTTTTATTTATGGAAGAATTTAAACGAAATTTGATACATAGGCACTTGGGATAAAGGAAAATCAAACGCCAATTTCAAAATTTGGTTTTGCGCATGCGCAGTGCCAACTTTTTTATTTATGGAAGAATTTAAACGAAATTTGATACATAGGCACTTGGGATAAAGGAAAATCAAACGCCAATTTCAAAATTTGGTTTTGCGCATGCGCAGTGCCAACTTTTTTATTTATGGAAGAATTTAAACGAAATTTGATACATAAGCACTTCGAATAAAGGAAAATCAAACGCCAATTTCAAAATTTGGTTTTGCGCATGCACAGTGCCAACTTTTTTATTTATGGAAGAATTTAAATGAAATTTGATACATAGGCACTTGGAATAAAGGAAAATCTAGCGCCAGTTTCAAAATTTTATTTTGTGCATGCGCCGTGCCAACTTTTTTATCTATGGAACTATTTAAGTGAAATTTGATACTTAGGCGCTTGGAACAAAGGAAAATCTAACATTAGTTTTAAAATTTAGGTTTGCGCATGCGCAGTTCCAACTTTCTTATTTAGAAAAGCATTGAAATGAAATTCTTCTCATAAACTGAAATTGAAGTAGCACGTCAAAAATGGATTGCCCATGTGCAACGCTATCTTTCATATTTGTGGCCGGATTTTTACGATTTTAACAGAAGTTGCATCTTACAAATGGGAAATGAATGCAAGTGGAAATGCGCTTTATGTAAATCGTTTACGATTACTTTTTAACTTGTTTGATTTCAGGTAGCTTTCATATTCTTTCTATAGCTATTGTAATGGGCTAACAATTGTCACAAAATTAATTCTTTTTCACTCTTCTACTGTATGGAAATAATTTGAATTTAGCAGTGTAAGTTAAAGGTTAAATTTAGTTAACCGAGTGCTTACGTAAAATTATTTTAACATAGTAAGCAATGAATTGAGACGTGCGCCACAAAATTATGACTCTTGAAGGAGGTAATGTAAAGAAAACGACCACGTATTAGTAACGTGCAATTGCGATTTGTATGAAATAATTGTCGTGACAAATTTGTTATTTTAAAAGCCGTTGGTCCTATAATTAAGGGCTGTGTGAATTAAAAGAGCGAGTGTATTTAAAGAAGTGCAGTGAAAAAGCTTATTTTTGGCGAGAATTAATAAAACATTAACAAATTTGTATAAGAGGACGTACATCACCTCCATCGACGAAAATATAAAACCTAAATATAGAAAGCACGCAAGGTCCAAGGGCGTTTCCCAAAAGTACATAGAATCTGAAGGTTTTTATAATTGTCAAAGGTCCTTGAGAGCTCTCGATGTGGTATAAAAACTTCGGAAAATCCTGAAATCTTTACTCTGGCGTCTCTTAAGACTGCCTAAACTCTTTTCATGGAGTTTTGATCATTTCCAAGAATCCTTCCATTTTTGAGGCGTTTTAAATTCTTTCTAGAGCGATAGATTTGTATTCCCTAGCTCTGAAAAGAACCGTGAAAGCGCTAGGCAGATCTTTGTAAGCTACCTTCAGATTGTTATAGACTTGCTGAAGCTCGGTAAGCACACAAAATTTCAGAACGAACCTAAAAAGCCCTTGAAAACCTGTAATGATCTTAGGATTTTCCCAAGCCGGCACTGCACTCGCCTATAGTTACAGTTGGAAAATCTCTAGGGGAAAAACTACGAGCAAAGCTTTCAAGTCGTTTCGCGGTACTTTTGAATTTCGGTAGCCTGCTCGGCTTGGGTACGAATGAACTCCTATACGTTGTGTAATCGGTTTTGTGTCAGAAAATTAACAAGTAAATATATTACGCATACAACAAGGTGATACCAACAAAACCTTCTTCGGGACAAAAACCCCGGCATATTTTATTTTTTTAAATTTTATTGCCTTTATTTTATAGTGGCAGAGTGTTAGCTAATTCTTTTTACTGTTTCCCACTATACGATCTCAAACAGCCTTGCCTTATCTGAGATTCGACCCAGGACTCTTGTAGCCAAAGTAGATTCATCTGAGCTACGTCGGTCCCACACAAATACATGAAAGAAATCAACTACTGCAACAATGCAAAAGAAAATATCGCGAATTATACGATAAAGATCAGGTTAAATTAAACAAATTTATAAAAACAAACACAAGATACGTCATAAATGCAAGTGGAAAACATGATTTAATGTATAAAGAAACATCAAAATGGCGTGGTGACCATAATTTAAGACGAAGAGTACAATTCTACCAAGTTTTGTAGTGACCTGGATCTCCGATATAGAGCTACCCAGAACAGCTCCCTTTGTTCCTGAACGTAGGCAACCCAACATACACAGGTTGTCTTGACGAACAGGATGTTGTGTAGAAGGGAGGTTTTAGAGGTCCTTAGGTTACGAAGAGGCTAAGGGCTAATGAAAACAATTATTTGCATTTTTCACAATAACCTAACCTACATTTTAATTAATAACAAATTGCAACTTTGACGTTTCTTTCGCATGCGCAGATTATACGGAGGTTTAGGCCCCGGATTCGAATACTTTTTCCCCCAAGCTTCGTTATGAAAATCCCCCGGTCTTCGACATCTGCGCAAAACGATCAAAATAGAAAACATAACACGATTGGTGTATACAGAGTGTGTCGTATTTTAGTGTCAGATGTAAAGGTGCGTTCAAGCCGTCAATGGGTTTCCGGAAAACAAATAACGTTTTTGTAAGGCTTTTTTAAAGGTCTTCGGAGGCGCGGAAAAACAGTTAAGGGATTATGGAAAACAATTGATGGCACTTGTAGTGGTTTCGCTCGCCTTTACATATGGCATTGTAGCTTTTTTGACGGATTTTTGGTTTATTTCCAAAATGATTCACTTTGGAAGCGTTTTAGATCTTTTTCAGAATGTTTATGACTCTAATTTTGTGTTTTCTAGAAATCCTTCTCTTTTGGAAGCATTCTAGACCTTTTTCAGAGCTTCATTAGATCGGTTTAGATTTTTCTAAAGCTTGTAAAGAACACCTATTTTCGGGAAAATCTTAAACACCTTTCAAAGTCATCAAAAATTAAGGTCCAAGGGTTTTCTTTGATTTCTGTTGAAGTTCTGGAAAACAGTTGAGAACTTATAAAAAAGGCCTTATTGTGCTTCCTCACACCTTAAATGACACTTTTATTTGAACTAGGTACCCTTTCCAAGAATCCTTCGCCCTTGGCAGCGTTTTAGATCTTGTCCAGACCCTTGTCAAAAATCTTTCTAAGCTTTTTCTAGTTTGTTGTAGATCTTTGCCAAAACTGGATAAGGACATCTAGTTTCGGAGTGATCTTGAACGATCTTAAGGGTTTTCGGAAAGACCATGGAAGATGTTTAAAGACTCTTGGGTCTACGTGTAAAGCAACAAAGAAGTCTGAGGCTTTATAAACGCCTTACATTGGCATTCTTGAGCCTTTTAATTCTCTAGGGTATTTCCAAAGCTTTTTCAGTAATTTGTAGGCACTTTTCCAGAGCATACCAGATCGTTCCCGAAACCGTTTTCAGATGATGAGAATTGTACCTATGGGTAATGTTTTCTTCTGGAACTCTGGAAAGCTCCCGAAGGTATATTTACGCATGTGGAACGTTTGCAGTGTACTTAAGTCTCGTCCAAAGATCTTTCGCGTCTTTGTTTCCAGAGGTAGACGAGATACATTCTTTCATTTGTGTGTTTCCATCGATCTCTGTAACAATAAGGCATTTTTTTTTCTCAAATTCAGATTCGTATGTTTAGGGAACTCTTTTTTTGTGTTCATGTCGGTTTTCTGCATTTTGAAATTTCTGACACGGTGTAATGGAAGTAGTTTTTTCACCTTAAAATACCTGCGGTTAGACAACTTTGATACGCGGGCCATGTACTCGTATTGGATGTTATTCGGCGGTTAAACCACATCCCTTTGTCAAAAAATATTGTGGGAATCTCCAATATAAATCGAGCTGCATTCACTTTTTTCACTGTGAGCTCAAAGTTCGTGCAAGGTGAGTGACTCTCTTTCATTTTTCTTTTAGTCGCAATTTTTGCAGAAATGGCGACCAAGGAAAACCTGCTTCTTCTGTTACAAAATCCAACGGAGCCAGTTTACTATCCGAAAGGCGATAAAAAGGCCGTCTTTGATATTACGACCGATTACATTGTAAAGAGCGCATGGTGTAGTAAGAGATAATGAGGGTGATTTTAGGCTCCTCGTTACCAACATGTTGGAGTGCAGTTATTTGATCGCGTCGGCGAGGAGGCAGGTGAACGGATTCCCGTAAAGCAGATCTCTCTACCGAGGTTAGGAAATATTTTGAAGCTCCCACGCCAGGCCAATTTCTCCCTGTTCATACCGTTCCATCGCGAAATTGCCGGACAGCTCATCGACATCTTCATGGGTAAGTCGAAATCAATTTCTTCCCTTTTACCTACATTTCGGTATAGGTATGAGAGACATTGAAGATCTCCAGTCTATGGCTGTTTACGCAAGAGACCGTGTTAACCCGTACCTGTTCAATTATTGTCTGTCCGTCGCTCTTTTGCATAGGGTGGACACGCAAGGTTTGGATATTCCCTCGTTCATGGAGTCTTTTCCGGATAAGTTTATCGATACCCAAATCTTAAGTCAGGTTCGAGAAGAAGCAAATCTTGTACCGACGGGCTCTAGGGTAGGTACACTTTGGTTTTTGTTGTTAGCTCTTGGAGAGACTGTTTAAGACCCCGATCGAAATTCCAATCGACTACACCGCATCGAATCTGGAGGAAGAGCATCGCCTTGCCTACTTTCGCGAAGACATCGGAATTAATCTACACCATTGGCACTGGCACTTAGTCTATCCCTTTAACGGTCCAAGGCAGATAGTGAACAAAAACCGGCGCGGGGAGTTATTCTATTACATGCATCAGCAGGTCATCGCGAGATACAACTTCGAACGCTTATGCGCCTCCCTAAAAAGGGTCACCCGGTTTATTGACTGGCGCAAACCCATCCCCGAGGCGTACTTCCCCAAACTGGACAGCTTGATCGCTAGTAGATCGTACCCTTCCCGCGTCGCCAATCAAACGATTCAGGATTTGAACCGAGAGCAGGATCAAGTGAAGGCTGATATTAACCGACTGGAACAATGGCGCGACCGAATTGCCACGGTCATTGCCTCGGGAAATGCACAAGACGTAAGCGTCCGATAGTTAGTTAATCTACGCTACAAAAATTCTGCAACAGGAAGCCGGAAACGACATTCCATTGACGGAGTTCGAGGGCATAGACGTTCTTGGCAACATGATCGAATCCAGCATCCTCTCGCCGAACCGCGCGTTCTATGGAGACCTCCACAATTTTGGGCACGTTTTCATCGCGTACATCCACGATCCAGACCATCGTCATTTGGTAACTTTCCACCTCCCAGAGAAGCTCGTCCTTACTTTCACTGCTTTAGGAATCGTTCGGGGTGATGGGCGACTCCACCACTGCCATGCGCGACCCCATCTTCTACAGGTGGCACGCGTTTATCGACGACATTTTCCAACAGTTCAAGGCGTCCCTTCCCAGATACACCGTGTCACAGGTACCTATCAATCTTGGTTTCGGTAAACCACCCTTAATTTTCAGATCAATTACGATGGAGTGACCGTGGACAGCTGCCAAATTCAGTCGCAGGGTGGAAATCCGAACGTGATTAGCACCTTCTGGCAGCAGTCGGACGTCGACCTCACCCGCGGCATGGACTTCCAACCGCGCGGCCCAGTCTTCGTCCGTTTCACCCATCTGCAACATCAGCCGTTCACTTACAACATCTCCGTGAACAACTCGGGAGGTGCCCGGCGCGGTACCTGCAGGATCTTCATCGCGCCGGCGACCGACGAGCGCGGAAATCCGTGGCTCTTCCAAGATCAAAGGACTCTCTTTGTGGAGCTCGACAGATTTGTTGTCAACTGTAAGTACGCGCGATGAGAACGTAGGTAATGCAGTTTTTGATTAGTGCAACCGGGAAAGAACACAATTGTCCGTCGCTCCGACCAATCGTCGGTCACGATTCCGTTCGAGAGAACCTTCCGTAATCTGGAAGCTAACAGACCGGCGGAGGGCACGGACGCAGTTGAGCAATTCAACTTTTGCGGATGCGGGTGGCCGCATCACCTCCTCATTCCGAAGGGCACACCTGAAGGGAAGGACTCGCATTTGTTCGTGATGATCTCCAATTACGACGACGATCGCGTAAGCGACCACCGTTTTTATTCAGTCCTTAATCGGATTTTTACAGGTCGACCAAGATACCAACGTCCCCTGCAACGACGCTTCCAGTTATTGCGGCATTAAGGACAGGCTGTATCCGGATCGCCGCTCCATGGGCTATCCCTTCGACAGATCACCGCGTGATGGGGTCAGCACTCTTCAGCAGTTCCTTACGCCGAACATGAGAGTACAAAATGTCACCATTCGTTTTACCAATCGTACCCTCAGAAAACCACGTCAATAGGAAACGGAGTCATGTTGATGACCGAAAGCTTCAATGTATGATCATAATTGATAATGAATTAATAAAAAATTAAGCAATAAATCTGTGTCTTGCTTTGGAAGAGACAAAGAAAACACGTAGAAGGAGCTATAAAGGAAAATGGATACTGAATGCATTCCAGTCCTTTCGGGTGACTTTTTCAGAGCTTTTCAGGAAGTTTCCAAAGCGTTTACTATAACTGTCTCCCCTCCTCCTCCACTGCCATAAATCGTGACGAGTCGCACTACAGGTCCCCCGTCATATTTTTGTAATTCATCCACCCTAACCCTACTGTTTGAATCCTGTGGTTAATTTTCTTGTCCGATTTCCTCTTGTCAGTAACGTAAAAGCGGTGGTATTTGCACTCTCTGTTCTAGTAGGTTTATACCCGTGCGGTGGAGGCACGTCCCAAGATCGCGCGGATAGTGGAACACCCACACAAATTCCTGAATGGTTGTAACGTGACTCGCGCCTCGGTGTGGGTCGGTGACGATTATAGTAACCCCTCGGGGCTAAGACCAAACCTAGACTGGTGACCTCCCAAGTCACGACGTACCCAGGACTGGCACTGGGTTCCAATGTAAATAACGGTACCCCTCGAATACAGGGGGACCTCTGAGGAGGCTGACAGCCAAGCGCTGGGTAAACCGTTCTGCTCAGATGGTGGGTATTGTGCGGACGATATAATAATCTAAACAAACTCTTTCCGGACTCCTTCTCAGGGGGGACCAACATCCGACCCCTCAAAAGGCAGGCTCTCCGAAAGAGGAGGGCTAGATTCAAGGACCTGGTTGTGGACAAGCAAGAAGCATAGGGCATATTTCTCCTTCTTTCCAACTTTCCGGAAATCATCCTCCTCTCCATACTCTGATAATCATTATTCTGATTTACTGTTTCACGTTTTCCGGCGCATGTATTATCATCTCATTTGATATTTGGTCTGGTCCAGGAGCTTTCTTTTTTTTCCTCTTCGATATTTCTGCTTCCATTTCTTCTTTTCCTATTTCTTCATCCTCCTTTTTAGTTCTTCTTTTTGTTTTTTCCTCTCTGAAGCTTACCTGCCCGTTTAAACTGTGTATAAAGTAACTTTTCCCTTCTTCTTCTCCAATGTCGTCTGGTATTCCTTCTTAATTCTTCCTCCATTTGTTTATAAATTTCCACACTTCATTTTCGTTTTTGATGCTTTGTATTTCTCTTATTTCCATTTTTTGTAATTCTTCTTTTTGCGTTTGCATGTATCCTTATATTCCTTCTTCGTTGTTCTGTACTCTTCGTATGTATCTTTTCCTGTTTTCCAATCCATTAGAGCTTTTTTGTAATTTGTTTTTTCTCTTTACATTCTGTGCCCCACCACTTGCTTCTTCCTGGTGTCCAGTTGATTCTTTTTGATGTTTTTTTCTGTCACCGCTTTAGTTATTGCCTTTTTGATGCACCAAAATTTTTCGGGAAAACACTTTTTCTTATTAATTTTGGTGCGTAGAATCCAAAACAATTCGTACTTTTTTGATTAGACTTCTCAATCAAAGGTTATAGACTAGAAACCAATTTCGAAAAAAATTCAAAGGGCTGTAACTTTTGAACTAGTAGCCCAATCTTGGAACTGTTTGAAATTATGAATTCTACAGGCCACATTCTATCAGAAAATTTTTTTTCCGGATCGATCTGACACAATTTCTTTTTCGGGGCTCAAAAAAGGCAGTGTATAACCTTCCTTTTTTACCAAAAATCGACTGCACCAAAATTTCTCGGGAAAACACTTTTTCTTATTAATTTTGGTGCGTAGAATCCAAAACAATTCGTACTTTTTCGATCAGACTTCTCAATCAAAAGTTATAGACTAGAAACCAATTTCGAAAGAAAATTCAAAGGGCTGTAACTTTTGAACTAGTAGCCCAATCTTGGAACTGTTTGAATTTATGGATTCTACAGGCCACATTCTATAAGAAAATTTTTTTCCGGGTCGATCTGAGACAATTTTTTTTTCGGGGCTCAAAAAAAAGCAGTGTATAACCTTCCTTTTTTACCAAAAATCGACTACACCAAAATTTCTCGGGAAAACACTTTTTCTTATTAATTTAGGTGCGTAGAATCCAAATCAATTCGTACTTTTTCGATCAGACTTCTCAATCAAAAGTTATAGACTAGAAACCAATTTCGAAAAAATATTCAAAGGGCTGTAACTTTTGAACTAGTAGCCCAATCTTGGAACTGTTGAAATTATGGATTCTACAGGCCACATTCTATAAGAAAATTTTTTTTCCGGGTCGATCTGAGACAATTTTTTTTTCGGGCCTCAAAAAAGGCAGTGTATAACCTTCCTTTTTTACCAAAAATCGACTACACCAAAATTTCTCGGGAAAACACTTTTTCTTTTTAATTTTGGTGCGTAGAATCCAAATCAATTCGTACTTTTTCGATCAGACTTCTCAATCAAAAGTTATAGACTAGAAACCAATTTCGAAAAAAAATTGAAAGGGCTGTAACTTTTGAACTAGTAGCCCAATCTTGGAACTGTTTGAAATTATGGATTCTACAGGCCACATTCTATAAGAAAATTTTTTTTTCGGGTCGATCTGAGACAATTTTTGTTTCGGGGCTCAAAAAAAGGCAGTGTATAACCTTCCTTTTTTACCAAAAATCGACTACACCAAAATTTCTCGGGAAAACATTTTTTCTTATTAATTTGGGTGCGTAGAATCCAAATCAATTCGTACTTTTTCGATCAGACTTCTCAATCAAAAGTTATAGACTAGAAACCAATTTCGAAAAAAAATTCAAAGGCCTGTAACTTTTGAACTAGTAGCCCAATCTTGGAACTGTTTGAAATTATGGATTCTACAGGCCACATTCTATAAGAAAATGTTTTTTTCCCGGTCGATCTGAGACTAGGGAATGCAATACCGGGATCCCGCAGCATTTTTGCGGGATTAATCCCGCACATAAATGGAGCGGGATCCCGCGGGATTTGCGGGACTGAGGAATTTGTCGACCAAGGGGACGACTCTGTTTACTTTGTTAATGAAACGCATAACGGAGAAGTTATTTTTTAAATAATTGTTAAACTTTTTTCGTTAAAAATGTACTATGATTTTTGAGGCACTTTAGAAGTTCACCTTTTTGTGCTTTACAGGTGAGGTTTTTTTGAGTTCTAAGTTAGGCCGAAGGTACTTTTTTGTTAAATATTGTGATAATTAGCGACTTATTTTAATGCAGAAGTTAACCGCACAGAATTGCTTAGTTGCCAATTTATTTAAAGTTTTGCGGGATTTCGCAAATACCGGGATCCCGCGGGATTAACATCTAGCAATCCCGCAAATATCGGGATTGAGATTTTGCTGCGGGATTGCATTCCCTACTTCTGGCGTATTGATATTCCCATTAAAAATCTTTCCGTAGTTTTTTCTCCCTATTTTCCCAATATTTTTCATGCCGATTACATCATAAGTTTTCACGTACTCCCAAAATTCTTCATCCTTGTTGCTGATTCCCGCCACGAATCCAATTTTGATGTTTCCTTTTTTTGTCATGTTTTCTTATTTCTTTTTTTTCCTTTCTTTGTTTGTTTTTATTGTCACCTGTTGTTCCTTTGTTAATTGTTTGTCTTGCCCCCGTCCCCGATTGTGTATGCTTGTTTAGTTTTTTTGTCGTTAAATTACCATCTCTCTCGTCCCACTTGAACCATGTAGGTATCATTTATCATGAGCTTCATATATCTCTTATTTGTTGTATTGTCTTTTTCTTTTTCTTCCTCCATCCTTTCTCTGATCTTCTTTTGCACTCTCTTTCTGTCAACGTCAGGTCGTTATCGATATATACCTTTTTATCTCTTAGGGATTGTCTGTTCCTCATGATTTTCCTCCCAATTTGTACATTTTATTAGAATCCTTATTTTTCGTTCTCTATTTTGTATTGTACCGCTTCTGTAGTATAAATATTTGTTTTTAATTCCTTTTTTAGGAAATTTATTGCGTCGGTTTCCTTAATATTATTTGCTCCTTCTACTTTAATTACAACGTTATTTTTCTTCTTCGTCCTTTCCTCTTTTTCCAGTCTCCATTCTAATTTGTCTATTCTCTCATCTAGTTCACATTTTTCTTTGTTCCATTTTTCTTCCTTGTCTTGATTTTGCCTCTTCAGTTCCTGAATTTCCTTTTTAAACTCTTCTCTCATTTCCGTTATTTCTTTTCTGACGTCATTTCTCATTTCTATCATACTCTTGTTAAGGTTTATCATCATGTTTTTAATTTCCTCCATGTTTTCGGATATTTCTTCTGTTTTTTCTTTCTCTTCTGTCTTTGTTGTGGGCGGTGATGGGTAGATTTTGCTGTTTTTTTGTAAATGTTCCAGTTCGGCTTCTAACTGTTTCCTTTCTTCTTCCTCTTCTTCTCTTCCTCTTTTCTTTATTAAAAATTCTTTTGAGATTTCCTGTGCTATTGGCTCGTGAACGTCATTGCTGTTTTTGCATTCCTCCTGTCTGTATTCGACTTGCGTTTCCTGCGTTTAGCCAGCTAACTTCATTTCTTTGTTATCTATGTTCCCTATTCCCTTGTTATCTTTAGTTCTTGTGGATTCCCTGGCTTCACTCCCCCTATTCCTTGATTATTACGCTGCTCTCTCACTTTCTGCTGTGGGCTCGGTTGCGTACTGCGATGTATGGTGTGTTGCCTATCCTCAAGTTTTTGGTGCGCCTCCCGCTATGTGACGTTAAGTTTTCTTTTCACCCTGTAATTACAGAAACAGACGTATAGCTAGACTGGTTCTGCTTGTGGCATTAAAAGTTTCACAAAGAAGTGCTCTACAGACTGCAGCCTGCCATTAAACCTACTCTTGTGCTACCAGGAGCACATAATAAATGATACGGTTTTTTTCCATTAGAACTGATGATTTACCCCCTTATTTTTTATATTTGAAATATCAGGAGAATACAATTTGAGAAGACGTATTTCTGCTGATAATCTTCATAACAGGAGGCTTATATTGCATTAACACCTTCATATGATTGGTATCAGGAGCCTATAATGCGCGAGAAGCGAGAAGGTACTTCTACTCCTCATACC